ACAAAGAGTGAATTGAATCAATTGATTAAATATATATCTACCGCGTAGCTTCTACTTCTACCTAACATCAGCATCAACAGCAACATCTTAAATCTACCCTACCCCAAAAAATAATAAATAATAATTCAAACTATATATAATAAGATGATCTAAAATCAAGTCGTATAGTGATAGATAGACAGATCAATCATCATTGCACTAGGTTTCAGATGCTAGGGAGATGGATAGGTATGTGTTTGGTTTAGTTTGATTTGGTTTGATAAGTAGAAATTGAGTTTTCATATTGTGAAGTGATAAATTGAATTAAATTTGAAAATTGAGAATTGATTTGTTTTATAAGGGGTTTGAAAAGTATTTGGGGTGTATTGTTGAGTGGAGTTGTATTGTTTTGTATTATTTTGAAATTTGTTAAAAGGAATGACCTTACACAGGGAATAGTGGGAAGCTGATAGGGCAGAACTGAGGCTATATTGGTCTTGTTGTCACGATTCATTAATTCACGTGACCTCGAGGACCTTGAGGACCGAAGGGTCCCAAAGGTCCTCAAAAGATGATATAGGGTATATAAACACTCATTTAGTCTCGTAGTTAAGGAGCTTTGTGCTCAACTTAGTTATCAATTAGTTTACCTACATTCTACTTGATCTAGTAACGACTTCACTTCCAAGTGAAGACCAGTGATAAAGCCTTAACCCACAACTACCAACCAGACGAAACCTTAGGCAGCCGCTGCCTCCAGTATAGTATCGTTACACTTGTATATAAATCACACATTATCTAAGTTCTACGGAAGTGCGAAGCTCTCCTACAGAGAGCTTCTCAATCTAGTCCTAATAGGACTAGTGCCCTGTGCATGTGCTACGCAGGAACCATTCACTTTAACAAAATTGATGATTTTTTTAAAGAGAGAGAGAGGGGGGATTTTTGTTACGAGGTTTGCCGTCTAGATCACGTGGAAGTGCTCTAGGCTCTCGAAGTGGTTTATAACTAGGCGTCAAGCAGGGACTTAAGTAATGACAATGATGCAATTCGTAACTAATAGTAGAGTATACTAAATGATTGATCTTGAGCACGAAGCTCTTTACAAAGGGAATCCATCTTGATTATATAGACCTTCGTGCCTCGTTAAAAAACCGATGGCTATAAACCCGACAATTCGATCACCGCAAAACCGATCTCGATTTGTCGGTTTCTTGATCATGTGATCAAGAACGTGACCTATGTCACTGTCCGACGTAACAATAATTTCTTTAATATATTTGATATTTAATTTTATATAAGAAATTATAGTTTTTGCAGGGATTTGGACAAGAATTCGAACAATATATAGTGAGTAAATTCCAGAATTCTTACTTTAATATTTGAATTTCTTGATATTGAAAATATCTTTCTACTGAATTAAACGAATCTAATTTTTTCGGTCTGGTATAGCGGGGTCTATGGGGAAGGCAATGACAAAGTACACCGGTACCTAATTAACTAATAGCTACCCAACCAAACCAACACTAAATAATACAGCCTCACCGATACTCTAATAGAAGAAGATAGAAAAAGTAAATACTCGGCGAGTAGAGTAGATTACTAAATATGGACGAATGTAATTTATATAGACTATGTATACTATAAAGAAAATCGAGATATCATACGATTTTTCATGGGGGATGCACGACAGGGTCTCGAACGTGGATTTGGAACCTAGGTTCCGTGCCCTTTTGCATCTGTCTGAATGAGGCGTGAGATAGGGCGGATTAACGCTTGATAGGCTTGATATGATGGAAAACCTCCACGTTGGGATCGTCGGCTTGTTTGCCGGATGTACTGTAGAGGGGTTATAGAGGATGCTGATGCGGGTGGATGGTTTGAAGAATTAGCTATCTACTTGTAGATGAGCTGAGGCGTTGGTGGCTGCTATGCTACTTGTTTGTCAGTGACTGCAGTGCTTCCGCGTTCTAGCGTGAATCCGGGTTGTATTCTGGTGTCTTTGATGGTCACTGGTGGGTGGTTTGACAGCTGATCGACAGAGGTTGTGAACATCGAAGTTTGTACGACAGTATGGGATGAAATGGATATATACTCCGTATAAAGTACTATGGTAGGAGTTGTTGCGGCAAGGAGGGGAAGATTATGAACTGGGGAGAGAAGGCTATCCAAGAGTCAAGAGGCTTCAATTGGTCTCAGAGCAGCGAATGGTGTGGCCAAAAGGAAAAGGACAAGGGGGAAAATGATGTGCAAAATGCTTCTATGCCGGGGTCATGGGTCTGGGTCGACTCGGTTCTTTGGCTTTTATGGAGTAAAACCTCCATAAAATGGAACAATCATAGTACCTAGTTATGCCATCCGCATGGGTGGAAAAGGAAGGGAACCAGTGAAATTACAGCTTGATAATGTGCTGGCGTGGTGGAAGGCGAGATTAGCAGTGATTAAAAGATTAAATGCTACGGAGTATTGAGATTCGCATGGAAAGTTACGATGAGAGAGAGAGATTCCGAGCTTCTCAGCTGGAAGAGATGGATGGGGGATGGGGGAATGGGATGTTCATATTGATATTTACTACCTAGTTAATAAAAATAATAGAACTAATCAACTAATGACTTGTTTTCTCTCCTCTGCGGAGTAGGAGTTTTGATCTGATGATAATAATACTTCTTCGATTTTCTATCTTCTATCTTATTGACCATGGGTATTTTTAGTTCTGTGTTTTGTCCGACTTCTTTCCGTCCTTGATATTTAATAAATACATCAATATTGACTTTGCTACGACAACTTTATTTACTTCATCTGCGACACAGACCGACCGAGTGCACACCCCAAAGGAATCAACAGCATTACTGTGTCTACCCTTTTACCCTTCTTCCCTACTACCCTTCAACAAAACTCTCCGAATGCCGTGTGTAATCATTGTACAGCATTATATTTGAATCTTCAACGACCTTACTCATACGCGGCTTCACCCATCACAAGAGGTTCGACATCGAAACATCTGCGAAACGTCCGGAAGGGGTTTAACGACTCTACTTTCTCAGAAGACAAGGCTCTTGGGCCTGAGAGGAAGAACCATATTCAACAAATTCCAAATGACGATAGGCGATCTCAAAACACGATTCCGAGCCAAATTTCAGCGAAGACATTCCCATACTGCCTCGATAATATCCGTGAAAGATGAAGAAGAAAAGATTCATCCTGCGGGAGGAGAGAATAAAGTGACCACGCGCAGTTTACGATCAAGAGCAAGTTTTAGGTTACATCGAACATCAATATATGGAGGGTCAACAAATGGTTCATCGAGGAACGGTTCAGGTTCTGGGCATAGGGATAGCATGGTTGAAGATCAAAGTCCAAGTCAGAGCCAAAGTCAGAGTCAGAGTCAAAGTCAAAACCAAAGTCGAGATTCCAAAGAAGCATCAAACCGCGAAGAAATAATTCCAGTCCATGATTTTCATGACGATAATAATAATAATGGTAGTGGGATGGAAATGGGTGCAGAAAGAGGAGATGGAGGAGAAGATAGAATTGGCGCGGAACTAAGGTTAAACTTTCGAAATAGTATGAGTAGCGATCTGCAACATCCTTCACACTCACAAAACAAACTAACAACTTCACTACCAGGTGCACCTTCAACCCCAAATTCCAAACAACAACCTTTCATCAATCCCGAATTGATCATCGAAGAGGAAATTAATAAATACGATAGTTTTTCTACATCAACGGATTTTCCCACTCCGAATACAGATATACCAAGAGTTTTGGAGGAGGACGAAGAAGAGGAAGAAGAAAAGGATGAAATTCAGCATCAGCCGCAATCAGAATCGAGAGAAGTGAAATTTGGTAATTCAACACCACAAAGCCCTATCAGTCCAATTAATCATACCCACCAATCTACGCCTCGAAAACCCGAATTATCAAGACGCCAAAGCTTACTTCCTCATCAACAAACAAAATTAATCAAGACTTTATTAGAGACGGATTTACCAGCACAACCTCAAGTCAACCCACCAACTGGAGGAACCGTTGGTGTCGATTATTTTTCCAATCACGGTCCTTTAACGATAAGCGCAGCGATGGTTACTCGAAAGATATGGGTTAAGAGGCCTGGCGCCTCCGCGACCTTGGTTACTATACATGAGGATGATTTGGTCGATGATGTGCGAGAGATGATTTTAAAGAAATATGCCAATTCATTGGGAAGAAGTTTCGATGCTCCCGATGTTACTTTAAGGATTGTACCAAGGGAGCAACAAAGGCAGGAAAGGACTTTGGGCCCGGAGGAACCCATGAGTCGAACGCTCGATGCTTATTTTCCTGGTGGTCAATCAGTGGATGAAGCCTTGGTAATTGATGTTCCTGCGCGAAGGACACCGAAACCCTCTCCTAGGCCTAACGTGCACCCGGTATATTATGAAGAAGGACGACCTACTGAAGCTGGATCGGATTACTTTCCTCCTATGCCAATCCCCGTTCCTTCTCCAGGCTTACAACATAGTGTCCCGGTCCAAAATGGAAATCAACATTCAGCTCCATTATTAGCGCATGCCATGTCTGTACTTACCACCGGTCATGTACCAGCTTTACCATCTCCATCAGCTCCAAGAAGACATCATAGCTCGAGACCAAGGATAGGACGGACTCATACTTCATCTCCTACAGTCATTAGTGGACATACCCAAGCTCCTATTACAAACAATGGTACGCAATTTCAACGTGGTGGGAGATCAAGAACTCACTCAAGTGCCTCAGAAAAATCCGCGGTGCCTCCAGCCCCTCCGCTTCCGACTCCGCCTGCGCCAAATCAGGATCTTGCACCCCAGCGAGTCGCTACACCCCCTCCGAGAGTATCATCCCCTCGACCACAAAGAAGAGCTAAGAAGAAAGCTGGTGTTGATCACCCTTCATTACCAGCAGGCATGCTCAACGGCGCAGTTCCACCGATTAATGTCCTCATTGTCGAAGATAATATTATCAATTTAAAACTCCTCGAAGCCTTCATGAAACGTCTCAAAGTCCGCTGGCAAACCGCCATGAATGGTCGCGAAGCAGTAAATAAATGGAGAGGTGGTGGTTTTCATTTAGTACTAATGGATATTCAACTTCCTATCATGTCTGGACTTGAAGCTACAAAGGAAATTCGCAGATTGGAGAGACTTAACAGTATTGGAGTTTTTAGCAGCAGTGCAAGTAGTAGTGCGCCTAGCGAAAGGGAGTTGGAGGAGGAGCCATCAGACGGGGATAAGTTGCCAAGCACGGTACTTTTTAAGAGTCCAGTTATTATTGTGGCTTTGACAGCTAGTTCATTGCAAAGCGATAGACATGAGGCATTGGCGGCCGGTTGTAATGATTTCTTGACCAAGGTTTGTTTAGCCCTCATATTTTATTCATCTACTCATTGATATGCTAACACATTCCAAATAGCCCGTTAACTTCGTCTGGCTCGAACGTAAAGTCATGGAGTGGGGATGTATGCAAGCACTAATCGATTTTGATGGTTGGAGGAAATGGAAGGACTTCAGTTCCCAACAAGCAGCGGAAAAGGATGCGACTGATGCGAAGAAGAAGGATGCTCAAGGGGTGGTGAAAGCAAAGAAGAAAAATAGAAATTCTGGGAGCTTGAGTGGATTAATAGGACAAGGGGGAAGTAGTACGAAATTGAGTTTGTTGGGGCAAGGTGGCGGGGGAGTCGATAATGAGGTGGTTGTGGGATGAGAGAGTGACCTTAATCTAAGATCTAAAGTACGGAGGGAGATTACGCGGTTTTGACACTTGAGACTCGACGTGACATAGCATATAGCTTTGACGATGGAACTTTCTTTTGTTTTTTTTCCTTCTGGTGGCATTACTTCAAGCAGGAAGTTTCTTTTTCTTTTGTCGCTTTAGATCATGGGTCTGGATTGCGGACTTTGTTAGGTTTTGGGTTCGGATTATAATGGGTAGGAGCCTAAAATATACACATGTCGTGAGCCGGTGGGACGACTGGCGTTAGGGATGGCTGGTTTTAATTGATGGTCTTTTAGTGGGGGAGGTTTAGTTTTATAACTTTTCTTGGAGGGGTGGAAAGCGTTTGGGGAGGGGATATGGGAGATGGATTAGGGCGGTAGAGTGAATAAGGAAAGGAAGGGAAAAGATTGAAGTTTTACGGTGGATATTATTGGTGCGGGATATATTGGGTCGAAAGGAGGAGATGGGGTATGGGAGGTGGGAAATGAGATGAGATGAGATGGGTTGGAATGTAGAAGAGGAAGAAAGGAAAAAGGAGAGGGAAAGAGAATAAAGTATAAATTATTTCATTTCATTCCAGATGCATGGATACCTACCTACCTACTTACCTATCCTATCCTATGTAGATAAGGAAAATGCAAATGAAATTGAAATTGAAATTCAAAATAAATACCTGTCTGTACACACTTAGTAATCAATACTTGATCTATAATTAGTGTAAATCTATAAATAAATCTTATGTTAAAGTGAATGGTTCCTGCGTAGCACATGCACAGGGCACTAGTCCTATTAGGACTAGATTGAGAAGCTCTCTGTAGGAGAGCTTCGCACTTCCGTAGAACTTAGATAATGTGTGATTTATATACAAGACCAATATAGCCTCAATTCTGCCCTATCAGCTTCTCACTATTCCCTGTGTAAGGTCATTCCTTCTAACATCTTATTATATATATTATTTTATCTTCTTCGAGAATTTGTTTGTATTTTTGTATAGATATATAAATAAACTAAAACAGAACTGGATAATTCGGATATATGTATATATTATATTATATCATATTATGTATTACTTTTCATTTTCATTTTCATTTTCAAGTGTTAGTCTGAGTTTGTATTCCCAATTCAATTCAATTCTCATTCACCCGCTGCGAAGAAAGAACCACCTATGTATGTATGTATGTGTGTGCGTGTGTGTGTATATCTGTATGAGGTCCATCCGCCCATCCATCATCAACCTCCTCGTATCGTTTCTCATCCACTCTCACCCTCCCTTCCCCCCAAATAACCTCGCCTCCAATACTACCCCTGAGCAAGCAAACCCCCGTTATCCAGAACGAGGTTAGGTAATATTGTATGTTTGGATGGATATGTTTTCGAGGCAATGACAATGACAATGGCAAAGGCAATGATAATGAAGGAATGAAAATGTGTACCTAGAGACGTAATAATACAAATACAAATAACAAGTAAACCAAGAGACCAATGGATCCATGAACGAAGACAGTTTGTTCAAATTAGATTTGCTTGATGAAGAGACATCGGATCGTGACTGTTAGTATTGGTGTTGTTGTTGAGGCTCTTTTTTTTCTGGGTTTCGCTCTGTGAATTGTGATTTGGGAGGTTATTTGCTACTGGAGTAGCGGCGTAGAGTAAGCTAGAATGGGTTGTAAAGAACAAGAGAGAAGAGAAGAATAAGGATAGATGTGAAGGAAATTTGAGGGCCATTTTGATCGGAGGTCTCTCAAAGGCGTTTTGAACCTTGGGCACTATTTTAATGCTATTAGCCTCGTGTAGATATATTCAAGCGAATAAACAAATCTACTTACAAATTCCAGAGTGAAAGAGAGATAGTCGACGATGTATTTTACGGTATCGCCTAGTAGATTAAGAAGAACCCTTGATATGCCCTATGCAGACTATAGCCCGGTATGAAGATGAATTCTGCTGTACCCATAAAGCCTAGACGAAAAAATCATGCGAAAGCTCAGCTAATCATTTATGGGTAATGGGGTCTTTGAGTAGCGTCCCGTTCTTTCAAAGTAAAGATAAAATCTCAGCAAATGTCTGTTTTCTAGATATAATTGAATGCGATCGAAGCGCAAGGGTAGGCTCACAAATAATCCCTCTCAAATTCCGCATCCAAATGAACGGGCACCCTATCATGATCCTCTGAATCGTTCCTCTTGTCTCTTTCTCTCTCCTTGTCCTTATCATCTATCTTCTGATTCGCTAATAACTGCAACAACAACTTATTATTTTGTGAAACGATCATTTCGATTTTATCGACTTTGCTTTCCAGAGCCCGCAATCGTGCATCGTTGCCCATGATATCGCACCAGTCTTCTTTGCTCAATTGTCCTTCTACTACTTCGCGTCGCGGTGGTTCAGATGGAGGGGGAGGAGGTGGAGGAGGAAGTCGATAGTCTTGACCGTAGTGAACCATTGGTTCTTGGTGGCAACTTGTGGCGGTAAAAGATCTTCATTATTCGTAGTTCTTCGTCTTTTGAGAGGGCGGAATCCTAACGCATCGGAAAATTCTCCATTTGGAGCTGATTGGTATACCAATTCTTGACCAGCAGGAGGATGCTGAGGTTGATTTTGTCCCATATCTGCGACTGGCTGTGGAGGAGCTGGGCCGGCGACGATTCTCACACCTGGACTTTGATTTTGCATTAAATTCTCTTGTGCAATCACTTGTTTTCTGGCCTCTTTTCTAGATTCCTCTACCCTCCTTCTCGCATCGACTTGTCGTTGTCTCTCATTTTCCGCATCTGCATCTTCCACCTTCAGAAACTCAATCCATTCATCCAATAATGCATTTAATTCACCACCAGGCTTTTCTGGTATAACTTCATTTTCCCAATCACACACCTGTCTCCTGCGAGCTTCTACCAATCTTGCGACCGTGGCGCTCATCTGCGCTAAAACTTTACCTGTAGACTCATGAAATTGTGCATTAACTCCATTCCAAAATTGACTTTTGGTGCCTTCTTTGAAATTGTGTTTTTGAGCAATGCAAGCTTTCAATGCCTGAATTTGATCGCGCTCATCTAGATTCTGTCTCGGTTTGCGCGTCGCACTTCCACCTCCAATGCTACTCGCGACGGAACTCTCTCTTAATTCTCTTGCTGGCGTCATCAAACTTCGTGGTATACTTGGAGGATGCATGCGCGATTCACTGCTAGGTGTTGGCATTGTAGGGGTTTGAATTTGTGGTTGTGTTGAAGAGGACATGTTGGGCGATGGACGCGAATTTGCTGGGGTAGAAGGAGGAAGGATGGGAGCAGGTTGTGGTGCGGAGATTTGCGACTGACGGGCGGAAGCGTTTTGTGCCATTGCTGGAACGAGCTTAAATGTGTGGAAAGCTGATGGCATAAGTAAGTTGAAGTTAATAATCTTGAGAGATGTGGGAGAAGTTTTAGAATGTGCAGGGTGTGCGAATGAATTTGAAGTCAGAGCGGATTCATGGTTCGAGACGAGGCTAATTTTATAAACTAGTCTGAATGAGGAATAGATTCCCTGATTTATCCATACGGAGTAGTGTTTTGCTTAAATTGCTGAAATTGGTGGATAATTAAAGAAATAGGGTAGGACTGTAATTACTGATATATCGAGGAGAGGTTTTATTAAAATGGTAATATTAGAAGCTTCTCTTAATTAAATTTACATAATTCCTTCTCATCATTGCATTTACTTTCCTCATTCACTGCATCACACATAACTATTTAATCTCCCCTGGTATCCTATATGGATTCTTCTTACTCTAGCAGTCAATATCTAAGGTAATAAATATCACCTTAATTATAACATGCAGATAATTGGACAAAACATTACTTGTCTATATTGTACAGACAGTTGAATGAAGCATTACATCTCCCATGTAAGACTTATAAATTGCAGACCACAGAGTGCATGCTTCTTATTCACCAGTTCCTCCGACGACTACATTATGATTTATCAACCACACAAGCAAGCACATCTAACATTCATACAGAAGATACCCAAAACATCCCACTAACTTCATTCCCCCAACAAAACCTAAATATGATACTCAAAATCTAATTCTCCATCCCCAGTCTTCACCTTTCTCCTATCCCCAATCTCTCCTTTCCCAATCCTCTCTTTCATTCTATTCTGACTCTTCACATACCAAACCTTCACTACAATTAACACTTGAGCAACACATAATGCTCCCAGAGAAAAACTATTCCCAAGAACGTATGGGGAAGTGCGATATATTTGTCCAGCAACTATTCCAGCCGTGTTGGCAATGGACTGCTGGATACCAATTGCTGTTGCACGTCTGTAATGTGGTGCTACGTTGACGTTTAGCCAGGTTATGTTCAGACCAGGACCTGTATAGACGGCGATGGCACAGAGGAACGTGGCGAAGAATTTTACTCCTTGCGTAGATATTAGCTTTTGTATGATATGATATGGCGTCTGGAATCGTAGCTTACCTTCATGTTTTACTGTGAGTAGCAAAATATAACCAACTATTCCGAAGATGTTGGCAAAGAATAGTATCTAGGATCTTGGTCAGTCTTCATTTTATCCTAAAACCCCGAGAAATAGCTTACCGGTCCACGCATACTAATCTTGTCAGATACCCAAGCTAAAAAGAGGAAACTAATTGCGCCCCACATGTATACGGGTATAGTGAGGTAGTTTGCTTGGAGCGTGTTATAGTTCATCGCCTTTAGAATGGACGGTAAAAATGTGCTAAACCCATATAGTAGACAGTCTTGCATAAACTGGATAGCAGCGCTAAAGTCACAGTTAGCACGTAGGTCAATCAGGAAAAGATATCTTGTGTATACCTGATATAAAGCTTTGGGTCTTTAAGTTCAATTTGGAATTCTTCCCAAGAGAATTTCTCGGAGCCTGTAAATAAGGATCAGCTGAGACTTCACGAATACACGCAAAATGTATTGATGGCTCACCCATATACTTTTGTCTCTGAATAGCTCTCAGTCTCATCATCTCTCTTTCTTCTGCGTTCAAGAACCAAGCTTTACCGGGATCGGTTGGAAGGCCAAACCAAACGACGATAGCGACAACAACACTGAAAAGGCCTTCGATAATGTACACCCACCTGAAACAATTAGCAACCCTCATATCATCCTTTAGTCACAATGAGAACGAACCTCCAGCCCGCAACTCCAGAAACACCATCCATCTGAAGAATACCATAAGCCAAGAGTCCTCCAAATGCCCCAGACAATGCAGCACAGCTAAACAAATATCCAACTCGCTTAGCTTGTTCTTCTCGGCGATACACCATTGTCAAGTATAAGTTCAAGCAGGGAAATAGACCTGCTTCGCAACATCCAAGAATCAATCTTGTAGCATAAAGACCACCAATATTATGGACAAATCCAGTAAAAATGGTAGTCAGCGACCAGACCGCGCACAGCGTAGACAAAATCACACGAGGGGTGATTTTTTTCATCAATACTGCTGCTGGTGTCTCAAAAGTCACATAAGTCGCGTAGAAGATTGATACAGCGATAGAGAATTGCTGATCCGTAGCGTGTATGTCTTTCAACATACCAGCGACTTTTACATTGCCTAATGAATGTTAGTTTCTGATCTTGTTCTCGGCTATGAATGATGTTTACCAATGTTTGAACGATCCAAGAAACAAGATAAATATACCAGCATTATCACCGGCGTAAAAGCAAGGTCAAGTTTTGCGAGTAGTTTTACTTCTTTCGCGGGATCAATGTAGACATCGATTTCTGAGTCGTCGGTGTGGTCTAGAACCCCAGGTTTCTCATGGAGAGGCCCCAACTTCTCACTATTGGGTTGTTCCATGCTGGATTGGCTTATGCGGGGTATCGAGAAGAATAATGCCAACCAACTGAAATGGCGAGGATTGATCAATATAGATAGATATCAAAGATACCATTGTAGTCATACACTTATTATATGTATGAAGAGTGTGACGAACAGGGCTGGGAATTTCATGTTGGCGGGCTTGCAGTCCCGCGCGCGGGGTCACTCCGATAAGATATCTATCGGAAGCATTTATGCAAGATCATCCAGCTATCTGTACCGGTGTACTTATCTGAAATTATCAGTATTAATAATGATCAATCATCGTAAAGGCAGCCTTCGACAATCGTCCATTCAGCTAGTGGCGTATGCAAGTATACCTAATATAGTTACTTCGTGTGACTGATGATGCGCCAACGGTGGAGGAACTCCGTTGGTGCCATGCAGTCGGTCCCACATCTTACGAACCCCATAAATAATGTTTATCTCGTCGGAAAGATAACTGAGTAATATCAATATATGAAGAGATGTATTTTGATATCCATGAAAGACCATATATTGACCTACAATGCGTGCATTCCGTATTCTGAAATCTAGAAATGAATGAAGGAGCATTTTAGCCTCGATAATTGAAGCCGAAATATTTCTGATATCAGTTCAGCCGTCACCGGGAGATTAAAGTAGGCAGCGCAATGACTAGAATGTTGAGCGATAGTTAAAACTCATATCTGCGGAAAAGATCCATCAGAACATGTTGAAAAATCGACAGCGAAATCGTTCCCCATGAAAATCTCAAAATCAGTATCGTTCATGGCAAGACTATCCCAGTCTACACCGTCCAGTGAAGCCGTGCTGTCAACTCCAGGATCAATAAGGCCCGCCATGAGATCAAAATCCTTTGGGGAGGCATTTTGAGGATCTTCTGCTGATGGTTTTTTAATAGCAGAGGTAATGACATCTCGGATTTGGTTTGCGCATGTCCATGTCAATGATACACCATTTACAGCTTCTAATATTTGATCCAAAGCTCTTGACACTATGGGTTCTTTCCAAGAAGAGCCTTTGATGTATCTTCTCATCAATATGATACTTGCGGCCGATGCAAGTGTGTGGACAAACGTAATAGGTAGGTGTCTATAGGGATAGTTCTGAAGGTTGTTAGAGTGCATTCGGAGGAGTTTCATAATGATATCCAATGACTCGTAGCATATTTGAACATCTTCAGTCTCGCCGATTCCCGGTTCTTTAAAAGCAGCTCTCGGTGGACGGTGAAGGATTATCATCGCTGTGTGATATTGCATACTTATTAGGTGTTAGTAAACCTCATCGTACGCTCATATGTCACACCTACTGCAGATGAAGTACAAAAGGGGGCACGTCGGCCACGCTCCATTTTGTCCACTGAAGTTTCGCCGGTAAATTTTTGAGCCATTTCGTCAAAGCTACATCTACCTCTCTAATCGAGGTCGCCAGGATCGTGGGATCAGTATTCAAGTTTCTATTCTCGAAGACTTTCGTGATCATTCCATGTAAGATCTTGCAAAGCTCAATCTGGTGAACCCATGAAGCGACTAGTGTAAGACCATCTTCGTACGCAGTTTCCGATGTACCTGGCATAATGTACTTGTTGAGAAGAGACTTCCATTCTGGTGGGTAAGGAATTCGTACAGTGTCGTGGACATCTGACTCTCCAGGGTAAAGAGCGGGTGGTCTTCCGAAATAGAGACTCAATTGTTTATCTGCTACAAAGGCAGCCCAATATGTTCTACGTAGTATTTCCCGGTCAATCCAGGAGTTGTTAGAACCTTTCCAATTAGTAGGATCGAGATGTAGCCCCATTTCATGGGCGATACGAAAAGCCATGCCAGAAAATAGCCACCCCTTTGAAGTTTTCCCATGTCCAATTTCTCGGTGACCAAGCAGTATGAGAGCTTGTAAAGTTGTTAGATTTGGGAATTCGAGTGCATATCCATATAAGAGTTCTTGGGCACGATTGGAGAACATATCGGAAAGTTCCCTTTGGGTTGTGCTCTCGCTGGCAAGAGCGCCCATCGAACAGATGGCATACATGAGAAGATCTGAGTAATATGGTCCAGTACCAGCATCGAAGTCTCTTAGGAAATATTCCCGATACAAACACATGTGGTATTGGTATTGATGTCGGAAGAATATCCTCATTAGGTATTTGCAAATATCGCTTCGAGGAGCAAAAGCTAAGTGCTCTTGCATGGAGCCACCTGTGATAATCGAAGTTTGTGTCAAAATTGGCGAAGTGATTTCTGACTGTTGTAGTAAAGTAGACGTAGTAGTATCATCTAGATACTCTGACGGATTAATCTGGAAAAAGCTGGTCGCACCATAAAATTCAGCCGAATTACCGTCCTTAAGTTTTCTCAGATGGCCAGTCCGTGGACGTATTGAGATATTCGGAGTGTCTAAAGGGTTGGGTTTTGGTGAAGTAGATGATTGCTTCGTTTGTGGACTCAGGTGATTCGTAGAAGCGCTGAAATTAGCCAACATTTCGTCTCGTTTGGAAGCATTTGCAGCGATAAGTTTGGTGATAAACAGTTCCAGAGAGGCTATTTGGCCTTCCAAAGCTTGTACGTAACCTTTTGGGACCGGCCTAGACTCAGAAAAACGGAATGGTGTCAGAGGAGTTTTGGTCGAGAAGAAGCACAGAAACGCACCTCGACTTTTCGGACTGAGGATAAACACACTCATGATTTCCTTTCCGGCACGCAGGGCATGGCTGCATGCGATCACATCTTATCTGGCATTTTATTGTCAGGCATTGGTACAATTGCGAGAATAACATCGCTGGAATAGCTCACCCTCCTGTACCGGCACCTCTCGCATCTGTAAGGGTTTTAGCGATTGTGTATGGCCACATCACCAATTGAGACTTACGAAACTTTTGATACTTTTTGACCAGGGGGTTTCTCTTCCGATTGATTCATTGCAAGGAGATAAAATGTGAATTGGCACCCTTTCGTAGGGCTGAGGAAAAATCGACGCAGCACACAGCTGTGAAGTGTGGGGACAAAGCAGTCGTGATACTAGGATTCTCTCAGGACTAGAAGCATTTAAAGATGCGTCTTTTTCGGAAGACCATAGAAACTACATGTGTATATAATTTGTCCTCGAAGGTTACATTCCGTTGTATTCATATCCAGGTGAGGCTGATTGTTGTATCCAGAGGAATAGCAAGAGTCGCCTATGCCCGAGGTTCAAATGTCCTGCCTGGAACGCAAAACTAGTCATGTTATTTGTCCCATACTCTACTAGACAAGCTGACCCTTCCTTTGAATTGTCTAATTAAATCCGCTTCCTCGATTTGCGTATTTTTAAAATTCTACATTGAACGATGAAATAATCTTTACAATCCAGAATTTACTTGAGCGGCTCGCGACTTAGACATAAACCTGAAAGACTATTTGATTGTCAAATCCGAATAGATCTAGATGCTTTGAAACTGTCACGAGATCTTGATGCGCAATATATGAATGTCATTTATCAAATCCAACTTGGAACATGATGAAGCAAACCCATTTATTTATTAGGTGGGTGAGTATATTCGACTTATAGTGTGGCCTTTCGGCCATTTCCCCACCTGCGAACCTACATACACACACCAAGCGCAGATTGAACTCCGTCTCATGTTGGACATTCTCAGCTTGACACAACTATATATTTAGGTAAGGAAGTACGATTGTAGGTGGTAGGTGCTTTCATTATTTGTCTAACTCTTGCTTGTACATTGATACAAATTTTCATTGTTACTCATACTCTTACGCAATGTCCGGCGCGGCTGTTCGAGCAGGAGCACGTAATGGCGAGATAACAGGACAGACATCAGCTCTTGCACCATCATACCTCCAAGCCAATCTTATCGTTCTACCTTCCCGTTACGCCGACGACTTTGAGCAATTCTGCAAGAGAAATCCCGTACCATGCCCTCTCATCGCCAAATCTGCCAGTGTAGGATCATACAATGCCCTCGAGTCATGGATTGAGGGAGTCGCCGATGAAGATTTGGCTGTGGATGTCGATATTCGAACCGACATTCCAAAATACATGGTCTACGAGAACGGCGAACTTTTGGGCGATCATCTTGATGACATAAAGGCATATTGGACAGAGGATCATGTAGCATTCTTAATTGGATGCTCCTACAGTTTTGAAGGGGCTCTCATAGACGGCGGACTAATGCCTCAACATATCCGACAGCGTCGAAATGTGCCGATGTATAAAACTAATATAATGTTATGCCCGGCTGGAGTTTTTGATCAGGGTACATATGTGGTATCTATGCGACCCTATAAGAAGGATGATATCGAGAAAGTTAGGGACATTACAAGACCGTATCTGGCTACTCACGGAGAGCCAATTGCTTGGGGATGGGATGCTGTTGAAAAATTAGAAATTCAGGACATTGCTAAACCAGATTGGGGCGATATCTCCATGGACGATGATGGGAACCCTCTGGTGTTAGTGAAAGGACGTGAAGACGAAATGGTTCCTGTATTTTGGGGATGTGGTGTCACTCCCCAGCACGCTGTCGTGAGCGCTGGCTTGGACGGAATTGTCATGGGTCATGCGCCGGGACACATGCTGGTTCTGGATTGTCGAGATGGTGATCTTGTTAAGAAGTGAAATGAATCGCACACTGAAGTCATGTGCCTGACCTCATAGCACTCTTCAATTCTCAATTCATATTTAGCAATCATTCGATCCTTCAGGCTTGCTTAGAGTTCTAGATGTTTTGAATGCTGTGGGATTTTCTTTGCTATACGACTTATTTTACCCACCGCACAGTTACTGAACTTGTTGAAGTATTCCCTGTGCAGCACTAGAACTGGAGAACACAGCATTCTAAAGTGCAAAAGATCATCTTCAATTTGCGTATCTATTTTGCGAATTTTGAATGCCCAACTTTATTGACAACATCAAATGGCTCTATCCTCAAAGCTCTGAAGAAACCCCAGTGGTTACTTTCGTATTGAGCATTTCAGACGTCGGAAGGGAAATGCTAAAAGTACATGAAATGGTTCAGAATGCATTTATATATTGTATGGATTTACCGCAATCGTGAAATATCCCATAATAAGGATTACTTATTGCGATGTGAGAGGGGAATCAATATATCTGTATGATTCCCCAATGGAGTAAATGAGAAACGGAAAGTAGACCAATAAATAGCATACAAAATATAAATTATGAACTGCTTTCTGCAATATTTTATCTATTTTGTTTCGAAGAGGAAGTCTCTACATACTTAAATCCAAACACCATAATATATAATACAAATGGTATCCAGTTTATGTCCAAAATCTCACACAAACAATCCAAAATTCCCATGCAATTTTCCCCGTTATTACCATTGGAGGATTCCTGTTCAACACCAAAGTCCTTCCAAAACTTCCACCCAGACACATTCAACCGATATCCAACCAGTCTATATACAAAGCCGCTTCCATTTACAACAACTATACTACTCAGATCCTTCCTCCGACTTCCACTCATCATCCAGCGTGAGCCCATCTTGAATCAATTCACATTCTAGCGTCCCCCACTTCTCAAGATAAACTCTTCTCCCCATCTTAATAGTCAACTGAAGGGCCTTTTCAAAACCCTCTGCAGACGATGATAAGGTTCGCCTTTACCTCCAGATTGTAGATGTTGCCATTCATTTCGACCTTCAGCACCTTGGGAGTACTTGGCGAGTACCATGTTGGTGGCGTCTTGGAGGAGTTGGTAGCAGGCCGGGGAACCGGGCTCGTCGGTCACCCATTTTGAGTTTGAGTCTAGGGATGTGGATGTGGATGAGGATGGCGTGGTTGACTCTTTTGGGGAAGCGTCGTGATGGATGTCCTCTAGTGGCTTGAACTTGGGATTTTTTGAGGAATTTCCCATGCTTCGTTTTTCATATCCGTCAGTCTCGGACGTATTGACTAAAGAAACTGCTTGAGAAAGATTCTCCGCGACCATGGGGCTCAATTCTTTTTCCTCTGCATCTTTTACTCCTTGTAATCCTTGATGTATCTCCGATGCTTGCTGGACATGAGAATCGCTAGTATCAATATCAGTCTTCGGAGTGTCCTTCACATATCCTTCATTCTGCGCCTCAGCTTTGGTATCAGGAGGGTATTTTTCTTCCATTGCCTTCCCATATGCTTGTGCATCATCAAAATCGGTCGCAGCCTGCTTTTGATTTCCACCGGCGATTTTGTGAGTTTCTTCTTGCTCTTGAACTCGCTTTACCGATTTCGACTGGTCTCCGCCATATTTGTGTACTGCTTCATTATCTTTTGGTCCGGTCTCTCCCGCGAAACTCGCTTCTACTGTATTCTTCTTCCGGTATAGGACAATCAAATCGTCGATGCTGTGCGCGATATCATAGATTATTCCACTTCCAAATTTGTCCGTTCCGGCAAAATCATTTCCAAATGTTGTCATCAGATGACATGGCTCATTCACCTCATATCCAGCCATAAGTAATCGAGCGTACATATCACAATCATTATGATAGAATGGAATTGTAGCGTCGAACCCGCCGACTGCTTCAAAAGCTGCTCGATTAACTAAAGCTAGGTAGTCGAAAGCAAAGAACCGCATTGTCCATGGTTTACTTGGATCAGAAGCATTTGGATCCGGATCGGATGATTGTGCTGATCGGAGAACTTCGACAGCATGTTGGTATATAGTCTTATGCCCGGCATAATCATCGGACGCAGAAATACCTTCCTCGAATGTGATAGGAATAATATCCATGTGACTCCAAAAATAAGTTTCGAGATCTTTCTCGATGGCCGTCCAAGGGAAGAATTTCTGTAACTGGGCAAATGTGTAGAGAGTAGGTGTCACGATTACATTTACGCCCAACATATGCAGTCGAGTGTGGTTTAGGAAAAAAGGATTTTGGAGCGAAAGAAGGCCGAGTTCGTTGGATCTCATAGTGCCCGTGTTTTCGATTACATAGATATCCTCTGCTGGCCAACCAGATGTTATCCACGAGACAACCGTTTGCTGGAGTAATAGCCAGTTCCGTGTGAAAGCAATAAAGAGCGGTGTCTTTTCTTTCACATGAGGGCTTAGAGGTTTGTCCCATGGAGGAATGGGTGGTAAATCGGCGGCTGAGTGAGCATTCATTGCTAAAGGGAAGTTATCTCTGATTATTGCTTGCGACGGTGTGACCTGCTTTGTATCATCCTGCGATATTGGGCTTGGTGTCTCCTCCGGAAGATGATGCGATTTCGGTTTAGAGGCTTCGTTTTGAGCCGTCTTGGATCTGGATGGCTCAGCTGCCACACGTGTCGTGTATGGTGTTCGTGTTGGTGAAGGAATCGATGCTGAATTCGTCATTTCTACAACCCCAGGTAATGTCGATATCCTCACTTCCTCCATCCTGCTCGTCACCGAACTTGTTGTCGTCAAACGTTCTCCTTCTACCTTAACATTGTGCAGGGCTTCATTGTCTTCCTTCACTTGATCCCAAGAATCCCGCAATATTACCGCTTTCCCATCTACCACATTGTTGGCATACTTCGGCAGGAAGAATTTCCATGTATAACGAAGCACCACAATAATTCAAAACAGCATCACCGTTCTCAATTTCGAAATAATCATTTTCCAAAATCCTCTTTCCTCCAGATATCTATCTATAGAGGAAAATGCTTGAAGAAATAAGGAGAAAAAAGATAGTTGTATCGTAAAAATAAATGTAAAAATGAAATATCGAAATCAGAGCGATAAATATTAGAATTCTGTAATCCTGGAGAGATCCAGCAATCTTTTTATACACAGCATAAATCCAGAAAGAAATTCCACACAGAAGAAAGTGCCAGATCCACCTATGTAATCCGGTGGAAAATATACTTTCATACTTGTACAAATACAGACCAAATACCAGACTACGCAGCAGACCACACTCTTAATACTTACACAAGTCAAATCTCGACCACTGAGATCTTCCAGTCATGAGTAGATAGATATATAAGCTTTTCTAGACTCAAGTGACTGATTCTAGAGAAGCGCTAAGCGAGTCGGGCATACTAAACCCCTTTAATTTTCACCCCAAGGACATGATTGCGACATTTTGAAAAGTAGCTTGGAGTGAAGTATACTTCGTATGAGGAATGTTCACATTGATTAGTACCAGTGTAATAATACTAGAGAGTGGAAGATAATTTGATTACCACCCCGCATACTCGTGCGCTAGAAAATCTACAACACATTCCTAATCTAGTTTAAAATCCGACTATAAGGCTATGTGAAATATCAAGTTATAGATCCTATAAACATATATTAAGTATAGTGACATCTTTTGAACTATCGTTGAGAGGATTATTATTGGAGCTAAGATTACAATTCCTGACTATATAGACCCAGATCCACAATCGTACTTGTCATATTGAGTGGTGAGCCTAACATCGTATTCATTTGGTATATTCGACTGAGCTAAGTTGGGTTTCTTAATTTAAAGTATAAGTACGTTAGAGTTTAAAGGAAGGACTATGATTCGGAGATCTATTGACCAATAATCGAACACATGAGATTTCAGCAGAAAGTTTTGGTAGAGCCCAAAAACCGCCTTAGTTAAAATAAAACACCACTAACTAGCTTGATCAAAGTTATTAATTTGAACAAAAAGGAATGATTGAATATATTTTTCTTTATTCTTTTATATAGTTTAATTTATCAAATTGTAATATTATATATTTATTATAAAGAGATTTATATTCATAATGTCACACTCAAGAATACTGGGTAAAGTATCTTGTATTAGAAAATACTAAGCTAAGGAGAAAAGAAGAAGGAAAACAAGAGTAGAGAGTTTTCCTATGATTAAATACAAACGGGGCATGCCACGTGACCCGGAGGTGTGAGGCGTCACACATAAATTATACCAGTAGAATTATTTATTCTTAATCAGATATATAAGTCTTACTTTTCATTGGAATCTCGAATTAAAATCTAAAAGAAATTTACTGTTTGACTTTTTTAAATGAAGACAGATATATCAAATTTTATATTATCTATCTTGTTCGTTGTGTTACGAGGGTAGCCGTCTAGATCACGTGGAAGTGCTCTAGGCTCTCGAGTAGGTTTATAACTAGGCGTCAAGTAGGGACTTAAAGTAATGACAATAATAATATGCTATTCGTAACTAATAGTAGAGTATACTAAATGATTGATCTTGAGCACGAGGCTCTATACAAAGGAAATCCATCTTGATTATATAGACCTTCGTGCCGATGGCTACTCAGTAGGATCAATACAGCTCAGTACTGAGCTCACTGATCCTCACTGAGCCAATCACGTGATATTGATTGCACGTGAGAGTTTCCTGTTACTCGGCGTAACAATATAATTTTTTGTTAAAAGGAATGATCTCACACAGGGAATAGTGGGAAGCTGATAGGGCAGAACTGAGGTAATATTGGTCTAGTAGGTTAATCTCTCTTCTAAGTTCTACGGAAGTGCGAAGCTCTCTTACAGAGAGCTTCTCAATCTAGTCCTAATAGGACTAGTGCCCTGTGCACGTGCTACGCAGGAACCATTCACTTTAACATTTTTTAACAAAAATTTTTAAAAATAAAATGAACAATTTTTTATAATTATTCAATAATTAATTATGATATTTCAAAATTTGATTTGATTTGATTCAGTATAAAAAAAGTTATTTGATATTTAATTTTATATAAGAGATTTTAGTTTTTGCAGAGATTTTGTCAGGAATTCGAATGGTGTGCGGTGAGTAAATTCCAGAATTCTTATTATCGTGTCAACTCGGCATTTGCCTCCCCAGATTTGGGCGATTATGATACCGATTCTGTCCGATAGTTTGAGTGCTAAAGTTATGGTTCGTGTGTGGCAGGTTAGGCAAAAATCTCTAGCCATGATTAAATCGAAAATTAGTGAAGCTAGAGGTGATCTAATATTCGATCGATCGGATTGAAATTGAATGCCAAGAACCTGGATCTCCCGAGATTATACGGTATTTGTTCAAACTTTCTTTTAAATATATACTGGGATAACCCAATCAAAAATATACAACGAAAGATTAAAAACTCCTAAAATTATCACCAATTGCTTTTAAAAAAATTACCCTCAAAAGATTACTGCTGACTTTCCTTCCACCTCCGATAAGTCTCATCCTCACCCTTCTTCAAAGGCTTCATCCTTCTCAACTTAGCACCCCACCTCTTCTTCCACTTATGTCCTGCCCTCCTAATCCTCTTCCTCGGATAATTAACCGGACTCTCACCACCAGCAAAGATGGCAACATCATACAAGAACGCGCCGAAAATGGCACCTGAAATCGGCGCGCACCAATTTCCCCATATCCAATACACATCGGTGAAGAGATCTTTTCCGTAGCCTAGCGCTGCGAGTGCGAGACGTGGACCGAGATCTCGAGAGGGATTCAGGGCCGCCCCGGTATTGTAGCCAAATGCCATACTGAGAACGGTAATAACGAGTCCCATGACGAAAGCTGACATACCGGCTCCAGGAGGTGCGTTCATATCGTCTCCTAGGGCTAAGACTGCTACAGCTAGAATTGCGGTTCCGACGAATTCGGTGAAGAATGATGTGCTAGCATTAATCCAGGCATATCGCGGATATGTAATAAATGCTCCCATTGTATCTCCGTTCTTTAAATCGGTTCCGCCATATTCGACAATGTTGGTTTGGTAGAGACCGAAGGCTATTAAGGCTGCTATGAATGCTCCGAGTATCTGTGCAAGGACATACATTGGTACTTTTCTAAGAGGAAAACCTCGATATATCCAGAGCATTATCGAAATGGCTGGGTTGAGGTGGGCTCCGGAAATACCACCAGCAATATAAATGCCAAGCATTGAAGCTAGACCCCAGGCCCAGTCGGTAGTTACTTCATTTCCCGCAGGAGATGCATTTTTACCTGATGTTACTACGACTAAATCCGCGCAGAATCCAAGGGTTAGTTGGCAAGTGACCTAAAGAATTTGTCAGTGACGAAATGAGATGTTTTTACAAGAGAAGAGCTCACAGCCAACAATTCCGCAAGCGGTTCTCGGAATCGTAATCGAATAACGGACCAATGTGTGTGAAGATTGTGAATTTCATCATCATAATTGGGATCGTAAGCAACCAAAGGAATTTCTTGACTAATCCACGCCCCATCTAGATCACCCTCACCCGCAACTTCTGTTGTCACGGAAGCCTGATCATCATGATCTGAAAGACTGGGGAAGGGATCAATTTGTGAAGTTTGTGAGTTCTGAGAGGGTCGGCCATCGAATGAGAGGGGCGGGCGTGTTCGGGAACGTTCTGGGGATGTGGTATCCGTGTTTGTGGGTTTACCGGTCGGTCCCTCTTCTTCAATGACTTGAGACGGAGAAGTCAGTGGCTCTTGCCTCGATGCCGTACTCTGTAGAGTTGTCGGCGCAACCAACCCATGTGCTTCCATGAGGTTGTTTTCACGTTGTTGTCTAGCATTTTGAAGGGCGGTTGAGATTCTGGACAATTTGAGGGTTGGTTCGATCCTACCTTGTTCCAAGTCTACATCCGCCTGATCTTGAGGCTGCTGCTGTTGTTGTTGTTGCTGGGCAATATTGATATTGATTTCCGAGCGTGAAGGGATCATACCCGGACGAATCACACGCGGTAAAGGCTTGGCTAAACCCCATACTGGCCTGACATTCTCGGGTTGAACATAGGCAGGGTTTAGATGGGCGTAACCTGGATCAACATAGGGCTGGTTTTGCACCAGGGTCTCGATTGGTGCAGGCCCAGCCAATGTAAAGTTATCTCCACCTCCAACATCGGCTCCAGATGTAATAGCTTCTAGCGCCACGGTAGGTCTTCTTCGGATAGAGGCTCCTCGTTGACGATTTATGGTGCTCAAGCGTGGGCGAAGACCTGAACCTTGAGTGCGATCGGAAACGCCACTAGGACGAGGTTCTCTCTCTGCATTTGGAGGAATAGCTCCTCGCTCGGGTATGGAACCCATTCTCCCCCGCCTCTCTCCGGAGAAAATTGAGGTCCCCCTCTTGAAAATTTGTCCCCTCGAAGATAGGTCATCATTCCCAGGAACCTGGCCAGTCAAAGTTCGTCCTCGTCTCCGTGTATCTGGTGAAAGTTGATTCCGCTTCGTGGGCAGCGTATCAAATCTTTTCAGCGGCTTTATCCCCGGGTCTCTACTCGGTTGTGCTCGACTTGTCCCAGCTTCTTGGCTCAACTCTTGTGCAGTCTCTTCCCTCGTACTAGGTAGATTCGGTAGACCGGTCATTCCACTCTCATGTTCATTATCTTTTCCTCCACCATCCTCTATACTGCTCGTTCGCTTGATTTCTTCGTCCGCCATGGTTTGTGACCAATCAAACACACTGCTGATGTAGATCTCAATTTAACGAGTGGTTGTGCTATTGCACCATACACAATGCCGTAAATCGCAATCAAAACAGTTTCATAAAAATACAATCAACAACAAGAGCAAAATGCAAGAAAAGAGAGCATCAAAACAAACTAGATATGGAAATCATACGAGCCATATATCTTTCTCATATCAGATGGCAAGTTACACCGCGATCAGGGCCTTGAATCGGCATTTAGACTTTTCACCAAGCTTTTTTGACGCTCAGGCAAGGATCCTTCGTATACCCACAACTTTGCAGAACGAAAAGGGCCATGTATGCTATGGGAAAGGGGTTCAAGCATCATCGCGAGCAACATTCCATGTGAAATTCCACTTTTTTTGAATGTTTACGGAACCTACATGAGCAAAATCGCAGAAAATTCAAGGAAGATGAGGTTTGGGTGAGGTGGTAGGTGGAGCCCCTATTTCGTCAGCTCATTAAATCGAATTGTCCTAGATCGCATACGGAATGGTGCGCCAGGGGATCAAACAAGATTGTCGAATCACGTGCTAAAATGCTATCTATTCTCGACTTTGAGTCGGGATTTCGGAACTTTTTGGTAGGGGCTCAAGTTGCATCAGGTAGGGGAAATCGTGTGGGTTGGTGCTCGAAATACTGTTCCTTTTTATTTAAGACACAAGAAAGGCGATCTAGCCCTCATTATTTTGAAAATGGAGCATATAATTTTTGTCGTCTAGCACGGATAACTCGTTCCAGGTTTCCGATAATCTTTTTCAATCTTTCTATTTGCAAACCCTTACAAGTAAGTAATCGACTGGCTGATGATAATTTAATTGTTGGCGACCCAAACGTAGGATTTACATATTGTGAAACAATAAGTAACTGCATCAACAAATCCCTTGATCCAATATAAGAGCAGAAATCTCGCAGGAAGGTCTACTTCTTCGTACTCGATAAAGTATGATGATGTAGCTCTTCAAAAGACAGGCGAACCGAACTTCCGAGATTCTTCGATATTAATAGTCCAGAACTCCGTAACCAAAACTCCACAGTCTACATCATAGCCATCTTTTAACTTCTCACAGAACACCCACACTCTTACAGGCCTCCACCAAATCAGGTATCTCATCAGCACTCTTACTCACACCACCCCATTTAATCGTCCCCATCTCATCCATAGCCCAGCTTCCACCCACCACCCATCGGTTCCCACTAGGATCGACTTCTCTTCCCCAAATCCCCTCTTGCTTCCCCAGTTTCTGTCGTGCAATCTCGGTCCATGGGTTTAGCAAATGCCACGTCGTGCTCACTCCCAATCCCCAACTGGCATAGATTTCCCGATCTTCATCGGTGACTACTTGAACTGACCATGCTCCTCCGATGTGCTGCACCCATTTATCTGTTGCTTCTTTGGAGTTGTGCGATATGGCTATGAAATGTAGGTTTTGATGTTTATTGGCTAAGCGACGGAGTTCGATGAAGGTCTTTTCTGCAACTGAATGAGAAGAGAAAATCTGTCAGTCTTGATTCTACGCGAGTTTTCCGGATAAAATATCTCAACAGCAGTACTCGAGTAAAACAAACAAACTCACAAGCACATCCACAGCACCTCAAAAAAACAAGTACACAAGCCCTTCTATCCCCCATCGGAAGTATCAACTTCCCCGTACTAGGCGCCTTCGATCCCACCACCGGCGCGGTAGCAACCTCCGCTACCGCCGGCGCAGGATTCCCCCATGATTTCCAGCTCTTGGGAACATTAACCTCTGAAGTCATATTCGAAAATGTATCTGCCCACGTAGCTGGCGGATCATTACTTTTCCCAGACTTCATGTTTATAGATTTTTTATCACCATTATCGAGGTTTGTGATTGAGAAACTGGAGAGTGTATTTGATGGAAGACCTGCTTTTCGGAGGGCGATCTTGGTGCTCAGTTTGCCGAACATAGTTGAAGCTGATGGTGATGTTACTCGGATTAGTGTGTAGTGATGACAGCTTCGTTGTGGTGGTATAAAACGGATAGAAATTGAATGTGGAAGATCCGAATTTAGAGTATGCACATGAGATTGATATATATTATCTATCCGTTCTAAACAGCTACAAATAAGTCCAAAGGACTCCTTCATACAGACTCTCGGGCCTGCATGAAACAGCAAGTTGTCGCAAAACCGCTCAGACCTTTAACTGTTTGCAGCTGTTTGCAATGTTGTCACGTGAGTTAAGAACGTTTACCTCTCATCCAACAAGTTCATCTTGACTTCTCTGAAGTCCGTCTGTGATCTGGAAACACGGAAACTATATTCAAAGCTGCGAGATATACTCAAAATATTTACTGGAACTACTTTTCAAGGGTTGAACTAGTGTGCTTGGCTTGTCAGGAGTCACAGCCAAGCATTATAAGAGGATCCTTCAAGCCCTACGATCTCAACGCTGTGCATTGGGTCAAAGATTTGTGCATATGTTGTGGGGTAAACTCAGCACTAGACCTACCGGTATTACTATTAGAATTTCTTCCCTTCCCATTGAATTTCTTGCATGAAAATAACTTCATGTGGCATTTCTCCACAAACTATCATTTACGATTCCACTATACACATAAGGGTACCACAAATTTACAAAACAATTCACTAGGAGTCCAGCGCATCCCTCAAATTCGCCATCCACATATATGGCTGAGACAATCCATCAGTACTTCCCGCATCAAAATACTCCCAACCATTAACACCACCGAAATTCGGATACTTGTTTCTCAAACTCCTGATCGTATTCTTAAGCGAACCGATCGGGACCCATCCACTTGCATCATTGGTCGCAGCCGAAGCTAACATGACTACTCTCGAGGGATTCCAGCCAGCGTTGATAATAGCATCATAATCGTTAGTATTTCCTGCATATCCCCACCCATTGGTGAATTGAGCATTGTAAAACGATATCATTGGTGCGCCGGTATTCGGGTCTCGTGCTTGGGCGTCGAGATCCGAGTAAGAAAAGCCAGAGAGACTGCCACCATATGATAGAGCTGAAGCTACTGGTGCCATTGTAATGTCAAAACCCAGACCCATATCCTTGTAAAGCTGTTTGATCAGACGAAGAGCGACAGTGATGTCCACGAATTGTTCAACATCAATGTCTATACCATTAAGATTGTATTTTTTGATAAAATTATTGAGGAGGGGGTCATAGTATTGGTGGAACTTATGAGGAGTTAGTAATTGGTACAAGTATGCATCAATGGTAGCAAATTACCTGGTTGTCATCACCGGTGAAGTAGTTCCAAGTGCCCCAAGCAGCACCGCCCATCATACACGACACTCTTATTCCTGCTGACTGGAGAGTCTTCACCTGAGCCCATAACTCATCATACATTGGTGCATCAGGTGGATCATCATTTAGGTGGAGGACCCCTGGAGTACTCATGACATGCAAGGCTGCGAGGATGACATGAGTTGGTTGGATGTCTGCACTCAGTAGAGGTAGGAGAGATAGGTTCCTATTCTTATTGTATTCATCGTGGTATGTTTGCACATAAACCGCCAGCCGTGGAGTTGTGGCCACATCATGGGCGAAGCTCTTAGCAGCCGGTGACTCGACTGGAATCGCTTGGATGAGGGGTAAAAGTGGGAGGAAATTCAAAAACTTCATCTTGAAAGCTGGCTGATATTGCATCAAGCAACACAATCAATTGAGGAAAAGTCTAATCTTTAAGAACACCTTTTATATTTACTAAGTGATACTTCTTACAAACATGTTGGCACATCTATAGTAACATTGGGATAAGGCTCGTGAGTGATCCCTGTGACTGACAATAACTGTTGGTGTCTATACTCCACCGGCTCTATTGTTCTATAAATGCGCAAGAAAAGACAGAAAAATCCTCTCCATGTACAGTATGGAATGCTAAATGAAAAATGCATCAACTGACTCCGATAAAACACTTCCTATAGACTAACCTGCACAAATGGAGGCTTTTATGGAGCCATGAGGAGAAAATCAGGTGCCATTAACTCTTCTCTTGGCAATCAAAGGTTGCACCAATATCCCATATATTGGAGTATGTAGAGATATCAAAGCAAATATATTAAGTGGCATGATTGGTAAGCCGAGTAGTTTCCATAAGATCCACCGAGACTAATAAGCATATTTAATATATGGCCTGGGGCTCTGTTCCGGGCCAGCGCTTGCTAGATGGATGCTACGTTACCCCCTCTTACTCATTCAGGGCAATAGAGAGGGTCCGCGCTTGTGAGAGATGCAGGAGCTCGCACAAACCAGTCCCATGCTTCTGCCGCATGCTGGAGAACTACTCGTTGGTAAAGATAGGTTTTTGTAGGGCTCCAAAAGTTGTACCGCATGATATACACTTCAGGCAGAATGATCGGGTTTTCGGGAAGTACTGAAATAGAAAACTCTTGGCGCAGCGTTTATGCGTGCCCGAACTTCCTGTTGCACAAGACTACTCGAGAGTACAGATCCCAATTCCGTACCACGGAAACGAGATCTTGTTAAGATTGATAGAGTTGGTGTTTGATATCGAGGTGCCAGGATACCAGTTAACAAATGCAAAAAACTTGAGCTTGACAGGTACCAGCCCATCATCAACCAAGTTTCTTCTCATTTTCCAAGCTTTTTCAGACACCACAACCATTGCGATCGCGATGGGTGAACGAGTTTATTCCTGAGCACTTGTCTAAACAGTGAAATGGCAATGAAAGGTGCCAGCACATTTGATCTTGTCTCGCAAGTACGGTTGATTGTTACCACGGAAGGTGACAACACAACAAGATTCCTGATTGTGCGAGTTTCTTGTGCACAAGTCAATAAATTTCTGGTTGAAAAATGGATTGCATGACATGAGCTTTATTCATGAGCTCAATTCAGACAGCTAAGAACGTTCTTGGTGATGATGATGGGTGAAAATGGTGAAGAAGAAAGATCAGAAGAAGAGCGATGCCAATAAAACCAAGCTTCGACCACCACATTTCCCCACCATCCAAGCATCACAGCTGCAATCGAGAACATCAAGATCATCAAGATCCACATTAGGACTTCTACACCAAAAAGTATTTGACCCAACACAGTCTCCCGTTTTTGTTTTTGGATTCTTCCCTTTTGCATATATACCTATAATCTTAAAATCATTCATAAAAATGTCAATTGACTCTGCCAAAGTCTTGAAAACAGAGCCATTGGTAAAGTTATTCTCATTCAATACACTTCGAACGTTTTGAACAATATGATAGATATACTGACTCCCTAGCAGGATCCTGCGAATGCGAAATGGACAAAACTCATCTTGTATGTTTCGATAAGCCGAATCTAAGCTGCTAGAACCACCGTTGCAGCTGACACCTTTGCGATCCTGCAGATCAACATACCGCGATCCTCGGGGAAAAGTCCGCGATTGGGAACATGCGGAACGCGCTACTAGGCCAAAGTCTTCTGAGGTCGATGGTGTAGGGATTGTTGCTATAATACAGAAAGAATCTGGTATGCAAACGCCTTGGAAGAAAGATATACTTGGCCCAAGGATTAGTGCTAATAAAGATGGATCTCAGGCCCAGAATTAGTATTACAGAAGCAATACCGACCCCCATTAGATAAAGTCGTGATTGAAGTACCAGCCGGACTTGTCGATGATGGTGAAACTGCAGAGGAAGCAGCGATAAGGGAATTGAAAGAAGAGACAGGTTATATTGGAGTCTTGAGCGAGAGTTCACCCATAATGTTTAATGGTACAGCTCGTCCCCTTTTGTTTCCACCGACGTACTTTCCACTAATGTACCGGTTCGTAGATCCTGGGTTTTGCAATACTAATTTAAAAATGGTTCATGTCACAATCGATATGGCCGATCAAAAGAACCAAAACCCAGTCCCCGAGCTCGAAGAAAATGAATTCATAGAAGTCTTCACATTACCACTGAAAGATTTATGGAAAGCATGTAAGGATTGGGAGGAAGAAGGATATGCGATAGATGCTAGAGTGGGAACTTTAGCTGAGGGCATTGAAGTTGCTAGAACGTTAAATTTATTTCCAAAATGAGTTAGAGCATGATGTTACGATAGACAGATGATCATAATGATAATGCAATATACGATGTATGTTAGTATAAATATACAGAATAAGAATGCAATGCAATAGATTCTGGACTCTATAATTTCATAGACATGATGCTAGATAATCACAGCTTTCCCGTCCGCTTCAAACCGTCATAGAGAGCCCACGCAGTCAATGCCTTACTGTCCCTTGCGCCCTCCTTCCACAAATTCTCCAGTTTAACTAATTTCAGTGTGATCTTCTCGCCCTCGTCCCTCAAACCCGTAAGCTTTCCCGTAGTCTTTTTCAACTCTTCCCTTGAAATCTTCCTCTCGTGCAAGAAAATCTGAACACACTCATCACAACCCCCAGCACTAGGAAACATTGCTCTTGGCAACACCTCTCCCTCCTTGTTGGCCTCATCACCAATAGCCAGCTCGCTCAAATTGGTCAATTGATCCGCTGGTATTGTCCAGCCAAGCTCCTCTTCAATTTCCTTTGCAGCTGCACCTTTAAATGTTCCATCATCAACCATACCAGCTGGCAACTCGACAAATGCCAAACTCCCTGAAGCAGGTCGAGGTTGAACGGTCATTACTACCCATTTGTCCTCATCAGGAGCCTCTACATCTTCAGGTTGAACAATAACCATCATTCCCACACTTGGACCTCTGAGGAAGATATCACCGGGCAGAGTTTCGCCTGCTTCATTTGCGATGTTGCTGCTAATCTTGATGAAACCGATGCGGCTACCCCACCGGTCGAGTGATTGAATTTTGATAGAACGAAGACGGTATGGATCGGAATGGAATGGATGATCAGAGGATTGGTCTTGTAGGGCAAGAGATGCAGTGAGGCGATTGTGCCATGACTTTGAAGGGAAATAACGTTAGTAAATATTATAAAGAGGGGTAATGAGGAGGGTTTCGTATGTACTTCAAAGGCGGGGAATCTCAATAATTCATCCTTGATGATACCTTCACAGAGAGATACCTCCACTTTACTATCTGGGATTTGGAAGGTAGACATTTTTTTAGCTGTTGTTTTGTAACCTCTATTACAAAATGTAGGAGACGGAGTAAATAGCCTTTTGAGAATGAAAGACGTGTTGAGCGTTATTTTATGCATACAGAGTACAATCTTTGTGATCTATATCTATTGGCATGTTGGAGGGGAAAGGACCTAGTAAGCCTGCCCAACATATTTATTGAATGGAAGTGAATTGATGAATCATGATGCCCAGAATAAGCAAGGAAGAAGACAGAATTGATGTAGTCTTGTCATAGCCTTGCAGCTTGCTCGCGCCACATCAAGCGAGGCTGTGGCTGTGCCATGATGTGAATTCTTCCTTTAATTAGGTACCTAGTACTACAAGCTATCATCGAGCATAAAAAAAAGTACAGTTTTTCCTGTCATTGTGAGATACTACCACCCTGACCCAACCATCTAAAACATAATATAAACACAGTCAAGTATGTTCATAAAGTCATCGCCTTCCAACTACGCCCGATGATTCGGATCCGTACCCCGAACGTAACTAACTATTTGTCAAGGAGTACGGTACGTCGGCCCTCGCCCTTTAGACCGTAACCATGTACAGCCAAGTCCAAATAATGAGAGGGCTGCCATCGCCATATTTGGTGTCTTGTTGGCTAAAGGCTGTCGCTTTTCCGACCAGCAATGTTCCACTATTAGAGTACTTGCTTCGCTTTCCTAGAAGCTCACTTCGATAGCCGAAGCGCTGAACTAAATGTTAAGATATTATCATACTCGAGGTCAGGAATATCCATTGGCAGCGCCGCAATTTCAATTTTCTTCCTAGCTGTCATCTTTTGGGTTTGTAATCGCACAGCCGTTACAGTACGAGTGTACGAAGAGAAAGATGGAGAAAAAGTTTGAACGGGAAATGGAAAAGAAGGAGGGGAAGAGACAAGGTATTGATTTGAGATGATTAAGTTGGGGTATCGTCTTTGATTTACGCGAGAAATTTGCGTGAGGGCATGTATTTGGAGTTTCAGGACTACCGTTGGAATTTGGATACTGCTATTATAATGAATGGATCTGGTAATCCGCGTTGAATACTAGCAGATTTCGTTGTTGATCTAGTTGTGAACATGTATCTGGTCCAGCAAAAAAGCCGGAGGAAACAATATTTACTGTTTTTAAGATGTGTATTTTTATGTAGGTAATTAGATCAACAGTAAAATTGCATTGCCAAAACATTGATTTGCATCTTACGCACATCTACTTCTTATCCACACTTTCTCTTGAACCCGTATTATACAGAGCATCCAAACTATAAATTTCCGAAGGTTTTACTTACTGACCTACCACGGCACAGCCTTCGGTCCTGTAACATCCCTCCACTGCCCATCTGTCTTTACCTGTTCCTTCCTCGTCTCGCGATCTTCCCTCTCAAGCCTATCCGCCTCCTCCACCTTTCTTCCCCACCTCTTCCCCGTTTTCGTCTTACTAAAACCCCATTTGCCAACCCACCATAGAGTACTCATCCCCAAAACCCCAACAATTCCCGTCGGCGCAACGACCCATCCTATACCCGTCGCAAAACTTCCAATAGTGGTAGCAGACAAGGCTGCGACGATAGACCCCACGACTGCATATTTGGCATACCGTATTACGCGCCAGAATATGAAGACAGCTACTGAGTGTAGGGTGCGAAGAAGAGCGCGGGTGCGAAGTCGAACGGGCTTGGGGGAGGTGGGGGAACTGGGTGAGATAAGGTACTGAATGTTTTGGGTGAGAGAGGCGAGCGCGCTGGAACTGCGAAGTTGAGCAGTTCGTTCTGTTGCGCTGAGGGATTGGGATTCTGGAGAAGTGGGTGCAGATGTGGATTCGTCAACCGTGACACCTCTTGATGGTGACATGTTTGTAGTTATATTATAGAAGTGTTTTTGGTCTCGGTGGTATGTTTTTGCAATGAACATGCAGCCAGCCTTTTGTCGTACAAATAAATTATTTGTTCTACGTCATTGGTGGTTAGGTCGATGGTCCGTGCACCATTTCGGATTATCACAATTTCATTTCTTGACCTCAACACTAACGCCTTCTACTTGTCACGAATCACGGTTATTATAACACAATAAAAGCAAGTACGGAGGTTTGGGCCGCTGTTTACGGAGGTTCCTTATCGATAAGGAATCCTAGGACAAGTGTCCTAGGATAAAATATGCCCTAGGATAAAATATGTCCCAGAATAATTAGTATCCTAGGACAAAACGATTAGGCAACTACGTAGGCTTAGGACAAGTGTCCTAGGACGTTATTCGTCCTAGAATAAAGTGTCCTAGGATAATATTTGTCCCAGGACAATTATCCTAGGAGCTATATTATCCTAGGATCAGAATCGTTCTAGGATTAGTGTCCTGAGGCCTTTGAGGGATCACGTGATGGATAGACTGGATAGCCTAGTCTATCCAGGCTATCCAATAGTATTCAGAAGTATATAGTTAAGATAGTTTCATAGTTTAGGAGCTTCGTGCTCAACTTAGTTATCAATTAGTTTACCTACATTCTACTTGATCTAGTAACGACTTCACTTCCAAGTGAATACCAATGATAAAGCCTTAACCCACAACTACCAACCAGACGAAACCTCAGGCAACCGCTGCCTCCAGTACAGCATCGTTACACTACTCTGCCTTGTTACGAGGTTTGCCGTCTAGATCACGTGGAAGTGCTCTAGGCTCTCGAAGTAGGTTTATAACTAGGCGTCAAGCAGGGACTTGAAGTAATGACAATAATGATATGCAATTCGTAACTAATAGTAGAGTATACTAAATGATTGATCTTGAGCACGAAGCTCTATACAAAAGAAATCCATCTTGATTATATAGTCCTTCGTGCCTATGGTTAACTAGGAATCGTCGTTCCTGGGAACGAGCGTTCCTGGTTGTTCCTAGGAACGTTCGTTCCTCACCGTTCCATCACATGTTTTATGGTCATGTGACATACTAATCGTTTTGGACGTAACATGCCTCTACATACAGCATGATTTAAGAGAGGGTCGTCCGTTAAGTGAAAAGGCAAAAAAAAGAAAATATGAAAATATCAAATCTTCAATATCAATCTAAAATATATAAAATTAGTATATAATTAAAGTTTTCATTTTTAATATTTTTGTAATCTAAATTGTATTGTTACGTGGTTTGCCGTCTAGATCACGTGGAAGTGCTCTAGGCTCTCGAGGTGGTTTATAACTAGGCGTCAAGCAGGGACTTAAAGTAATGACAATAATGCAATTCGTAACTAATATTAGAGTATACTAAATGATTGATCTTGAGCACGAAGCTCTATACAAAGGAAATCCATCTTGGTTATATAGACCTTCATGCTAATCGTCCCCTTGGTCCCCTCGTGTAACGATACTGTACTGGAGGCAGCGGTTGCCTGAGGTTTCGTCTGGTTGGTAGTTGTGGGTTAAGGCTTTATCATTGGTATTCACTTGGAAGTGAAGTCGTTACTAGATCAAGTAGAATGTAGGTAAACTAATTGATAACTAAGTTGAGCACGAAGCTCCTATACTATGAAACTACTCTGACTATATAATGATCGATAAAAGGAGCCCCTAGGAGCTTTCTGGCTCCTCAGGGCTCTTATCACGTGATTCCTTTTCATCCCATGACACTAATTCTAATGGTGAATCGTGACACTCAGGTGACTAAGCTTATTGTCACATGACCCAATATTGTCCCACTTAGAATCACTCAACTACAGGCAGTGGGACATAATGGGAGGCGATGGGATGTATAGTACGAAGGTCTATATAATCATGATGGATTTCCTTTGTATAAAGCTTCGTGCTCAAGATCAATCATTTAGTATACTCTACTATTAGTTACGAATTGCATCATTGTCATTACTTAAGTCCCTGCTTGACGCCTAGTTATAAACCACCTCGAGAGCCTAGAGCACTTCCACGTGATCTAGACGGCAAACCTCGTAACATTAACGGACGACGCTCACTTAAATCATGCTGTATCTGCATTGCTCACTTCCACATATCTAGTAGCCACGGGAACCTCTTCATTGATCCATTCGGCATCAAGTTTCTGATGGTTGAAGCAAGCTTAAGCCGTACTCAAGAGTACGACTGGGAGCATTGTTCAAATCCCAGACCAGAAAGGTGAGATACATTTGTGGCCAGCGATGAGAATGGGAAGAGACTATCTGAACTATGTGCTACATGAACATTAAAGGGAAGGCTATAGTGCTGCAATTTTGAATTTTATACTCAGCTGCGACGGTGGGTAAAAAAATGATAAATGGTTGGCAAATTGCTGTCCCGCTTGACCTTGGGGATACTTGCTGCCAAAACACTTACACTTGGGAGAAGGGCTCTAATCACTACTAGCCGGTCCTCGAGAAATCTTTGCGCCCCTTTCCGTGTGCCAAGCTCCGTGTCTTCGAGATTCGGCGGAACTCGAAAAGCCTCTGTGAATCGTACCTGGTCGCATACATGAGACGAGATGCAAGACGTGCCGAAGACAATGACAAGGAGAAGGTTCGATTACAGAATTAGATGGAAGACAAAGATTATCTCAAGTCATCAAAATCTTGAACAGCTGTCAATCAAGGGCATTCACGTTGCGCTTTTTAAGAGGCTTCGAGTTGGAGAAATCAAACATCTCTTTATAATCTCGTTTCTGTCTGATATCGTGAATACGCGAACACAGAACTGTGATGAGCTATTTATTAAAGGACGAGAGTGTACTGCAGTCATGACTGAATATCTTATAATACCGTTACCCGTACAGTACAATCATCACTTACCATACCGCCCTTCCCATCAAAGTCACATAAATACCCTTCCGACTTCCAGGATACTGTCCCCACAATAACTTACAAAGTGGAATGAAGTTGAGATTTCTTCTTATATCCCTCTATTGCAATGTCTGAAGCAGGAATCACAATACGCAAGCTACGGAAAAATGTGGTGTGTACAAAAAAGGATACAAATCTGGAAGGCTCAAGACCACCCACAAAAGATGATGGCAACCAAGGATCCTCCCATAGCTCACAGTCAAGCAAGCAACATCTCTTGAGATCCCGTAAGTGCGAAGCCGAGGAACCCCATGAGGAAGATACGGCTGGATGCTTGTGCCCCTTTCCCGCCCATCTCCCGCATTTTTATTGGTCAAAGTATTCATTCTAATTCTTCACATCATATCTTCTGCTAAACATCATATGAGAGAAAAGAAGCGCATGCTAGCGGGGGATCAATTTGCATACGATATTTGGCACAATCCACGAGAGGAAGTCGATGAATCGCCTGTGAGCAACGGATGCCCTGTGGTTTGGAGATGGTGGCCCGGATGGGAAGGCAATTGAGAATATCAGCTGGATATAGTTTTTATACCGTCGCCGACAACGCAGCAGACTATTGAACAACTCCTTAAGATTGATCAGGAGAGGCGCGCGAGGCAATAAGCCAAATGATACAAGGAGTACAAGTGGATTTGAGAATTGGCCCTCTCTAACAAAGTGATCAAGCATACATACTATGCTCAATTAATTTCAGCTTCATGCATTAGAGGTATTCAGCTTGTCAACAAACTAGTTATCGCTCGACAGCCTTTCCTAATATGATTTTAGCGTGGCTTCTGAATGGTCAGAAAGCTTCGCTTGAATCAAGTGGAGATTTTCGATTCTATTCACACCTACGCTAAAAATTTCTTAGAAGTGAACGTAAGAAATGGAATTTCTTAGATAACTAGTGCGTTTCTTATGAAAAGGAAGCTAGCTATCTCCAGAAAAGGGAAAGTGTATGGTTATCCTAGTCATTTCTTTAAAGACAGACCCTTTTTCCCAACGTTAGAGATAGCTAGTTCGTTGACAAGCTAAATACCTTTATTACATGGAACATGATCCATTCCTAAACTTAGGACTTCGTGATGATCTGATAACCAATGATTGAAAGCTATGAAATATGCACAAAGGGAACTGGAGAACTGGAGGGAACAAAGTCTTTCAATATTCTGAAACCTTGAGCCCGTGTGTTGTTATTTGTACAGCATGCAGATAATTCATATTTCACTGCGAGCCAATAAACGGCTCGGCCGCCAAGCCGTCTCTAACACGTTGGTCCAATTACCCTTTCCCAATGGACCCCCTTCTTTAGCGAGTGGACCACGTATATAGCAGCCTCACCTTGCAAGAAAAGTTTTAAGAAAGCTGAAACTTTGCACCAACGATTTCGACATGACGAGTTATTTTCAACTCACCAAAATCCATTTGATATTTATGGGGTCATGATGCATACAACCTCTATATTCCATGATGCTCGCCCTTAGATTCAAAAGTGCGGGGAAAGAACATCCGACAGCCAAGGGATGCACGGAACTTATTCACATATTTTCCCGGCACATGATTCACCATTTTGACAACCCACTCAAGCTTATGATCATCATATGGGTATGATTTCCAGGGTCAACCATTTTACAACAACGACGAATGTATACCAAAATCATGATGCCAGCATGGGTTTCAAGGGACTCCGGAGAGCATCGCCGTGTTCGTCGCTGCATCAACTGTACATCGAATCTCAGCGCGGGAATCGCGGAGATAGTTACACACCCACGTTACGCCGTGTCAAGAGTTTCTACAATCCTCCCGAAGACTTTGCGCTTGTTTTCGCAATGTCAGTTTCGACTCATGAAGATTCCGTGGTTGAGGTGGAAATCGATACGTCCAATTTTATTATCACTATTGAAGTACCATTGCGAATGCATAGTCCCTATACGCCAGTGCAAACGGGGAAGGTATTGGAAAAGCAGGAATTGGAGTGTCCGGAATGCGATCAGGAATTCATGGGGGAGTATGGAGCGAGGGATTTGGCGTGGCATTTTAATAACGTTCATTGGAAGAGGAGGTTGGGAGGAAAAGTTGTTTGAGTATTGGGTAGGGGAAATGGAAAATGAGATTGGAATCAAATAACTGGAGTTCGGAACTCCAGTATTGCGTGGGCAGATATATCAGTACTGATTTTTAGTGGTTTACCGTTTTTCAATATTCGAAAGCCTGGTTTTCAGAATCTACTTCCTGCCGCGGGCACACAAAGCACGAGTCTTTTTTTGACGCATCTTTGCTGGATCAAAGTCTGAACAGTGGTTAGAAAGTGGCTGATTCCGTCACTATCCGAGAAGGAGCATTGCTACTAGTATGAAATGCGAAATACACTCGTGCCCATCTGCGCATTAGTTCTTTCCTTATTAGTGTTTGAAATACTCCAACTGGACCGGTTTCCCGTCAGGAGTTTCTTCACTATTACATATTTTTTAATTATTCTTACTTGAAAGCTTTGGGATCGCCTCTCCTGGGCCTTTCTTGTCCCTGGTTCTACCTTCAAAAAACATATTCCTATAATAAACAATAATACCACCAAAATGAGCACCTGGAACTCTACGAATCCAAATAACTCATTCAGCCTTTCAAAATATTGCGTGCTAGTCCCTACAGATCAGTTTGGCTTTCCAGACTGTCCTAGTCTGTTAAAGATATCAGCGTTGATTGCTGGCAATGCAAATCACATATGTATTGGCATGCGAGCGCCATAACTATGTTCTGAGCATCGATATGTATCCTGGCAAAATAGTGACCTTCAGGCCCGCCAGTACCATGTCCAGTTCGTCGATCGCATCATTTGAGAACTTCCATCCTGTTCTTAACATCACTTTTCCTGGTATAAAAATGAATTCACGTCCTTGAAAACTTTCAACCAAGCTCTGATAAGATCCAAGCTTCTATACGTCGTGCCAATTCTCTTTCCGCTGGCGAAAGAGCTGCACCGTAGTTTGAAAGCCAATTCAGTCCCAACAATAGAACAATAGTGTTGACAATCATTTCCTTTTTCTGGGAAAAGAGCCGTATACAAATGTAATCTCGGACGAATATAATTTTGAGCATTTTGAATATCAAACAAAGTTGGATTAACGAGATGATAATATTGGCATGCTTTTTCATTATATGGGGTTATTAACGCATGTACAGACTTTGCACGATATCACAACCCGCATCTGCCAACAGATCTAACTGCTTCATGGAATTATTCTAGCACATTGATATGTCTTGTTTAATGGTGATCACAGGCTAGTACTGGTGAAATTAAGGTTTGCATGCATAGGGTTGAGGCTCTTGGTAGGCAGTGTTAGGCTCAACATTGAAAGTACGATGATGATAGTGGGTCTATATAATCAGGAACCGTAGCTCTAATAATAAGATAACCCTCTTCACACCTACAACTATAGTCCTTTCGGTGGGTCAATATTTACTGTACAACCACATCGACATCAAGATCAACTTGTTTTCAGATTAACATAATTTGGCCACCTTGTTACGAGGTTTGCCGTCTAGATCACGTGGAAGTGCTCTAGGCTCTCGAGGTGATTTATAACTAGGCGTCAAGCAGGGACTTAAGTAATGACAATGATGCAATTCGTAACTAATAGTAGAGTATACTAAATGATTGATCTTGAGCACGAAGCTTTATACAAAGGAAATCCATCTTGATTATATAGACCTTCATGCCTATCGTTCCTTCGGTCCCTTCGATCCCTTCGGTAAAGGGATCGAAGGGATCACATGACTTCGTACGTGGTCATATGATACGAGGCCAGAAGCCGTCGTAACAATTTATTACTTTTATAAAAATCAAAATTAATATTTTAAAATAAATATAATTATTTGAAAATCTATATAAATATTTATTATATATTAAAGAATTGTCACGATTCATTAATTCACGTGACCTCGAGGACCTTGAGGACCTTAGGGTCCCAAGGGTCCTCAAAAGATGATATAGGGTATATAAACATTCATTTAGTCTCGTAGTTAAGGAGCTTCGTGCTCAACTTAGTTATCAATTAGTTTACCTACATTCTACTTGATCTAGTAACGACTTCACTTCCAAGTGAAGACCAGTGATAAAGCCTTAACCCACAACTACCAACCAGACGAAACCTTAGGCAGCCGCTGCCTCCAGTATAGTATCGTTACAAGAATATATATATTATTTTTTTTCTTCAATAAAAATTATTATATTATAAAAATTTATATAATTTAAAAAAGTTGTCACGATTCACCTTTAGGATTAGTGTCATGGGATAAAAGGGATCACGTGATGGAGCCCTGAGGAGCCAGAAAGCTCCTAGAGGCTCCCTTTATTATTCAGTATATAGTTAGAATAAGTTTCATAGTGTGACCAAAAGGGTGTTTATAGACCAGCAATTGTATTTAACTTAGAATCTACAGGTGAAGAGCAACTGTAGATGGGGATAGCTACTCTATATATACACAAATGAATGGCCTAGCCGCAATGGCTAGGCAAAAAGAAGTCATATTTATTCCTCCAATGATCTTACTTTACCGATAACCATTGATACCTAGTACTTGTCCGGATCTGATCCTCAGGTCACCTAAATCGTATACTAATCTCGAGTAATCGTATCATGTGTGGACATGGTTAATGTACCTGAGGTTTCTTATATAATAAGGGTGGGAGGAAAGCAGGGATTTCCGTCACACATAGTATAGGAGCTTCGTGCTCAACTTAGTTATCAATTAGTTTACCTACATTCTACTTGATCTAGTAACGACTTCACTTCCAAGTGAATACCAGTGATAAAGCCTTAACCTACAACTACCAACCAGATGAAACCTCAGGCAGCCGCTGCCTCCAGTACGGTATCGTTACAAAAGTATTTTGAAAAGTTTTTGATTTTTGTTTATTTTATTAGTAAATATTAATAAAAATTTAAAATTTAAAATAATTCAATTTTCAATTTAGATTTTGTATTAGAACAAATTTTTTCAAAATAAATAATCTTTTTTTTAAATTTCATATGAAAATAAATGAAATGATTTTAAAAAATCTATATAAAAATATCACACTCAAGAATACTGGGTAAAGTATCTTGTATTAGAAAATACTAAGCTAAGGAGAAAAGAAGAAGGAAAACAAGAGTAGAGAGTTTTCCTGTGATTAAATACAAACGGGGCATGCCACGTGACCCGAAGGTGTGAGGCGTCACAAAAAATATATATATTGATTTAAAAATCATAAATATAAATTATGCATTTTGATGGTTTTTGGTGTGAATTATGAAATAACTGATAGCAATTGATTAGTACTGTACGTTGCACGCGAATCAGATACAATAAATAATATTTGAGAAGTGCAACTTAACACAACACAAGTGATAAGGACCTTTGATCCTTACATATAGTATTTCTATCCTCTTGATCAGAAAGAAATCCCAACAGTGGGAACCTCAACAGTGGCATCCCCAACAAATTCCTCCATGGTCTTCTGCTTCCATTCTTCAATCGAATTAGAAGCCGTAATCCAATCATCCATCTTGAATTCGGCTTGGTACTCGTTGTATTCAACGGTCGTCTCGATAGTGACCGAAGAATTTTTTTCTTCGAAAGCAAGGGACGTTAGTTCATCGATATAGATTTCGAACGTAGAGATACGAACGACTTTATGAGGTTAGTAGTGTTTCTGATATGATCTATTGGGGCAAATGCAACTTACTTGACCAAATTGATTTTTGGTCTGGATGGTATCCGTAACGCTGCGAGATAATGCATTGTTGGACACTGGGTTTGTCGTTCAGTCTGGTCTCCATAGCGGTATTGATGCCTTTAAAGACTTTCTCGAGCAGGTCGTCTGAATTGGCTGGCAAACAAGCTAAACCCTCTACGATAACATCAAAGAAAACGGTGGCGAAAGTATCGATTGTAAACGTGATAGTCTTGCTCTTAGTTTCACAGTCGAAAATTGTCAACCTGGTTAATTTCGTTAAAATCGAGCTCAGACCATCGCATCAAACGGAAGGATTCTGCTAACCAGGGAGTATTCTGCACATCATATCCAGCCACTTGAGCACAGTAGCTCATCCGCTTCGCAGCTGATTCTGCAGATTCATCTTGAGGCACACTATCAGTAGCATAAGTGGTATTCCACCATCTGAGGCACGCCCAGCTGCGATAGTTCGAAACGGCTTTCTCATATTCGACCAACTTTGTATGAGCTTCTTCAGGGATGTCCTGTGGAAAATTGATGAATTGAACTGCAGAGCCAACTTTTCGATCTCTTTTGGCCTTTTCAGCGGTCTCATTTGGGTCCCCTTCCTCAGCAAGGGGCATACCATCCAGATGCAAGGGAGAAGAAAACGGGCCAGTTATGGGTGTTTCTGCGTAGATATCTTCAGACATTTCTAAGGAAATTGTTTGACCTATGAACCGGGACTGTGCAAATGAGATGGTGGGGACGCTGTTACTGTCTCGAAAATGTCATTTTATAAGATGGACGTGGCATCTTTATAATTTTATCTCATCTGATGAACGACCGGATTGATAATGTTCTCCTCACTTCAAAGAAGTGGGGCAATTTTGGGGAGCCGAAAGCTGGGACTAAGAGCCATTAGGTAGAAGTAACAACCGCAAGGTCATGCATTGGGAGCATCTTTGCCTAATTTCATTCAGCCAATAAGTGCTACGCGCTGTGCTACATGAAGGTTGTCTAAAAGGAGGGGCACATGCAACTGCGGCGCGATCAGTGAGACCTGCATTGATCATATGCAAGATCTATCCTATCGTCGAAGATATGACAGTATCACAATACGGGGAACATCCCGATTCGGAATAGGCTAGAACTTTAACAAAGCCTCCTTACATCTATCATGATGCATTTACACGAACTCATTGACGCAGAAATACCTGTTTCTGCTCTTCTGTTAACCAAACTCCCCGCCCTAGCGGGCGACTCGAACTAACGGGAGTGGCTTTTCATTAATGGAACGTACCCGAGCGGTCTGAAAGTGATAGACCATCCACTTTAAGCATATGCTATAAGATGATAAACTACAAGGGGAATAGTAGCCCGGATTTAGCTGGATAGTTCCGTACTTTCTGGCGGCACGACTAATATAGAGTTCCTGTGATGTTCGTTTATGATAATCAATTAGGCAAAGGGTGGAATCCGAGAGGAGGAGCACGTGGGGAAGGGGGGCTGGAAGAGGTCAGATCCAGGGATCGATCAGTTGCTAATTTTGCTTTTAATAGTTTCTTATTCTCAAACAATTGCAGTTCCGCCGCTACTCTACTAGGGCATTCCGTTGGTTAGTGGGAAGGCTTATCAATACTGGCGCTCACCACGTCATCACAGTAGTATGACTTTTGGGAGATCTCTTGTCGAATTAGGCCAGCCCGTGTTTCCAGCTCTCATGATCAAAGCCTTACAACGCGGAAACCTTCCCTCCTGGGGCGACATTGTGATCATAAACTGCATTTTTGCGACACAAAACCTGTCACAAACAATAGTGGAATTGATAAGATCTGAAGCGCCATAATCTTGATCGTGCAGTCAACGGTAGCTTGGAGTTGTTAAGCCAATAATCGTGCAAATCAATCGCTATTAGAGCGTGGTGAGCGCTTGATAAGAGTTCCATTATTAAGTGTACAAACTCCTAAGATGGAACATTTCAAACAGCTTCTACAGCTTTTTTCATCTGCCATTGTTGAACATACTCGCTTCTAAGGAAGCCCTTCAACATGGGAAATCAAGCAAGACCAGATGTCCCGTCCGACTTGCTCTCCGATATTAAAATACAAGCAGATGAAGAAACCGAAAACGCTATCAAGCAAGCATCAAGTGACAACGATGTATAAACTGCATTCTTCGTCGATCAGATTACCAAAAAAAAAAAAGACCAAATTGGACGTGTTCTATCAAATCTCAAAACCAACAACTACCTTTTTTCCTACAGAGTGGAAAGAGCTGTTTAGATATGGTCAAAGGAGGGAGAACTGTGTGTGATATATTCAAAAGGGGGGGATTTGTCCAAGGATGATTCACTTAAATCTGACTTTAGTCGGAGTTTGTGTCGAGCAAGACTCTTGAATATCTGGTTCAGAATTCATCGCAGTAAGCCTGTATCATTTGACTGGGCACAAAATACAAACTTACTAACTTTTATAGACTGGTGTTTATGTTGAATAGCTTATCAAGTCGTACTTTATAAGAATTTCCAATCGAAAATTATCACGACGACGAGGCTCTTTACCAAGAAGCGGCCTATGAAGTTCTAACGAGCTTCACATACGCAGATGGCGTAGGGGCAAGGTGGAAATGACTAGCAAGTCCATCACCGAGACCTTTATTCTCACAGGGGATAAAGAACCCTCAATCAAGAGCTTCTGGTGCAAATCACCTAGATGAGGGAGAGCGGTGTTATTTCTCGACCAGTAAGTTACCACCATCGATTGTTACCATCGCTAGCTCTACCGGAGTTACAGTTCTTCGATCCTATCACTTTGCGTTTGATATGAAACAAGACGGGGAACAGCTAGTGGTTTCCTTTGACTGGATCTTTCATGCTGCCACATTCAATGAGAATGATATTGAAAATGCGCTGCCGTCTATCGATCTTAGGTTGATTGAGCTTGGGGAAAGGCTCAGGAGCAAAAGTCCTCTGATATTTACTTATCGTCATTTTGGGTGCGTAATAGCTTTGGCTCAAATAAAGGAGAAGGATGGATCTTTCGTTTCCAATATTTTACTCGTTCATATACCTAACATACGGGCCGCCCCGCTAGGTATTTTCATACGTGCATGCTTCCAAGGTTCCCCAAAGAATGTGGGGTACGGGAAAAGAGGACCGACTTTTCCTACAAAAGTTGTTCAACAAATTTCTTGGACACTCCGGCTATTTATCTTCCAGGCTACCTCCGAAAGCGTAATACTCAATTACCTAAAACTGCTGCTAATGAATTAAGGAATGTACTCGTAAATCTCAGGAATCGGTGGAAGCTCAATCTCATCATGATGTCTTCTGGAATTAATCAGACATCACGACGTTCTGTCGAATACTAAATCGACGATACAAGTGACAGATCAGACACTGGTGGTATTCAAATTGCTCGCAATAATAAGTTTCGAGAAAAGAGCGACGCCGTAGGATGAGTTGTTCAACAGTCTTGGACCGTTTCGTTCGAGAAGCCAAACACTACTTGGCTAAGCGATACTAATTTGTCTAAGTATGATAACTCATCTAACTATACCTAATATACCTAGGGAAATCTTTATTGAGAGCGGCTTCAAATAGTTTTTATCGTGTGAGAAGAGGGGATTTCTTACCTTCAGATAATCACAACAAAAAGACTCGGATACTACAAATTCCGATCGGATTAAGAGACGAATTAAGCTTAATTAAGCACAGGAAAACAAGGTCAAGGCCTAACCCGAAATGTAAGCGACATCTATGACCCGTTGATGGCGGCTCGGGCTCGGTTACAGAGTCTGATAGCCTGATAGGTCTAGATAAGAGATAGAATGGATACCTGGAACCGTTTAGGTATGAGAAATGAAATTTGCTGGCCCGGTTGGCGAAAATGTCAACAATGGAAGGCGACATTTATAATATCATTTTCTTTTATCTGTAAGGTTAGAGGATCTATAATGAAATAGATTTGCAGGAAGAGCTTATAGCTTTATAATAGCCGAACGTCTGCTTCAACTCAAAAGCATCGCTTCCGTCAATATCTTCTAGAATTGGAAAAAGAAAATAAAGGAAAGAAGTTCTCCATGGAAACAACATTTGGGAAATGTGGCCACCATCCCTATGACGCTAATCAATACTAGGCAAATTCTGACGACCGGGTCCACAGTGGCTCCGAAATCCATGTCATCTATGACATTCCTCCACTCAGGACCGTCAGCTCGTTTTCAACAAAGGGACTACAGATCCGATTAAAATCCAATCAATATATAGAAATGATGACAACCCTCACGTAAGTCCGTTTCTCTTGTTGTTGTCTTTTCTGGTATTTGGTTTTCAAGGCCAAATCATCTTCTTGACGTCTTTTGGTATTGTGTTTCGAAATCTTGCCTGGTCTGTCTACAAACGGACACGGAGAGTGTTTTTACCTCTTGTAAGATTTTTTGATTTACCACTTACGCCCGCATTCTTACGTCTTGCTTTTTACTTCATATATCGAGCTTTCACTTGTTGAGTTTGCCGCGGGTTTCTGGACACTCATTATCGTCTAATTTTCCATCATTTCATCGGTTGAGGAACAAAAATCTTTAATCATTTTCATTCTCGAATCACCGCCACGATGAATTCTCTTCTTACGCTTCTCCCTCGCAATCAACTCGATAGATATGCAGATTGCACAATCGATACCTGTCCCATCTCTACATCCTATTATTTCTATCGTGTATCAATCGGCGCAAATGCCGCTTTCCTGGCTCTTTTCTCCATCTCATTCCTCGGATTTGTCCTTACATATGCATTCACTCGTCGTGCAACGGCGTTTACATTCGCCATGTGCGCTGGCGTTATACTCGAAATCATTGGGTATGTGGGTCGTATAATGAGCTGGGAGAATCAATGGAAACAGAATGGATTTCTCATGCAAATAGTTTGCTTGACAATTGCGCCGGCGTTTATGGCGGGAGGGATCTATTTGTGCTTGAGAAGAATTGTGTATGCGTTTGGACCGGAAAATTCCCGGATTAGTCCAGAGGGATATACTAGAATTGTATGTACCGGGTGCATCATGCCATTTGCTTTTATATATGAAACTAACTATCTCGCAGTTCATCCCCTGTGATCTCATGTCCCTTCTGCTTCAAGCCGCTGGTGGCGGGTTGGCATCCGCAGCCTCACACCAGAACAAATCGCCAGACACAGGCGATAACATCATGGTAGCCGGTCTTGCATTTCAAGTTCTCACTCTATTAATCTTCATGATTCTCTGCGTCGATTTTGCAATTCGTACACGCTCCCGATACAGATCCCTCGGTTCCGCAGCATTCGACCAAAATCCCGCTTTTATAACCCTTCGCTCTTCCAAAGGCTTCAAGGGATTTGTAATCGCTCTTGCTCTTGCTACTATATGTATCTTCTGGAGATCTGTGTACAGAGTCGCCGAATTGGCAGAAGGGTGGACGGGAAATTTAATCAGGAAGCAAAACTTATTTATTGGATTTGAAGGTGTCATGGTCATCGTAGCCTGTTTTGTACTAAACCTTTTCAATCCTGCAATTACATTTAAGGAAGCAATGACCGGATTAGGTGGTCTGGGTACGAAAAAGAAGATGAAGAAACAGGAGGAGTCGAGGGAAAAGACTAGCGAAGGGATTAGCGCCAGTAACAGTGATATTGAGGCTGCTAAAATGGCCCCTGTTTAGATGTGTGTGCGATTTGATTTTCGGAAATGGATCTACGATTAATGTTTCTTAAAGTACATAAACCTTTGCAATGGTTTTCAGATGGTATACATATATGACAATATTTTCTATTTAAGGCTGGCCTTAAGTTCCTTCTTGCGCTGGTATTTCCGTATGACGGTGGTCAAGTCAACTGCTTGCATCTTGTTTGTTTTTCTCGTTTCTGTGTATTTTTTAACGGTCTGCTTTTCCTCTTTGGCTACGCGAGTATCTCTGATTCACGAGTGTGATCCACTAACATTTGGTTATCTCAAGCAGCCTTGAATCTCCTTGTTGGCTTTTTAGCCCCGCTATTAGTTGATGTAATTCCCTTCCATCGAATTAGCTATTTATTTCCATGTTATCCTGTGATGTGTACTTCTCTCCTTTCCTACATAGTATCATGATAGAGGTCGGAATCATCAAATGAGGGATTGAAAGTCGCTGAAAGTTTTACAAATCGGGTCTATTGATAGCGTAGGTGGCATAAATATTATACATGAGATGACATATTATTACATCAATGCATTTCATTCCATTTTTTGTTATTATCTTTGATCAAACTACCTCAGCGGAATACTCTTAGTGTCCCTTGAAGATATACCATACTCGAGTGTTTAAGGAATGTCATGGACCACGAGGCAGTCTCTCAGAAAGCAATCCTTTATGGCTTTCTATCGAGCTCGGGTAAATACACTCGCACATCATCAGCCACCATCACATAGACTGGCACATTGATTCAACGCAATGTCTTTTAGCACAAACAACCTACTTATATAATGCTCTTCTCCATTTATGGCCCGGGTTTGTCAGCTACTCATCATGGCTATTATTCACATTTGATGGCAAGTAAGGAGCAAACAATTTCGAGACAATGCCCCGTAATCCTCGGAGGCTTCCTTGTGTTACCTTTGTATCATCGTTTGTTGCGGCATATTGTGCCGCGTATTCGCAATTTCTATGGCTGCCTGTGAGAAAGAAAGCATTCACGCGACTTGCATTGGATAGAATATTTGCATTTACCTAGACCAGACCCGGCGGGAGATATGAGAACAGAGTAGGTATTTAGGCATGCATCAATTTTGCCTCTCTCTCACTTATCTATTGGTAATTGATATGGAAATCATCTCAACATGCGATTTTGCTAACTTTATGCATTTGCAAGGACTTGCAATCCCACCTGAACCTGAATTAACGTCCGGGTCTTTTCTGCCTCTAAACGCCAAGATACCTAGCCTCAGGTAGCATATTTTACTTTATATGCCAGCAATATAATCACTATCCACGACACAGAGCCCATGTATAGCAATTCCGCACAGTACTCGGAAAGGTTATTCTTCTTTGTCCCCATCCCACCAGCTAATAAAAGCTCTAGCCATTTGCGTGCTGCCTACCTAGAAAATGAATGAAAATCTTCAGGGGCCAGTATTTATGTTGTGCCTCTCCCTTGCCTATTATCTTTCTATCCTCCTTTCTAGCCTCCTCCCAACACTCGTGCTGAGACATGATGTTATGCTAGAATATTCTTGAATCGTAAAGAATGAAATATTTGGTATTTAAACCGCTAGCATGGCCAGCTTAAACCTGCAAAGGTCCTAGAAATGACAGTCTGGTCATTGTGGAAGGAGTCTCCATGGCCGGCTAAGGTATGTATTGTAAGAAGAGGAAGGGCGATGCGATGTTTCCTGGGGGAAGATGGCTTGTTACTTCGCATTACCCTACTAAAAGGCGGTAGCAACAGCGAATTTTAAATCCGACCACCGTCATCCGTGGCCGTCTTGTGCGTTTCGTGCCAGTAACCTCCAACCTCCTCTCCAGAATTGCCTTGTCGTACTGTCGCAATACAACAGATTTTGAAAGGAGTCAGGGTGAAAACTTCCATCCGGTGTGTTTTAAGTGGCGTTATCGTCAAGCAGAGGGTATTCGTTCATCCCGCGTCGAAATCCCGCAGTAATTGAGATTTCTTCTCGAAGTTAATCAAACTATATCAAATCTGACATCTCGTCGTCGAGATATTGCCTTTTACAATTTACTACACGTCTTCGCTGCGTCTTCTCATAGCTACCATTAGTTACCGCTTCCTGCCTACTTCATACTTCATACTCACATGATTGATTAATAATTAAAAATCTGTTTGGAGAGTAGTTACCCTTCATATAACGACATCACGCCATGACTTCCGTTAACATACTTTCTTTTGGTCTTTAGCCACAGACTTGGAAGGTGATTTGGAATCCCGGTAAGCACTGAGCAGTCTAGATGCTTCTTCAATCGATTGAAAGTTAATAATAAACATTGAAAGTAGAGTTTTTAACATATAGTAATATCACAGTCTGGCAGACTCCTAAACCATTTCCGACTCCCACTTCGTCTAGATACCCCAACTCTACGATATGTAGTGCCTTTAGAACTTTCAAATGGTAGGAGTAGAAGGCCCGAGTCTTTATAAATTTCCCCTCTCCTAATATTCTCAGTTATAAGGAAGAGCTGAAGTTGGCGTTGGATTTTCCTTCCTTCATGATTAGGATCTTCTGTATTGGGTACCCAATCTAACCAAAAGCTAGTACGACCATAGGAACCAGATATTTTCCATTTCCTGCTGAGTCTACTTTCTCCTGTTCCGTGAGATAGGATAGGCTTTTTCCTGAGACGGCCACTTATTGGCTCCTCTGGCATTTGTCGACACTTTCCGCGAAGAGTAATTGACGATCCAAACTTAACTGCAATCATAGCACTAGTGCCAAGCGGTTATAGGTCATACTCGATAACCTGGAAGCTATCAGAGTTAGAACCATTTCCAGGAAAATGGACACCGGCGTTTCGAGATGCCCAGCTCCAAGACGGAGCAATAAATTTTCTTTCGTCTTGCAGGTACTCCAGCATCGCAGTAAACGACAATTTTGGCTCGATATATTCCCAGCGAAGCTGATGCTCCAACCTGTCGTTGAGCCACAATCCTGCAAGATACTCCGCTGTACTCCCATTTTCTATCAGATAGTCGGAAATAAATTTGGCCACCCCAGCCAAGCCACCCAGTCTATCTTTGGGATACGAGAGCTCCCTCGAGGAGTATTCTTCAACAACACCAAACCACCAAATTTCATAATCTTCGCCATTGCCCACACGTACGCGATCATAATCTTTTCGATGGTCGCCTTCCAATCTAACTCTATTATCGCATCGGAATTGAACCATTTTCTTGCCGAATAAAAGTTATTGTGTAGACATGATCCTTTCTTGCCAAACCCAAGCACGGCTATACCATCTCGAATGCCTGATGTCACTATTTTCTCTGGAAATGTTCATTGGTTTCAGGGAAATTGAATACTCTCCAGAAATATGATGCAACAGAGATGAGCGAAATTGAACAGTTAAGGATTCATTTACAGGCCGCAGAAGAAAGTTTTCGGAAGATGAGGAGCTTTTAGTCGCACCAATGGTGATTTGGGAATGTGCGAAAATGTCGCACATTGAGATGGACTCAGCCTCCCAATCTTCTTTGCTCCCTTGAACGATGCAAAGTGCATCAATCCATAGATATCAAATGCCAAGTTCCCTAGTGATCTTGATCGCATCTTGAAAGGTCGCCGGCATATCGTGTATTAATATACCCACCTTCTCATGTTCATCCTTGTTTTCCTTGGTGGTTTTCAAAGTAGGCGAATCGCCCCAACAGTAGCTCAATGCTGCATATTGAAGCTGAGAATTGGTTGAGTCCGTTGACGGGAGTTACGGGTGCTCTATTAATTTCGCGAATGAAGTACCGCAACTTCCGGTATCTAATAATCGTGTTGGAACAAACTGGGTTCTACGGACCCTATTTTTACAGGTCGGATGGTATTTGACGCATTCGTCAATGCAACGTTTCATGAACTGAATGTTTTTTTCAGAAACCGGACCATCAGGATCTGGTGGTGTATAAATTATCCTAAGCCAATCTTTGCAGTCACCTCCATGAAATCAATTGACCATATGAGGAAGGAGACGGGTACAGCCTACCAGGCCAAGCCATTACATCAAAGAAGTAAACGTCTACCTCTTCACTGTGAGAATCGGGATGGTAAACTAAGACAGCCAAGTGATAAAGGTGCTTCATCAATTTTTCTTGTAATGCTTCTCCGCCTTCCCCTCCCTTCACCAACCTTCCTCCATGCCATTCGTACTGAATGTAGTATTTGAGCCTTGCATTCGTATCCCCCTACCAGGAGCACTCGCTATATTCTTCACGGAAAAGATTCTTTAGCGCCGAACAAAACACGCCTTAATTGCCGGTTCTGAAAGTTCAGGAAGTTTAGGAAGCGCCACGCATCTTTTGTAATTTTTGCCTACGTAGCGCCGAGGTAACTACTCCATAGTTTGATCGTAATATGTATCCTGCCACTCCCAACCGTTTTCATGTCGTTTTAGATCGGGTTCGAGGATCGAAGAAAAGCGGAGTTTTTTCATTTTATCCACAAGATGCCGACTGTCGAGGTCTCTTATAACTACGTTGCTGGATACAAGCCACCGATTGTCCAATGCAAAACCCGATAAATTTAAAGTGATTACGCCATTGGAGTGTTCCCATACTGAACCACCGGCGGCCTCATCATCGATAGTCAGTGCTTCCAAACACAAGTTGCAAAGATCATCGTTGGCCATGTACCTTTCGGATGGTTCGCACTGTCCAGTCGTGAGAGAATGCGAAGACTCGACACCTGCATACGCACAAACCTTAAGCGGGGGCTGGGCACCCGTATTCTACCCGGATTATTTTATTCTGTAGGGTATTTACCCTAGTCTGTAAGATATAACGTTAACAGAATAATTATCCTGTAAAACACAAAAATACAGATCTATCCCCGGGTATATACATCATATAATCGTTCTATATAATTTCGTATACAATACTCAGTGGATATACCCATAACCTTCTTTATTCTGTAGGATATTAATCCTACACTATAGAAATAATGCAGGATAATCACCCCCTTGTTTCCACCGAGGGTCATCTAGGGTATACCCCTACTCATTGCCCAGCTCTGACCTTAAGCTCTCTCTTTAGAGTCCACGTAGCTAAGATTGAATCGTTTAATGCAATGGAAATGGTATAGGCAGACATCATTTCATTTATATATGAAGTGAAACTAACGCACAATTGATATATGATCACAGAAAAGATATACGCTAGTAATCAATCATAAAACGTCATCAGTTAAAATCTTGTATTGAAATATAAAAGAGACGAATGGAAAGTCTCGATCCCGCCTCAAATTTCAACGATAATCGCAAAACTAAAGGATGGCAAAAGCAAACAAAAAAAAAACAGTATCATGTTTGAGTGATGTCAAGTGAGGTTTATGGAAACAATGATGAATGATGCAATCGATATATAAATATCAACAAATGACTGTGAACTTAGCGAACTAATAGAAAGTGACTATATACAGGTTATAGTTTTTGTTTGACTCCAAAGCCATCATTCAATGTTGGTGATTGGCTCCAAATTTCCGTGTTTTTCAGCAACCGTAGCATGACCAAAAGTTTGCAACACCAAATGGTCAATACCAAACAGCAAAGTTTCTACTCTGAACAATTTCCAGGACAAACTGCGTTTTTGGAGCATGTCCTCTTAGCCAAGCTATTTATGACTGTTGTAAATTTCAAACGCAGTAGGACAGCAAGTGAAGGCGAAATGCATTTCATTGCTTTGTCGCCTTTTGGTTTCCGGTACCGAGAATATCACCCTGCTCTTCTGTTCCATTCTTTGCCCGGTCTATTCTCTCTTGAGTGGTTTTGAATAATCGTGGCACAATTGTCTGCTCAAATGGTACGTCTTCAGACACCATCTTGGCAACTGCTTTACCAGACAACCAAATGACTGGCATGCCGTGACCATTAAATCCAGCAAGAACAAACTGATTGGGCTTTCCAGGAACTGCACCAACGTGGGGGTTCGAGTCGTAAGAATATCCCATAACTCCAGTCCAGATATTGTCGACCTTGGCTCCAGAGTCCTCCCATCCATTGTATGTTTCCTGCATATAGTTGTTGTAATAGTCTTTTGCTGCATCAATGAGAACACTATCATCAACGTTATTGTACCATTGATCTTTGTGAGCTTTGAATTTCGACGCGGCACCACCAACGACGATACTACCGTCTGCTCTGGGGATGAGATACGAAAGAGTGTTGTCTTCCGTTCGGTTGATGTATGTGTTGTTGAGGAGTGGTGCGACCTTTCCCTCAGGTACAGTGATGTGACAACAGATTCCTTTGGAAGGAATAATGTTATGATCGTATTCAGGCAAAAGAGCGGAGATGTATGCATTATTGGCATATACGATCTTGCCAGCATGCGTAGTTCCTCGGCTTGTCCTAACATTGAAGCCTCCATCGGAATCAGTAACCACACTTGTCACGGGCGTGTTAGTTTGCAAGTTGACCTTTCCAGTTGGCAAAATTATCTCAAGAAGTCCCAGAATGAACTTATAAGGCCACATACTTCCAGCTGTGTATGAAGCACAAGCCTTGGCACCTTTAACTCCGCAGATCTAGCAGACAGTTAGCGATATAGAACCTTGTTGTGTGAAATTTCACCTACTCCTTCAACTTCTTTTCCGGTATGAAAGATGACATCATCCATGTATTCAAATCCGTTCTCCACCATCTGGTCATAGACAGCCTTGGCTTTCTTTGCCATTTCCTCATTGCACCATACATCAACTGTCCTGCAGAGACTGAAGTCACAGTCAATCTTCTCTTTTTCAACAAGTCTTTTGATCTCCTTGACGTGAGCAATTTCGAATTCGGCTATCTCGGCTCCTGCTCGTGGTCCTCCTCGCTCAACATAAGTTGGAATGTGGCCATACAAATCTGGTCTCATATGGCCTCCATTTCGACCAGTTGCACCTGAACACGCGCCTCGTGCTTCTATGATCGTGATTGACTTAATTGAGTCGCCACCCTCCTTGACTAGATGGTACGCGGTACTCACACCGGCGTAGCCTGCACCGACGATGACTACATCGCTGTGCGTTGGAAGCTCTTCTGTAGAGCGGTGGTCATGCAATCTATGTTTCTCTGATTGCCAGAAACAATCTAAAGGGTTGGAAACCGGTAAGTACTTGGATACTACTGGGTCTGAGTCTGTTTTTGTTGGAGCTACGGAGATTGAAAGACTATCTAAAGTTTCGGAAACAGTCTTCATGGTTGCTGGAGGGTACTTCGTATTTTTGAGGTTAATAGAGATTCTGATGGAACATTAGTATGATAGGAATTTAAACTCAAGCAAATCTCTTACCTGAAGTGCGTGTTGGAACGTTGAGGATTCTTTTGTGTAGAATCCCAAAAGTGATTGTCAAGATATTGTATGAAGGTGAATGATTGTATCCAGCTGTTGATATACTCGAGTGATTATTAATACACTAGATAGTTGAAAGCTTGCAAACGTCAATGTTGGCTGTCCATATCGAGGAAGTTTTTTGATGATTAAATGTGACATCTCCTGATCTCTCCGCATTCTTATCAGATCTTGTCCTTCCGCACCTCATCGCCAAATATGGTTAGCTAAAATGCAATAATAAAATGGGGCATGATATCAGCTATTAATATCATGCGTTTGACCGAATAGGAGATGTCGTTGTTTTTATATATAATTAAATGACCCACTTTCATCCATTCCGACAATTTTATTTGGACGTGATTTCGTGTGCATAATCTTGCCGTAACACGTGATATATGTGGCCATGGATTACATAATCTGTCTAATCAGACATGGTGATATCGCTCGAGCCACCATCCCACCGTCCATCCCACTATAGAACTGCGGAGTGTGATAAGCTCCTTTGCGATGCCGCTCAAATCTCCATCCATTCGACAGGGCTGGTTAATCTTTTTGAAATGATGCTATCGCTATATGACATTCGGTAGTTTCAAGCATATCTATTACAGCCAAAAGTTTTACAGGAATGGAAGGCGGAATGCCTAACCAGAGGCGAGCCCTACTTCTGCCACCTTAATCGGGTATTCCGAAAGGGTTACTACTCCTCCCGTTCCAAACGATCCTGCATGGGTTCTGCTTGAAGCGTGTACCAATTCAAGCTGAGCTTGATCACAGGTTATTTTAAAAGTCACGCAATATGACGTTCCCCACAAGATTCCTTGTTTCGAATACCTGTCGCACAAGAATACGAATAGCAAAGGCCGGAACAAGACCATGTCTTTTATTTCTAGCGAAAAACAGCGATTAGAATGGGTAAGTTAGTATTCAGATAAGCTTGTTGTCCATACCAATTGCGGAGAAGCTTTGCTTGAGGGTATCGAGGAAGCTCAAAAATGATGAAAGAAAGTCGATATATTGAGCAATACCAAACATCCTCGGGGGTTTGCTTATCAGCTGGGTCAAAGTCTCCCGAGCGAAATAATTACTAATCGTACATAACTCCACTGGGACGTCTCTGCTGAACTGGTATTGCCCAAGGAGGATCAAGCAGGGGCAAAGCAAATGAGCCTATGAGATGACGGGTATTTGGGATGGATCGTTCGTCATTTGGCTATCAAAGCCTATCATTTACTTGAATGAAAGTTGTCCTATCATGTTTTGATGATAAGAGACGCCTGCTTGATACTTAATTTGCATTCAGCTCCGCTTGAGTTTCTATCACTGCGGGTTAGAGGATCGTCTGATTGGAAGAGTATAAGGCAAGCCTATACATACAAGACTGAGTATCCTTTATTCTCACTCAAGATCATGCTACCTTCTCTTCGTTCTGGTTGACCTCGGTATTCTTGAACATGTCGGATCATAAAACAGATGACTACGAGCTCGGTCATGGCGGCAGCAAGAACGAGAGTATAGCTCAAGGCAATATCGAAGTTCATTCTGGTCATTATGAGACTGGAACTGTAGCAGAGTTTCAGGAGTTGACAACTGTTAAACAAGGCCTACACCAACGCCATATCCAGATGATCGCACTCGCCGGAGCGATTGGCACAGGTTTATTCCTCGGGTCTGGTAGAGCAATTGCGAGATCTGGCCCTCTAGGTGCATTTCTTGGTTATTCGGTGGTTGGCATCGCTGTGTCGAGTGTAGTGCTTGCTGTTGGAGAGATGGGAGCTTTGGTTCCTCTCAACGGAGGACAAATTCGTTATGCCCAGCACTTCTTCGACCCTGCCATGTCTTTCGCCAACGGATGGAACCAGGTTTATTCATACATTGTATCTATTCCAGCCGAGATCGTTGCTGCTGCCGTCTTGGTGGAATTCTGGACGACGATCAACAATGCAATCTGGATCACGGTCTTTGGGCTCCTCATGGTTATCACTTCAATCACATTTATCAGGGTTTATGGTGAACTGGAGTTTACGTTTTCTATGCTAAAAATCATGTTGATTGTCGGAATCAATATAATGGCGCTAGTTATTACTTGCGGAGGGGCTCCAGACCATGAAACGATCGGCTTCCGTTACTGGAGAGATCCCGGAGCCTTCGTCCAGTACTTGGGCATTGGCGGCTCTCTGGGACGCTTTCTTGGATTTTGGACTACACTAAACAATGCTTTATACGCATACTCCGGAATCGAGAACATTGCTGTCGCTGCTGCCGAGACCAAAAATCCGAGACAAGCAATTCCTATGGCTGCCAAGCGCATCTTTATCCGGATTTTGTTGTTCTACGTTCTGACCATCTTCATGGTCGGTCTTGTGGTTCCATCCAACGATCCTGACCTTCTCCAATCCACTGGCACTGCTTCAGAGAGCCCCTTTGTTATTGCCGCAAAAAATGCTGGGATCAAAATTGTTCCTTCGATTATCAATGCAGTTGTTCTTACCTCCGCTTGGTCTTCGGGAAACTCCAGTATGCTTGGTGGAACACGAATGCTCTTTGGCATGGCTAAGTATGGACATGCTCCCAAAATCTTCACTAGGACTAACCGTGCCGGTGTTCCTTACGTCGCGGCCGTTTTTTACTCTGTTTTTATGTGCTTGGGTTACATGACCTTATCCAGTACTGCCAGCACAGTCTTCACTTGGCTCCAAGATCTCGTTTCCATTGCGACCTTGGTTAATTGGATTTGCATCTTGCTTATCTATCTAAGATTCCTGTACGCCTGCAAAAAGCAAGGAATTGATCGCCATACTGAGCTTCCATGGGCCGCACCACTTCAACCATACACGACATGGGCTTCACTGACTCTCTTCATCATTCTCCTCTTTACGGGAGGATATGCGACTTTCATTCATGGCCAATGGAATAATGAGACATTTGTCTCGTCATACCTAAATATTCCACTAATCTTCATTCTGTATTTTGGTTACAAATTCTATGCCAAGACCAAAATGGTTTCGCTAGAGGAGATGCCTATTCGTACTTTCATTGAAATTTACCAACAAAACCCAGAGCCAAAGGAAAAGCCTAAGAAGGGACTTCGGAGGTTGAATATATTATGGTCTTGAGAACTTTAACAGGTTTTTTTGTCATACAGTTATTATCAGTGTCATAGTTTATTGAGCGGGATAGAGTTACAGGTGTATGGCGCGACGATTTAGATTTAGGCTTGTGTTGAGACCGGCCAGGATGTGTTACAATTATAGTACTAGAATATTCCATCCATTTATTGATCCTACCATCTTTTGATTTTTATCAGTCATGATTTCTACGTCCGAATCCCCATTTCAGTGTAATCCTTTGGTGGTCTACCTATCTTTCAAAAGCAACTCATCGGTATCTACTATGGTCTATTGCGGAGCAGCCGCTAACATTAAGGGCCGGTCCGCTAGAGCTTCCCTATCAGTGAGGTGACATAACCTTATATACTTAGGTTATTATCCTTAGGCATGGTTAACATAGGGGTAGATAAGAACAAAACCCAATAGAGCTAGCGGAAAAGTAGAGTTGGACAGATTATATTATCTTAGATATGATTATCTATATTTCCTTTGATTAAAACCATATATTTATATGGGTTAACGTATGCAAAATCTTGTAATCTTTCAATAATGTAAGTCTTAGATCGTCTAACGCTATAGCAAAGTTAGATAAGTATTCTCATCCGAAGCTTTTCCGACCCGAACCCCTGAAGGAGCGACATACGGGATAGATGCTTATGATAACATGTCAATCATATCAAAAAAAAAAAAAAAAAAAAAAAAAGAGTATTATGAATAAAAGATGTGATGATAAAAAGACACAGAGTACTACAGATAAGAAGATAGTATTAAATGGGATATTCATCATCGGTTATTTTGTCCTCAGTGTTGGTTTGAACACCAAGATCTATCTAGAGTGATTGTGGAGAAAGGAATGAGGGGTATGCATTAAATTGAGATAAGATCTTCTCATTATCAATTTTGCATTAAGATAGATTTAGATAAGTTATCCCAAAGGATATTCGGATTTCGGATTAGTTCGGATAGGTTAGATTGCGTTTGCTGGTTAGTTGTGCGGTTGGAGAGAGTACGGTACGGAGATAGTGCAAACGGTGGTAATGCGGGGAAGCTTATTGCGAATTATAGCATGCAAATCATGTGCATATTCGCAATCAGGCACACGTAGGTGGGATATATGATTAAACTAGAATATTTAGAGTATCTTGTCATTATCTGTATCGGATATTGAATGATATACTTTTGAGTCATAGAAATTACAGTTTAGTAGAAAATACATACACGTTGATGGAGGGAAAAGTGCGAATGATATCATCCACCCGCAAACAAACTAATCCTATCATCTCGTGATCATTCTACACTTCACTCCAAATCAACAACTACAAAGCTCCAACATAACAATAATTAATCAATGTAAAGTGCTCCAATCCCAACCCAACAAGCAATAAACCATTATAACACAAAATACAAAATAAACACATAATGGGCGGCCAAAAACACATCGTCTTCGACATCGTAGGCACCTGCGTATCTTTCGACGAATACCACGCGCAAATCGAGCAAGCCATCGGTCCCAAACTCCGCGCTCACAACATCACCGCCAAATTCTTTGGCTACAGCTGGATGACCGCTTCAGAGCTAGAATTCACATTCCTCTCCATATCCGAACGATACAAGTCATACAACGGCATTCTGGAAGCTACCTTCTACCGCACGTTATGGTTTGCGGGGGTTAAGGATCCGCGGGCTTTATGTACAGATGAGGAAATGAAGGCGTGCGTGAGGGGTTACTCTGAGTTACGGTTGAGAGCAGGAGCGAAGGAGTGTTTTGAGATATTGAAGAAGGGAGGATTTAAAGTGTGGTTATTGACCACGGCTGATTTGAAGCGTGTTCAAGGGTATTTTTCCAGAGGGGGTGTGGAGATGCCTGCGGAAAACTTCATATCGTGTGATAGTTTTGGGGTGGCTAAGCCGGCGTTGGCGGCGTATAGAAATGCGTTGGAGAAATTTGCTCCCGGTGATGAGGCATGGTTTGCGGCTGCGCATATGTGGGATGTGTCGGCTGCGAAGAAGGTTGGGTTTAAGGGTGCTTATTGTACGGAGTATGAGAAGGAGTCGTGTATTGAGATTTATGATACAGAGATGGATGTTATGGCTGATAGTTTGCCAGAGATGGCGGAGAAGGTTGTAAAGGCTACTTCCTCATGAAGTATGTTAGCATTCAATAGGTACAATAAAGTCTAATCGCAACATTATCAGAGCATGAGCAAAATCAGGACATCGAAATTAGATCTGTGATATAAAAGTATCGTTCTATGCTCAACTCAATTCACACTTGAGCATATGCTCCTCGCCTCACAAATCCTAAGTGGTGAGAAGGTATTCAGAAATTCCAATCCGACTCTCCTCCAAATTCACACCACCATCTTCTCTCAAATCTCCCAATCTCCCAATCTCCCAATCTCCCAATTCCCCAACCTCTCAACCCCTCATTCCCATCTCATCACCTCCACAAACAAATCCAGCACAGAATTCCCAGCCAAAGCATCACAATCACCATCCACAGTCCATCTTATACTCAAACTCTCCCCATGACTTTATTAAAGTAAAGATAGAAATATGATATCAGTTGATATACAGAGTAGCATTCTTTTCTTTCTCGACAATCGATCACCATGGTCTATCTCAAGTTTCCACACTCATAGGAAAGAATAAGGGGCGACATACGGAGTAATGAAATTTGATCTGCCAATCCTCACATTATATATCACAATTCACATTTCACTGTTCACATTCACATTCACCAAACCAAGACACAAAGTCAAAGTAAAAGTCATCGCTGTACGTATTTGTAACGTGTGATATCAACGCTAATAGCTAAGTTTCTCAACCAGCAATATTTACACCTATCTACACTTGATGGCGGTCGAATATACATAACAATCTTTCTCTGCCTTTCAGTCCTCGGGGTGCCTCCCTTCATCAATGAAGTCCTCGTATCGACGCACCTTCTATTCACCGACTAATGCAATGCAATGCGAAAATAAAGCAAACCAGTGCCACGCTTATTGTGCTCAAATAGCAAGCTTCCAAAAACGTAAAGAGACAAAAAGAAAATCTGGGTATCCATCATCCAAATGTACTGTATCCCCCAGGCCCCAGCAGCATTCCAAAATCCTCCAATCCAATGAAATCGTGTACAAAAGAAAAGTATAACCATAGAAATGATAGTAGCCAGATAAATGCTTATTTAACTCCGTTCCTTTTGTATTTTTCGTTGCCCTTCCTGGTCCAATCTAATGTAAAAACTTGGAAACTCGAAAATATCTGTCGGTATGCTAGCCGTAAAGTTCGTAATCTGTGTCGCAGGTGTGCAAATCAATTGATCCTCACTATTTCCGCTTGAATAAAGAATACGTTGTTCCTTAAATACCAGCTCCAACTGGTACTCTCTGCATTATAATAGGCACATCACTAAAATCCAAACCCCACTCTTTAGACACCTCAACCCCCTTTCTCCCTCCTTTATTCATCATCCCGCCGTTTCTGGTTCCCGCGCTCCCACCTATTCCGTAGTTGGGCTCAAATCCGTATCCCAGACCTCCTGCATATCGATCTAGTACTAACATATCTTGCGTTGAATTCCCCAATTCTGGAATCGTTTGGGGTTCTTCTACGTATTGTGCATCGTATTCATTCTTCGGCGTATCACCAGAGAGCTCGTGGAGATTAGTAGAAGAACCGTACGTGTGGTCGTATGCGCCCGCATGAATCTCCCATTCCTTTTCACTATACACACTCGCAGTCCTTGAACTCTTTCCCGAGTTATTATGGACATCAAAACTGAAGTGATGAGGGGGAATAGGTCGATGGAACTGTGCAGCTGGTCTAACGATCTGAGATCTGACCTTGCATGGTCTTTCGGAGTAACCAATCTTAAGTTGCGCAGGCAAGTCTTGCTTTTCTGGTGAATCAAACCAGAGTTCTTGCCCCGATGCTACCGATGTCTGGCTTCTTACCTCTCGAATGGTATGAGGAGTATGTGATGTTGGCGCTGATGTAACCGGCTTTCTTTGTGGAGAAATTTGCTTTTCTAGCGACACTGGCTGTGGCAAAGATTGTTCCACAGATGTAAATCTTACTTTTGGTAAAACCAATTGTCCCAGAGCAGGGACCGGAACGGAACTTCGTTGAGTCTGGAAAGAAACATGTGGAGGACTATTGACCCTACTAGTTCTTGCTATGAATAATCTCTTTCCATCGTCTTCGGGCGTTCGTCTTTGCGACGGTAAATCTCGAAGAGTAAATGTTGAGCCTGAGGAAGTCGCCCTTGAGTTCGGTCCAGTGCTATCATTATCGAATGGGTTGCCGCCAACAAGCTTGTTGTAAGATTCTTGGTGTTCGTTGATATGAGGCCTCGAGAGTGGAGGTTCCTCAGATTGAGATCGAATGAGATTGACGTGTGTAGATTGCAGTTGCGCAGTCATGCTTGTCGTCCCTGGTGCAGGTGTGCCTCTTGGCGCAGCCCTCGGAGGTGTCTTTTCCATTGCTGTAAGTGCCAAATCATAAGGAGAGCCCCCAAGACTGTTCTTGATTGTCTCGAAAGATGTGACATGATTTTCAAAATCTGTCTGGTCTTCCTGTGGATATGTATTCAGGGAAGTGGGGGTGTGATACGGTTGTAATGTGTATCGATTTTTTGGTGTAGACAGAGCTGCTGGAGCACAAGAGTGTCTTCGTACGTTTGGTGGCTTCCAGCCAGCGTGGTATTCCTCCTCTGGGATGGATGTAGGAATAGGAGGGATTGCATTGTGCAGCCTATTGTATGTAGACTCTATTTCAGCAGGCTCAAGTGACATGATCGTGGTAATGGTTTCTTTCGAACTGACCCTCCGCATTGCTTTGTATCCCATAATTTCATCCACTTTTTCGCTATGTTGATATGAAGCTGCAGTAGGCAAGTGCTTCTCACTATGTGATCGAGATTGCGCTGTAAATCCCGGACTGCCCGAGTAATAAGATTGTGGGCGTTGTCTCTGCATTTCCCACTGCGAGCTTGGAGATTCGCCTGCAACAAAGGTTTGAGGTTGACGCGGAACTAGTGGCATGCTCTGTCGATGATACATTGGCGTTTGCTGTGGAATTTGAGCTTGGTAAGCTAAACTTGGTGAAGAGACATTGTTCAATCTTGTCGTTTTCTGAGCTTCTGGACTGACCATAGGAATAGCGTGATTGGCCGAGCCATGTGATTGATTGAAGAACTGATTGTCGCTCGGGACATCACTGTATGCCAGGGATAGACTATGAGGCAGAGATTCTTTTGCTGGAGCACGTGGTGCTTCCGTTGTCTTGAGAGATATCCTTGTCGGCAAAACTTTCGCGGCTGCGTTCTTTTCGGATGTAGATGAGTTATATCCACTGTCTGTCTTTGCCAGTGGTTTCAATATCATATCTCGTGGAACATGAATCCGGTCCGTTTGTTGTTCTGGTGTAGCAGGCGACGGGCCATAACCGGAGTCAAATGAACGATTATCATTACTGGAAGAAGGCTCAAGTGTAGGTGTAGACATTTCAATCTCAAACAAATCGTCATCTACAGCAGTGTTCTTGCTCGTAGCTTGTAATGATGGAGATCCGATGGGACTTTCAACAAAAGAAAATGGGCTCAATTGAGGAGGAAGAGTCAGAGAATGAACATCAGTGGGTGACAATGGAGATTTGAGAGTAGATGTATTATCTGGAATTTTGATGGTCAGAGATTCATGAGAACTGTTTTCAGAAGAAGGTTCTAGGAAAGTTGGTGCCCAAGGACGTTTCATAGCTTCTGCAGGAACAGAGATAGTATAGCTTCGATGAGCAATACCTTGAACTTTGGAGCTTGCTTTCAGAGTAGCAATATGTTGATCATTGTGCGGGAGACTGGCTCTTCTCTCATCGGCACTAGGTGTAGGACTTGCTGAACCATTTGTAATTCTCAATGAACCAAGCTGAAATGAACCAATATGGCCAAGGTCATTGGGAGTCGAAGTACGCGCCGCAGGATTTTCATTATCCACATTTGTCCTTAATGTTAGAGGAGATGCTGACCATTTTCCAATGTTGTGGTATGAAGCAGGAATATGATTTTGGAAAGATTGCTGATTCGATGTAATGCTGGGTCTTGTCGCTACGCCATGTTGGAGAAGAGATTTTCTGCGGATTGGAGCATATATCGCAGGATCTGATTGAGTTCTTTGACAAAATGGGTCTGACAACTGCCAATCCATTTCTCCAAAATGTTGCCCAGCCAAACCCGTTGCAATATTTATAGAATCTGGTCTTGGAGAAAGCCCCTCAGAAACGAGAGAAAGTCGGTTATTACTATTATTATTATTATTATTATTATTCGATGCAAATGGGGCGTGTGGTAGCGATTTTCGCGAAGGATGAAAAGATGTTCTGAGATTTCAATGAGCACTTTATATATGCAGCATCTGGACAGGACTTACCTAGGATTTGGAGCAGCCCAAGGCTTTTCTTCTGTTGCTTCGACGCTAACAGAGTTTAAGGAATCACTTCTTGTAAACCTGGGTGTAGTCATTGGTGGTGGAACACTCGGTACACTATTGACATTAACATCCAGTTGAGTGTTCCCCATATCCTTTTTTGAGCTCTTTGACCTAAAGATACTCATTCTCTTCTTCTTCTTCGGTGTTGGTTGTGATATATGTTCAAGAGATTCGTTCTCAAGAACACTGTCCAGCTTGCCATGAGGAAGTTTTGAAGCAGCTGCAGCTACAATGCCTTTTCCATTAACGGAATTTCGACGACTCGGATTGGGGCTATTGGAGTTCGATAGAGGTGGTCCAGTAGGCTTAGTTTTGGGTTTCGATAACTTCTTACCCCGCCTTGGGCCCTGTACTGATTGGCCGTTTCCCATGATTGTTGCAGAGGAACAAGAATTGAAGTCGAGAAGGCTGAACTTTAGTTATTATACATCTGAAGATGTATGTTATATTGCTTCCATTTCGTTCAGATTATAATGTACCAAGATCCCGGGTTGTGCAATCTAGGGCAGATTGATTTGATAGAGTTCTGCAGCCGTTAGATTAGAAGAAGGTGGAGGAGGAAGGAGAGGAGGTCGAGGGTTTGGACATAAATGGCGATGTGCCTTGTTGTATATTCGGATTCTCAATACGAAGGTAAGAAGGCACGATATTCATTGGAGAGCAGTACAGGGGGTTGTTCAAGGATTAATTGTTGGTTAGAAGCCTTGACAAGGTTTCGTAGCTACTGCCATTGCCATGTAAAATAGAAATGGGGTATTTCTGAAAAGGCACAAGGATATTTATTAGAGGAGTTAGAGGAGTAAGAGGAGTGCAGATGCGACCATTGCCAATGAAAATCAGGGACAAAACAGGTTAAAATGTGAAAATTGCTTCATTAGGGTTAAGTGAATATAAAAATTATGCGCCAACCTACTTGTGCATGGATTTCATGGATTTCATGGATTTCGAACGGTTCAAAGTGCGCTGGAATGGTGTTTCAGAGGGATGCAGAAAAAAAAAGATGCAACATCACCGATTTGTCTCTGTACGGGGTATGGCCATTTCTGTACTCGCGGCCCAGAATCGTTAAGTGTCACTGGCGGTATGTATAAAATCAATTATCGTTGGCTGAGTTTACATCAGAACATGCGCAAAGCTGACGACGGTCTGAGTAACGGAATGAGGAGATAATATCTTGATTTTTGGGGTGGCTGGCGTACGGAGTAAGTAGACTGGTGAGGGCAAAGAACGAGCTTTGGACATACGATGGGTCGATGTCACGGATCACGATAATGCATCAATTACCTAGTAGTTAAAGCTTTAAGCATGGAAAAGAGACCACTTTCGTGCTCGGACGAAACATCAATTGTTAGTGGTCCTTTATGGCATCCAGTAAATTAATATTTACATCATCATCGTTGATATTGAGCAAGCAATTATTACCGCGACATATCCATATCCATATCCACCATAGCGTAAGCTGGCTGCTGTACCAAGCATCCCGACAGACAGAATGATCATGAAGCGTCAGGCCATCTTCTCTACTCCGTACTTTCTCACTCCACAGTACATTCCAACAGTATCGAGTGTCCCGCATACGTTCCCTCGGCCTTCCCCAATATTAGACAATTTCCACAAAGCTACAAACTACTTCTTCTCATTTGATTCTTCATCATCCCATTGTCGTCCTTCACCACTATCCTCACACCAACACAACATATTCGAACATCATAGCCTCGTTCTCTAGAGCGGTAAATACTTGGTCGTCGTGGTCAAGGATTCAAGAGGAACGACCAGGTTACAAGTGAGCTAATGTATGCTAAATGTGGAGATATATATCCAATGGGAATCTTCAAACCTCGACGGATAGAAACAAGATCGGCTTGGCTGATGCATTTGCATTAGCGAGCAGCATAAGTTTTGGTGGCATTATTTTTAATGAACGAATCCTTCTCAACTTTGTCAGGGATTCAAGATAATTAAAGAACTAAAGAGGTTGGCCCCGCACGGAGTGGCTGAGGAATGAGGATCTATTTATCCCATCCACCACTCACTCCCATGGCGCGTCAAATTTATCAGTGGAGAACCGCACAACTTCTTTTTTTTTTCTCTGTACAGGTGGATTCTGGAAACTCATTCTCTCCACTTTCAAAAGCTTGAAGACCGCCATTCATGTTGTGACAAGATCCATATTTACCGTTGACTTGCTATTTTCAGACTTTTCGATCGCGATAAGTTCAACCAAGATGAGGAATCCTTGCGGCTGAGTATATAATTTCGATATTCATCGATTGCCTAAAGCATTATGATCCTTCTATCTGTCGCGCGCTTCTGTTTTTCCTACAAATCAAACGTGGTAAAGGAACGGAAAAAGTCGCTCTCCTTGAAATGATGCTTTAACTATTCTTGGTATTCATTCATCTTATAGAACGCGGGACGAGACCTGAAATTGAGTCTTATCGCGAGTCGTTTTGCAGGCGAAACCCCGTCCATCGGGTAGACATGATACGCATATCATCGCCAAGTCTGAAGTTCTTTCAATAGTACCGAGATATGCTCCGTACTTTTCATTATCCCTCAGAGCCAGACTCTACTTGAGACACCTTTGGACAATTTGCTGGTTTAGATTTAGTTCTTATGGGCTATGAAGATACATACGACTTGACTGATCAACAGTCTCCTTTCCAAATTCTCAAATGATATTCATGGATTTGTATTACTAGAGCTACAAACAACCTTTGAACGCGCAATGGGGAGCGTGTTAATGCAAGCCAACGACCAGAATTCGTGAAATTGACTATTTCTCTGTAGTAGCAATAGTGTATTCACAGATACCCCTTCATCCTGTTTTCAATCTGGATGAAGCTAAGCGAAAGCAGCACCTAGCGCCCGAAATGAGTAGCTACCTACCCCTTGTAAACGATAAGCTCACGGTCCATAACATCAAGCCATACTCTGTACGGAGTATGTATCTACCGATCCAACTAGGGAGCATTCAAATAATTTCCTAAAAACTATTGTATGTTGATATTTTACCATTCAAATAGCGCAGATTTCTAGATATCGCTGCTAGTTACCTCCGTAGAAGTTGAACAACCCGAAGTAATCATTTGTGAGATGAGATGAAAAGTTATGTAGATCATCGGGGAATTCTCTCCAACTAGAAATTGCATGGAAACCCGAAATATCACAAAATATCTTAACACGCAAAGTCCAATACATGAGTTTAATGCTCCAGCGGATCTCGATCACTGCAATCTGGCCACAAAATGAGGAACTCATTATCAGCTTTTGAATAAATTAAACGTTTCTGAGACACATTAACGTCACGATCTACACGATTGCATACAGTGAAGCGAAAGTTCAACGGTGTTACGGTACCTCGAACGCGCTCTGGAACAATTCATGATAAATTTACAACGAAGCATTAAAGTTCAGCTGTTATTGTTGTATGATTGTCGTGAGCACCGTCTCAATCTGCTAATCGGGAGTACAGTTGAGTCTAAAGCAACACGCCACGTTGTGTATGCCAACCACTTGTTAAGCTCGCGTTCAACTAATGATTTTCACTACCAACAACCATTCAGCTGCGGGCCTGTTGAAGGATCTGGAGCTGGTCAAATCCTCAAAACATGTGAATCAACCACCTTTTCCTGATGAAATTGAACAACAGCGATTTTTTCTGCTTGTACAAGACTTCAGGCTCGCTATACCAAGCTGTCGCACCTAAGGAAGTACATAAACGGCCTTCAACTCACAAGAAGAATGATCTGGCAGCGGAAGAATATTTACTTCTTGCATGCATAATCTGTACCCCGTATGGATTTGGACACAACACAATAGAAGTATCCCTCGAACGAAAGAACCACGCATTAAGTCACAGGATGTATATCGGTTTAAATCAGCTGCAGGTTTTGGACGAATCGAGAGTCCTTAGGGCTTCGGAAGCATCAATGCATGAAAAATGCTCTTCACTGCGGCAGCACAACACTGCTTTCCAAACTCTCGAAATTTTTCCTGCTCCAGGTTGTCGTCAGTGTTTGTAATCTCATCTTTTTACGTTACGGTCAGGCGTCACCTATGGTGTTACCACACACCAATGTTTGTACTTTTGCCGCTGTAAACACGATAGGTATGATTTCGCACAAATATACTTTATCTTGGTAAGTTCATTACTTCACAATATTCTCATTTTCCTTTCATGCATCATCATATCACCACTTGGAAACTCCGAAATCTGCCCGTTCCATAGATAGACAATCCAGATTTTCCCACTGGCGATAACACGAACTTTCCTCACGTCGTTATCAACTTATCTACTCGAGCCTCGGAAACTGCTTGATGCATCAGCCTATCAGCATGACACTACAATATGGATCCCCGTCTAGCCCTACACGCTTCTTTTCGAAAAAGATACACAACGTATGTAAGGGAGGAGAAGAGATTCGATAGTAGGTCTAATGATCAATTGACATAAATACGAACTGGAAAGAATTGCAAAACTTTCAAATACAATTGAGGCCAGAGAAATATATGAGGATAAAGATTATTTGCTATCAATGCTTTGTAAAAGCTATGTAGGATGTGAGATGACCATGCAGCATGTTTGAGAGCGAGTAGATGGACCTTATTATTAATCAGGAAGCATCCATATCAACTCTTGAGTTTCTTTTCTCCAGCTTATCCCGAACATCTTCTCCAATCATTCGAGGCAATTCATGTCCGATGGTTACATTTTGGTTGGGTATCACTCGCTATCACCTGCTATAAACCCCTGTATCGATAATGTACCTCCTGTCGAGCGACTTCGCTCTGTTTCTCCACAAACTGACACATTCATTGTACTCACCAATCAGATGACAATTTATCTATGAATGCAAATCTCAGGTTCTCCTCCACCTTTTTGAAGGTCTGTTAGATTTCCGACTCAGCCATGGAATCAAACTCCTATCCTCATTTTGAACAACACATCAAGAAGAACATCATCACCTGCAGTGGCGGTTGCATTTGCAGTTGCAGAGAGTATCGTTCTAGATTCTTACTTGATTTCCGTGGAATATTGCTATTCAATCTTCCAATATCATTTTCACATTCATCGATGTATATTCCTAAGAGTTCTTTGAGATGGAGACGATAACAATACCTTCTCCATCAGCATTTCTCTCCTCCCCAGTCCTCAAGCCAGCACCAGAACCACCCCCACCACCCAAAAAAAGAAAGCAATCGACTTCGAGACCATCGACTTCTCAATCTTCAAAGAAAGAAAATGGTATCAACAAACCCAAACAATCGAAAAGTCGGAATGGTAAGCTCAAGATGTCTTCGTCTTCATATCTCTTATCTTTGTGATTGATAAGAGCTTCCGTGCCCCGCATCAAGCTTCGCGTGCTGATTGAAACTTCTTACAACATAGGTTGTATAACTTGCAAGGCAAAACGATTAAAATGCGATGAGACAAAACCTTCATGCCAGCAATGTCATAAAAGAAGCGTTACATGTGGAGGATATAAAAAGGATTTTAAATGGAGGCCATTCGAGGAGACTACTTTCACAAACAAGCCGGCAGTGCCGGCACCGAAAAAGAGAGGTATATATAAACACCAGATTCCAAAGAATATCTCTAATATTTGTAGTTTCGATAGCCCTGGATAAACTAGTGGACGAATCTACAGTTGCAAGTCCAGTAGCCTCGGATGGATCGACTGGTACACCTAATGGAGAGGATACGCAGATGCAGGACTCGTTCTTCAATGCCGCCGTACCTTCTCCAGCAACTTTTGATGTTTCGACTTCACTTCCGGAGCTCCATTCGGGATTTTCTCCTATGTTTGATATGAACACACCTACCTTTAGTCAAGATGGTCCTCAACGACCTCGCATCGAGGCAGATTCGGTCACAAGCAGTCTAAGTAGTATGTTTGAAGACACTGGCCTGGTCACACCAACAAGATCAAATTTTTCCGGACAGTCACCAAGATTATTAGATCTATTACAACCTGGATCGGAGCTGAATGCAAGGCCGCCATCTGTCTCCATGAGTTCATCTATTTCTATGCCATCCCCTATGATGGGTATGACAATGTCAAGTCCAAATATGGGCCAGTTTCAGATGACGAATGATTCGTCTCTTGAGGATGATATTGAGGAAATCATTCGAGATCCTCCATTATCTGACGCTGATATGTGGCTAGCCATGAGTCCCTTTCAACCTCTGTCAAGATCTCCAACTGCATCTCCCATAAGCTTCAGTCCGATGTATCGACAACCAGATGTGCCGGCCGGAAGCCCAGAAATGCTGATGCTTAGATTTGACAAGCAAACATGTGGCATTCTGTCTGTAAAGGATGGTCCAACTGAGAATCCATGGAGAACATTAGTTTGGCCTCTAGCGCGAGATTCCCCAGCATTGTATCATGCTATCGCATCCATGACCGCCTTTCATACCTCGAAAGAAAAACCTGCTCTTCGTGTCGACGGCATGGAACACATGCGTCGTAGTATTCGGTCTCTCGCTACAGGCATAGAAAAAATGCGCACTGATACTGCACTCGCCACAACGCTAGTTCTTGCATTTGCCGAGTCATGGGATCAGCATATCTCTACTGGAATTGAGCATCTCAGGGGCGCAAAAATATTGGTTAACCAAGCACTCATCAAACACAATAAAAGAAGCCTTGTGGGTGATGATCTGGCTAGGTTGAAGTTTCTTTGCAATACTTGGGTTTATATGGATGTTATTGCAAGATTGACATCAATTGATGATGAAGATTCTACGGATTTTGAAAACCTTCTTTCTCCGCTCAATAACCTCTCTTCTTCGTTTTCTTCGTCTTCCGCCGACGTCACTACAATGTCGGAAATCGACCCACTGATGGGCAGCGCGGCAACACTTTTTCCCCTGATTGGTCGCGCTGCGAATCTCTGTCGCAAAGTACAGAAATCAAAGTCAAACTCCATAGCCATAGTATCTCAAGCTATGGAACTCAAGCAAGCAATTGAACAATGGCAACCTTCAACCTCATTTTCGACCCCAGAAGATCCAACCTCTGAAATCCAGCACGCCCTCCAAACAGCTGAAGCCTATCGTTATGCAACTCTTCTTCACTTACATCAAGCTGTCCCCGAAATTCCATCACTAACATGCGCGGAACTGGCTAAGAAAGTCCTGGTTTTCTTAGCCACTGTACCACTCAGTAGTCGTCTCGTCATTGTCCAAATATATCCCCTTCTAGCAGCAGGCTGTGAAGCAAAAGACGACGAAGATAGAAACTGGGTTGAAGAGAGATGGGCAAGTATGGGAAGAAGAATGTGGATTGGGAATATTGATCGCTGCTGGGAAGTCATGCAAGAAGTATGGAGAAGAAGAGATGAAGTTGCTAGACAAAAGGAACAAGAATTGATGAGGAAAAATGGAGGCAGAGTGGGGATGGGTGGAATGCATAGTGGCTTGAGCGACAGTATGAGGAGGTTTGACGAGGAAATGGGCAACGGGGTTGGGAATGAGGAGGTATCGTTTTCTGATTTGTTGAATTTGAATGAGATGGGGAATAGGGGGCAGAGTAGGAGAGCTTCACCGGTGAGAAATAGACAAAGACATAGTATTTCGGGACCGTCTCAAGGAGGATTTCGAGAACTACAAGCTCAGAGACAGGCGGCAGGTCTTATTACCGAGGAGATGGATCAGGAGTTGACGGTTAGAGGAAGATTGCATTGGGTTGGTGTTATGAAGGACTGGGAATGGGAGAGTAAGTTTGATTTCTGTGATTTATTTATTTGTCTATCCTCTTCGCTATTCATTACGGGTATATCTCCATCCAAACGCCTCATCACATTCCTCCCAGTTCCATCTTAAACAAAAGAGATTCGTTATCTGTACGATATATATGCTATAATGCTAATGAATGACACCAAAACTAACAGTCCTACTTGGATAACCCACATCCCTGCAACCACCGTCTCACACCAGCATCATCGGGTCTTCTAAATCCCTGCTGCCACGCATCACTCGCTCTTCGCGCAGCTCGCTCGTGTCTTTCCCGTCTGTGTTCCTCTTCCAACGCATTTTGCATAAATGCTTCATAGGAATCTGGATCTAAATGGTTGTGGGTTTTCCCCAAGGTTCTAGATGGTTGTTGGTAAGAAGATACTTCGTTAAGGAGTGTAGATGTTATGGACCAATTAGTCACTGAGGAGTTGCGATGACGGCGACGATAAGTATTTTGCTCAGAGTTGTATGGCTCGTATTGCTGCTGGGATTGGGATGTTTGGGGGAAGGGTTGATGATGGTTATGGCTGCTTGATGAAGTCTGATCTCGTTCTCGCAGGGATGATGAGAATGAAGAGGAAGACAACGCTTTCTTTCTTTTGATGTTGGGAATCATGGTGAATGTATGAATGGATTTGATTGGAAATATGAGGTCAGCTAGTTGCTTTTGCTTTGGGCGACTTTAGGACTGGTCTGGGCAAAAGGATGTATGTACTCGGGTCCTGTGTGACTTGACTACACTGAACAGAAATGAGGCTGAGAAGAGTAAGAAAATGGATTCTTTAGCGAGGCGTTTGGTAGGTCTTGGGGCGTTTTCGGGATGAAATAGGCGTTTTAGTGTTGCTATATTTGGAAGTCGTGACTTTTCGGTTGGTCTTCTCCTTCGTTGTGGATATTGATATTGGCTTTATCTTGGTTGTATTAGGCTGATAGTAAATGTATCAAGATGAGGACTCGGTTTGATTTTTATATCCGTATGTATAGAAGAATATCAACCAAGCAAGATATCCAATCGATCAATTGAAATGATGAATTTCCTGTTATTAAACTCTAGCAGGCAAAGGTAAAGGTGTCATGGTGGGTAATTTGTGGGACGGAGAATCTTGTTTCAAATCTCGATGGAGTCGATTAATAAGAAGCAAGGTGGTGGATGATGGATGATTGATATAATGTAGGTGTTATGAAAAAAGAACTTGCAACGAGACGGTGGATTTTTGAAACCAGATGAGCTTGATAAACCGGCTTTGGAATAGATAGATTTTCCTCTTTTTTTTTCCTCCCGTATCGAGAAGATGATGGTTGCTATTCTCAATCTTGTGCCACATAATTATAATGATATGTGTGCGTAATACGTGCGACGGAATAACAGGATTGACCTACTATTGATGGCAAATCACGGGATACGATGAATAAACAGACTAAGCAGGCTGAGAATAAGATTGAAAACATGATATGGTTCAAATTCAGTGTAATAGTATTGGAAATAATATGGTAATATACAGGCAGAGCGAAGTTGATGTCTAAATAACCAGTGATTATTACCGTGTATGCGTCTCCAGATCTGTGGCAGAATAGAGTAGAAAGAAATGATAATTGAAAGGGAAGATCATGTGTTGAATGTATTTGGAGAGGAACCAGTTGGTTTGATGAGATCGGAGTGGAGAGCTCGATCGATGCAAATTAGATTTTAGATTTGAGATGGATGGTTTTTTTTTTGTTTTATGTTGGTCAAGTTTCTAAGGGGTTGTATATGTATAGCTGGCTATTTTGTATTACATATATACATATATGTAAATATAGATATATAGCTAGCTAGCTAGCAAAGAATAAAACAACACATCTCTATAAAGAACCAAAAATTCATGTTTCGTTATCCCCGGTTGAAGTTTGTAGCAGAGATCTGGTATTAATTAGATAGGTGTTTGGGTGGGAAGAACTTGGAAATCGGGGTTTGTTCCCGGGCTTCGGATCTGGGATCTTGAATCTCGGGGTACATGGACGTGGAGATGGAGATGGAGATGGCAATGCGATGGGATGGTAATGCGTGGATCGAACTGGTTTCATGTGTGTAAAATGTGTAGAACGAGGTTGTAGAACGAACGTGAGATACATGATCTAGTGGTGTAACTGTATTGCAATTATAGCATGCAGTACCGTGCTTGATCTATAGATTATCAATATAAGATCTGATGATCATGAATGACTAAGTTTTCGAATCGAGGTACTTCCCAATGTAAGCTTATACATGTAAAGCAGAAATACAGAGATGAGCTCTGAGTTACGATGTTATACACAGATGAGATATTGGGTTTCTTGAGACCAGAAAGAGCATCAGATTGAATTGATTGATTCTCTAGCTAAGCAGTTAAGCTGCGAGTATATATTCAAAAAATGAAGAAATAGGGTTAGGTATTCAGCCTTCGGAATTAAAGTGCTTTGAAATCAAAATATTGAAAGCAAACAAACAGTATACCGAAAAGGAAAGAATGAATTAAAAGTTGAGTTTTGTTTGCTCCTTATATGCATATGCTGTCAAGATCCCAGGAGGTCAACATGAGACGATATGTTATGATCGTGTTAGATATATATGTAAGTCCCTATATGTATGAATCTTGTATATATAAGTTTTAAATGCATGAATCTTACATGTAGGGAGTCTCAATTATATATATATTCTAGATAGATCTATTTACATATACACAAATCTGAGGAATACGGCGGTGTTCTCGAGTAGTGAGTTTGTCAGTACTAGGTAAAATGTCTTATATAGTTATTTCTGATATAGATTCTGTGTGAACGAAGTGAATGACTTCAATTCAATTACTACTGTAATAAAGAACTAAGCGAACGCGAAAGAGACTAGCTCTTTTAGTAAGTCTATATAAGACTTACTACTTTCAATATGTAGCTAGCTCTTTAGACAGAATACAATTAGACATACAGGACCTACGTAATCCGTGGGTGCTACGTCTTCCGTATCCTTCTCGTACCAACAGATTCTGTATACAAGTTTTATCATGATCATTCGGTTTTAAATGTTCTACTCAGTTTCTGCTATTTTGTTTAACTTTATGATTAAGTTACAGAATTATTTCGAATACGTTCTCTCTCCTCTTAGTTCATTTGCTCTATGATTTCCTTCAGTCTGTAATTTAAGAGCTACCCCTTACTAGGGATCTATCTGAAAAATGCATATAGATCTAAATGATCAGCTCAAATCGATACATGATTTGCCCGACCAGTAGTCAGTCCCTGGATTTACCAGATACCTCTCGGAATTCCTATAAATGTAAGATTACATAAACTAACTCGGATTACATTAAGCATTCCGGGTCCTAGGGGGGCGAGGGATCTACGATAACCGAGAGAAATACACTGATTTCCCGGCTGAGGAGAAAATTGGAAAAAGGAGTGAAGGCTCCCAGAGAATTAAGATATCATTTTACTGTTGTATGAGAGATCTATATCACACACACCAAAGAAAAGAAAAGACCCCTCATCAACAATCCCCCAACCCTCCAACGAAAAAACAAACCCGGAAAAATCCCAACTACTCGAGCAACCTCGACCTCAATCACCAGCGCACACGACAATCCCCACAAAGAAAACAGACCATCATTCTATAATCTCTAATTCACTCTCACCTACCTACCTACCTACCTACCTAATAGATATATATACCAAGAAATACCAAGAGACGAATCACATAACCATGAACATTTTACCACATCCACATCCTCATATTAATAGACCATGGTATCGTACGCATATCAGTTGATATCGTGCTCTCGTAGTGGTAACTCTTATAAAGCAAGAGTTTTTCTCAATATACAAATCTATAGATAAAGATGATGCAAGCTGAGCTGAGATCCTTATGATCTGTATCTAATTTTACTTAGGTTGGAGATGGTTTGGGGATTGTATGTGAGGAGGTTTTGTGGATGGGTTTTGTGTATTTAGTATGTGTAAATAGTATGTGTATAGAGAGAGAGGGAGATAGAAAGAGGAAGTAGAATAAATAAAGAATAAAAAAATAGAGGATAAGATAACAAGAAGACAAGGAGATATAATAAAATATATAAAATAAATTATTGTTACGTGACGGTTGTTACCCACTAGTGGCTCACGTGCACTAGCCCTTTATATAAAGACCTTACTTAGAATCTTCTTAGTTCTTTAGTTTTAGATTCTAAGTAATTGAATTGACTCCGTTTACGACTTTTCCGTCACAATTATATCCTCTCTTCCCAATGAAGAATATCCCCCTCCCTGTTTACCCGCTGTCCAAAAAGAAGGGCTTTAAAAACGTCTTATAATTATATAAAGATATAACGTAATTTATCACCGAGTGGGCCATATCACCGAGTGGGCCACTTTCACCTCAATTTACACTTTCAAGTACATATTATTCAACAACAATTGAATCAATTGATTGAAACTATTAGGAATCTAATAATCTAGGATCTATTATATTGATTTGACAAGTTCTTGAATTATGACCTGGCTTTCCACACTTACTATAGCATCTACTAGAAGATGCTTCCCCATTAGAATTCCCCCCATTTTGACGCTCGTCGCGTTGAATCTGAATATCAACCTCTTGCTGAGATAATATATCCATAGCTTCTTGTCTAGTAAGTACTCCTCCTTGCTGTAATTGAGTTTTTTTTGCATGTCGATGTTTGCTTAATGCTTTATTTGCCTTCCGAAGTGTACGGTTTTCTGCACTTAAAAGTGTATTTTCATGTGCCAATCTTTCTATGCCTTTAGTTAAAGCTAGTACAGTTTTGAATATAGGTGTAGGAGAGCTTGATTGATGACGAGATATTCGAGATTTTACTAAAGTTGATTGAGAAAGAGCTTCAGTTGGATTGTGAGGGGTTTGAGAGATCCAAAGATCCAAATCGAAAGAAGGAGGAGTAGGTGTATGAATTCGAATATCTAATTTTGAGAGTACAGCTTCGGGATTAAATGGTATTAATCCAGTTTCTCGAAACCCAGCTTTCATATTCTGAACTGTAATTGATTCTTGATATACAGCTTTAAAAGCTATAAAGAATTCAATCTTGAAGATATGATTGATATATGCCTTGATAAATCCATCAATTTGACAACCATACAAATGTTTTAGGACACTAAAACATCCAACATTAAGTAATTGAGTTAAATGACTTGAATACGATAGTAATCTTATATATATAATATCATTTGCCTTGCAATATAATTGAAAAGATATTGATTCATGACTTTCGTATCCATCTAATACTAACATTCGATATTTGCCCTTTCTTCGATGAATCGTATATTTATCGAAATGCTTTAACTATTCTAATCCTGTCTCATTATTCGTTTATCTATTGGAAGTAGGTTTGATAGCCCAATCCGCAGGAAAATCGGTTTCGGTGTACCAATTGGAAAGATGGATTTGTCCTTGAACTACCAGAAATGGAAGTATAGTTTCACCCTCCCTATTACCACATATAATTGCTGTAGCCCATTCTCGATTGCCTGGTTGTACTGCTTTACCTCTGCCTCGTCGTTCAGCATCAGTTACAACCATTGCAGCACTTATAATCCTTATCATAAAGCCTGTTTCGTCGAAATTATAGAAATCGCAATCCAGAATACCATATTTTGCTTGTATATTCGATATCAATTGAAACCACTCCTCAAGAAGCTTAGGGTCTTCGTAGAGAGCTCTTTGAAAATCATAAACACGACTAAAACATATCTTTAATTCTGTATAATGCTTTACGAATCGATGAGCCCAGAGCTTTCCAACTTTCTTCGCATTTCTTGATTCAAGAATATAATTCGCCATATCTTCTACACCCTTGATTTTAGGTGGAAATCCTCTTCGATCCATATCAAGTATGTATTCAACAATCACTTTCTCTTCCAATTGTGTAATCTTATAGCAATTCGCTCGAGTTTCTGTACGTGGAGTTAAACCATCCATTCTGTGGCTGATCGTTGTGCGAGGTATATTATATAGTTGAGCAGCCTTCCGAATGCTTAGTTTTTTATCTTTTTGAAAAGCTTCGATAGCTAAGAGTAAACGTGCTTCTTTATTTGTAGATTGCATAATAAATGGTTGATAAAACGTGTGTTGAATATGAAGAGTGTGAATTGAGGTGAAAGTGGCCCACTCGGTGATATGGCCCACTCGGTGATAAATTACGTTATAGATTAGAAAATAAAATAATGATAACTAAAATACAAGTAAACAATGTTATAACCTCACATATACACTCTCATGCAACAAACCCAAACACAAACCCAAACATATCACTACACACAAACTCCACCCCACCCCACTCCACTCCACCTCATTCCATAAAAACTAAACTAAAATAAAATAAAAGATTCGAAAAAGTCCACAATCTAATATATATATATATATATATATAACACACACACCCGTACACATATTCAAATCTCCATTTATAATCCATATAATCCATATCAGTAATACGTACAAACATACAAACATACAAATATACAAATATACAAGTACTCCATCATATATACAAACATAAAATGAACGAGCCGAAGAAAGAGCACGCAATATGCAAAAAATATTCGCCATATGAAGATTACCTACTCCGTACATATGTATTCCAGGGTAACCTCCAGATAATACGCCGAAACAAACTGCCAAGATATCTACTCCACCTTATAGTTACCTATATATGTACCTAGGTGTATAACTTTAAGCCAACGTACTCGTTCTCAAATTATTTTCCTGGGTAATTAGCTCTAGATTGTGTATACATATATATCTAAATTCTCAAATAGAGATTCTAGATTCTAAGTTTTGACTTTGGTTTTGATTTTGATTTCAGGATGGTACTCATACAAGGTATTCCTATATCTGTAAGAAAATTCTCCAGTGTTGAATTACGAATATTATTGATTGGATATCTCGAAATACAATACACGTTACGGAAACATATCTAATTCTAATATATCTCAATCTCGGGTCGCAAAGCGATAAAGAACGAAAAATTAAGCTATGAAAAATATTGAAGGGTATCTGTTGAAGTAGAAAAGACGCTGGCTAAGAGAAATGAAATGTGGATATCATGCCGTCGTGAGTACGGAGTACTGTTGTCGTTTATGTCGTCTATTGTTGGGGAAGGTGATGCTTCTTATGGGTAGATGTAAGCTGAGAGGTGGAGGTAGCGCTTCAAGCTCAAGTGTAGTAGTACATTTGATGGTTGTTGTTCTGGTTGTTGGTGGGATTCGAAGTTCGTAAAGTCTTTTTTGCAGTCGTCCCTGAATTGTGCCAAAGTAATATCATCCGAGTGGAGCAGAGTCAAGTGGCGAGAAGGATCTGTGTTTTCTTCGTGTCTCGTTCTCCGGAATCTACTGAGGGATTGCCCGAGGAATATCTCATTCGCTGTGTCGTCGTTCCCCATCTTATCTACGTGTAGCATCGTGTGTTGTGTATCAAGCTGTCTCGGAACTCGACTTTCTTTTCCCTCACTCCGAAAAAAGAAAGTAAGTCTCTGACTCACTTCCTCCCTTCCTCAATCTTACATCCTCCTAGCCCACGGGCTCAAATTAACCTCCTTCCTCTTTTCTGCCATCTTCTTCCTCTTCCTTTCCTCCGCCTCTTCTGCCTTTCGACACTTTTCTAAATATTCCCTGAAATCTCGTCCTTCTTGATTCTCTTCCTCTCCATTGTTCTCCTTAATTATGTCTGTAGCTTCTGCACATATATTCGTTTTCCTTTGAGAAGTATGAGAATCTTTGGTAGAATTGGTTGTAGATGGTGATAGAGGATTTCTGTGTTCTGAATTCGGAGTTCTTAGTGACTTGCGACGTCGATGATGTTTCTTGTCGTCATCGCGAGTAATTTTTGGATTTGATGGAAAGGAAAATGATCGAAGCTTCTGTAGGAACATCGTACGCAGGCTTAAAGCTTTGATAGACTCCTCTTTGAATGTGAAGATGGTAAAGAGACTTTTCTGCGTGGATAGTGAAGGTGAAGCTGTATCAGGCGGCTTTATGGAGAGTGCAGACTTTCGATCCTAGACCTGTAAGTATTCAAAGGTCCGATGGCGACTTTGTTTCAATTGTCAACAGATTGATTTGATGCTTTGGGTGTTTGTTGCTCTTGGATTTCAATTTGAATATGAAGATAAAGTGGTGAATACCAGCAAAATCGGAGTTTGTTTATCGAGATGTCTTCGCAGATTTGGAGAGGAGAATTTTCTTTGTGACCAAAATACTTCTCAACGAATTCTAATTTCCGAATAGTCTCGTGCCCATCGAGTGGTGGCGCTTTTTGGTTCCTGTGTAGAATTCGAACTAGTCACAATGTCAATTGAATTGTGAGGAGGCATAAACGTCGGTATGGTGTGAATCAAAAATGCTGCTTATCGTTTGTGAACCCGAGGATGTCAGAACGATGATGATGATGTTTCTGCTCCTATTATGCTTTTAAGTCAAAAGACCTTCCAACTCTCTTGTTGATGTATCACCAGTTGGTGATTATTCCAAGGTCTCGCCGGGGAATATATTGTCGATATTTGTGACAACCAAGGTCACAAATCTGCTCAGAACCAAGATCCGATTCTTTGTTCTCTGAATTGGCTTCTTTTGTATGCGTGACCTGAAAACTAACCCATCCAACCCTCGGGATCTCAATTCCGATTGTAAGTTTGTTCAAAGGTTTCTCTCTTTCCCTTTCCTCGTATCTGTGTGACGTTACAGTTTTATCGTTTCTAGTGTTTATGTTGTACAAATTATCTGATGAGATGCAACGTCAAAAGAATACCCCTTCTTGGCGAAAGTTCCCCAGTCCATATTTGGTTACTTTGAATTGATCATAAAAGGAACTAGTCTGTCATTTCCTTGCTAATCAGGTTAGTGATGTATGTAAGAATGGTCTGATTCTGCTGAATCTTACCCGTCCTAGCCTGTCTAGTTGGGATCTACTCAGAGTTCGAACCCTCTTTTGCTTTGATTTGAATTTGTTTCCGTAGTAGAAGATAGCTAGAAATCACAAGGCTATCACAAGCTTCCTTCTTCGCAGATCAGTGGGTTCTTGTGGGAACAATTGCACATGTCAACTGCTTTGGCTCTCGCAAAAGTTTCAGTAGGTACAATTCAAGTTTTCACTGGCTCCCTGAGAAAGAAAGAAAAGCGGTCCAGATTTTACAACTGTGGCGTTGCAGTCTTATTTCTAGATAAGGAAATGGAAAGATAAGGTTTTGGAGAGTGGCGGGGTAGATTTTTCTATCATCACGTGCAAGATGGAGGGGCAGAGCGGCAGAGCGGCGGAGGGGTAGATATTGGAATACATGAGTACCTGGATCATGAACCTCGGACCTTATATATATGTGCTCAATCGTTCTTTCACTCTCAGAAAACCGGTCTTGGAATTGCATGTAGGTTCTATAGGTATTTCGAGTTAATAAACCCTAATTATTTATTGTTTCATATTATCTAATTATCTAGGAAAAACTGAAATCTATATTATCAGATTGTCCAACAAGACGACTCCGTGGAGAAGACTCTGGATAACCTGAAAAAATTCCAAGAATTGTTCGAATCTATCATCTCCTAACTTCGAAGCCATCTCAAAAAGAAATTATATGCCATTTTCATTTCACCATGAGACCTTCTAAACTCCAACTGTGAACTTTTCGAAAGACTCCCGGATGTCCTTTGACAAGTTCTATTTTGCGAAAAGCTCCATGTAGACATCTCTCGAAAAAGTCTATATGCAATATTACCCAACTTCGTATTGATGCATAAGCAAAAGCCAGTTGATGCTTATGTTGGTAATTCAGCAGGTCCAATGGCATCGGCATGCATTTCATACACAGGAGTATCAGCATACGCGCTATGCACACTTGGTGCACCACCTGGTATTGTAACCATTGAAGTGCGAAGTCCGCCATTATGAATACTACCGTCAATATTCGGGCTCCCAAGTGGACTATCCATATAACTCGTCCCATGATATCCTTGTCCAGGACCTCCGGTGAGCTTCGACGACCTGACGAAGCGGTGAGTAGAATCGGCGAGAGGGGGGCCTATCACATTGGGTGGATCGGAGTCATCAGAAGAAGAATGTCCAGGATCGAATGCGAGAGCTCTGCTGGCTCTTTTTTTGGACTCTATTCGGCGATGCAAGAACCAGGCGAGGCCAGCCAAAATTAAGACAGCACCAAGTCCACCGACTGCTCCCCCGATTATTGCTCCTAATGAATGATTGCTATTATGAGGACTCGAGTAGACAGTACTACTGTTACCTTCCCCGCTTATATTTGCAACTGAGATAGTTAATGTGCTCGAACTTGCTGGTGTAGATGTAGATGTAGATGTGGAAGCGGCTGCAGTAGTAGTAAATAAGGTAGCGAGATTCACAGACATTGATGTAACCAAAGTAGCATCCCAAGTCTCCCAGCTTTGTCGATCGCTACATGTAATAGATGTAAAGATATAGGTTTCTGTCACGAGATACCAAAAGGCGCAATAATCATTTCCATCTCCACTTCCACCGCTGTTAACCCAAAAAGTCAGCACAGAGTCAGCAAAGTACAGTCAAATTTCAAGCTGCACACTGTAATTTGTGATTTCCTCCTTTTCTCGCTCCTCCTTATCTCATCCTAGACTGGCGATTTATAAAAGAAGATATAGCAAGCTCACATACCAAGTCGTAACACTCAAATTAGGCACAGAAGTTCTCCCACAACTACTCGTACAGGCATGATGATCCACGCAAACCTCCGCCCATCCACAATTATTTGGATCCGAGATGCGCGTGGCACAGGCACCAAACATCAACCCATTCTCATCCACCAAACAAGTCTGTCTAGGATCTAATTGCAGACTGAAACCGGGAATCTGATAATCTCCACAGGATTCAGGGTATGATTGCCGTTTTGCGATTTGGAAAGTGGGGGAGATGGTTTTGCGTGGAGGAGATGTTGGCGCTGGTGATTTTGTGGGAGAATTACTTGTTGTTGGGGTTTGGATATCTTTTGAGACGGATGTTTGTATCGGGGAGGGACTTTGAGGTTTTAAGCCAGTGAGGGCAATCTTGTTTGGCGTGGCATGGTTTATAAAATAAATGGTTATTATCCAAGCAAAGACCAGAATATTTCGAGACATCTCTCCGATCTGAGGTTATGTCTTGTGGATGTTATGCTGACATCTTTGAAGATCAAGAAAGACAACAAGGTAGGTAAATAAAATAAAGCTAAGAAACTAGAATGCAAAGCAAAGCAAAATATTAAATTAGCCGCAGTGATAATTATTCACTTCGGAAAAGTCTCTCTTTTGTTGTTGTTGTTGTCACTTCAGCTAACCAATGGATAAGAGATATAACCAGAAACCAACAGTTGGTCTGAAGGTAGCGGAAATTACATTATCCATTAAAAATACAATTCGGACAAGAACATTCGAAAATCATCCTGATAAATGCTGACTCTATGAATCCATATGATTAAATATTCTCTGTCTTTCTAGAATAGTTTCAAACAGAGTATAGGTTTCCATACCGGTGGTTGAATCATGAATGATCAGGAATTAACTGAAATGGAATAACAAAGCAAAGTTGAGGAAGTTTCCAGTAATAAGTATTTATGAAACTACTCCTCTTTGCCTGATAGATTGCTATTTTTCTACCTGTATTTCTTTCACAGCAATGTAACTACAGTCCATTGCCACTGCCAACCGTTAGATACATAACTTTCCTAACATATATATCCCGTCATGAACACATCGATATATACAGCAATAAAGATTTCCCATCCACATCCACACTAATACATAATTTCAAATTAACTTCTACGTACCTACATATCTATAAAAGCACCAAGTTACCATCCAAAACTTCACCAAACAAAGAAAAAACAAATAGTCAACCCTCACCGTCGCCAAAAAGAAGCAGCCAAGTACATAGCTAAGGTCCAAAGTATCCAGAATCCAGAATCCAGAATCAGCACAAATCTAACGAACATCAACCCTCAGCACTATATAATATATAGTCTAGATTTCTCATCTCCTACCTTCTTCATCAACATATACTTCTCCTCATCTTACTACTCTACTCTCCTCTAATCTCTAAATTGCACAAGGAGTCATACACAAAGAACAACATACATCATATATCAAGAAAGATAAATCGAGACCTATACTCTTCTTATCACCAAAATCCTAAATGGATTTTCACCATAACTAAATAGTTTCTGCAAAGCCCATCTCCCAAAACCTATCTCCTCAAACACTCCCTTTCGGGAAAAACTCAAAGATCTTCTACCCAGTTCCTTAAACACACCACCATCACATCACTCAACCTCCAAAAATCTCCTCTAAGCAGGTATTGCACTCACATAGAAAGAAAACTGCATTAAAAAAATCCAGCCTTCCAGCGCCAGGTTTCATAATGAAGCAAGCACCTCCACAGATCCAATAACTTCAGGGTTGAATGACAGTTTCAGATATAGTATTTGAAGCTATCTAGTTCCTTTAACATGCCAAAAGCGAGAATAAGTAGACTGCCCCATGGCTGAATTCCGAATTTCTAGTGTTCAAGGACAAGATGCATACGCCATAATTATCACATGCATGCGCAACATTTCTAGGTTCTGGCTTATACTTAGCGATTTCAACAACTTCTCTTTTCGCAGCAAAAAGTGGTTTCTTCTTCATAAGTGGTGGGATTCATATCGACTTCAGAGAAAATGTTGAACATGACTTCTTTGACTTCGTCTGCTACAGCTCCAGCAACGCCATCCTCCATAACATCTACGACGTCATCCACCTCGGTACGTCTCGCACCAAACGCTCAATCAGACTCAAATACAGCCTCTATTTACACAAAGTCTCCACCCAACAATGTGTCATTAGGACCTGTCATCACCCGCGCCCTTAGAGATCTCGCCCTGATCCTTCTCAAAATTATCACCCTCATCATTCCACAGGGACGTCATTCCCCAAACCAAAAAGAAAAGCTGATGAGCATAAATCAGCTTACCGGCTATAAATCATGACAAAAAAAAGTGGAACCGAAGAATCAATTTCCAAAACGACACTGTAAACTGTACCAATATACTTCCAAATCCGAATACAGCCCTAAAAACAAACGAAGGTACATTCCCAAGAGATGGTAGAGAGAAGAGCACGAACCCAATCCCTTGGAGCTGGATACAGGACGATGATTTTTAACTTGGTAAAGCAATGTCTACGGATAAACCGCGTTGTGATTATAGTAGCAAACTGCAAAAACGTTAAAATAGTCTTCGGGATGATTCGAAGCCAGTCCAAAAATGAAAAAGATGTTCGATTATGCAGTTTTATCTCCATCTCTAGAGTAGTTCTTGTAGGGTAGTATTAAGAGGTATTAGGAGGTGGTGCCTTGTATTTTTGTTCCTGCATAAGTAAAATCGACTATTGTTGCTAGTTAGCGACAGCTACTTTAGTCAAACACCACATTCCTCCAGCCCTATAGAAAACGCTTCAAGTGTTACAGAAACGCAGGACACATTTGTGATAACTTAGAAGGTAGGAAGTAATAGCTACCTTGTCCAAAACGTCGACATAGTGAAGATTCTTTACTCCAAAATATCTTTCATATGGACATTCCCTTCCAATTTCCAGGATCATGTTTAGAGATCCATCTTCACTATATCGACTCGCTCATTACCTTTTTTTTTTTGGCAGACCAAACATCGTGAGAATCATAGTATCAGTAACCACCACAGGCAGCGGAACTTCCTCTTCCTCTTCCGCGGCACTTCCCAAATCTCCTCCCAAATACAATTGAAAAGCTTTAATAGACATCTTCCTCAGCGTCCTCATGTTCCCGTCTTCTCCTAATCCTCATTTTCATTTAGATAGGAAGGTGCGTGTAATGGCGGGGGACGAAATTGTAGGAGAGGTGCAGTGCAAGAGAGTTGGAAAGATGTGGTGCGGAAGAGGAAGGATAACTATTGAGGAATCGGAATGAGGTATATTGTGAGGAATGGACGGAGAAGTGATAGTATGATGCGGATATTCGAGCTTGATGGACAATTGTACATAATGAGAAGTGGTTAACGCCGTAGAGAAAACGGAAACGTTATAAGTGAAACAAACTAAAGGGCCATCAAGTCACGGAGCCATGTTTGGCACTTGCCAGAGAAATATAACGGGGTCAAGGTGTTTTGTGTGAGAACAAGAAATAATACATCGTAATTCATGACATTGCTTATTCGTGTTATTTACAAACAGCACATAGACTCCAAAATCCCATTATCCAATCCATTCCATTCCATTTAATTGATATTCCCTTCCTATGCGGTACCAGTCTATTAAATAAATTAGCATCTTGCACAAAAAGTCACAGATACGAAAAATAACATACCTTTCTCTGACCTACGAAGAAACCCAAACCAAAAGTCTCAGTCGTAAAAGTAATTTTGCTTCCCTTAGGAACTATTCCGAATTAGACAACGAGCATTCATTAACATCCATAGATACTTACAGTAAAACACATCACCCTTAGTAGCATGAACCTTTTGTCCAGTCTCATCGCTAATATCAAATTCTCCATCAACAATGATCTTCATCTCGTGGTACGTGTACTCGTAGATCAACGGGGTGCCTTTTTCTAATCTGTAGAAACCGGCTGAGAGTGGTGCGGCTTCGTCGGTAGATACGGCGACATCACCAAGGAAGGCGTTCTCGTTGGCGATGAGAGGGGGTTTGAATTCGGTTTGGGCGTTGGCGTGGTAGGTGAATGGGAGGGAAGACATCTTTTTGGTTTTTTGGGAGGATGTGGGTGAGTCGGATTTACTGATTATGGAACTCGTTGTTAGTTGTGATGAAGGGGGTGAAATTTAGGCGATAGTATATGAGATGGAAATGGAGAGATAGTGATATTGGTAGCAGAAATTGGAAATAGGGGTATAGTTGTATTCATACCTTGAATTCCTAGATAATTCGTGAATGTGAAGCTATCGCGGGGTATATCCTGTGTTTCTGCGGAGGATAAGAAAAGTGAATGTCGAGCTGAAAGGATATGCTTTCTTCGTCCATAACCCCTCCATCTTATATATTCATCCCTCCAATTCGTTTCCGGTGATGCTATATCACCAGCTTCTTAACCATCCCACTGTCGCAAGAATACTTTCCATATGAGGTAGCTACAATATGGTCCATGGACTGTATTGCTGAAATAGGAAATACGCGGGGGATTGGTATTTCATTATGGTCTTAGGGAGGGGTAAAACCCAGAACAGCTCGGACACGGTATGAATGGCATAGGATAGGTGGATTTCGGATTCGAGTTCAGAATGGACTTATAGCAGGTATTGGGGTATCTTAGCTATCGGTTTAGGGACAGTTGGACTCTATCACTGGTTGTAGATCGTGCGTGCATGATTGGTATCTTTGTGCCAATTGCCTCGAGGCTCAATCGGTCAACTCTTCTGTCTTAGCTTTCATGGCTGATATATCTCCGCGCAACATGAATGGCGAACGTTGAATGAAGGGGTCGTCGTTGATCTGAGATAAGGAAACCATGGAAGTTTTGCCCAAAAGTGGTTAAAATGAAGTTTGGTTGTGCTTCCCCACAATTTTTGGTTTGGTCCCTTTTCGCCCAAAAAGTTCATTCCAGAAACATGAATCCCTTTTTATGCCAAAACGGCGTTCGGCTTCTCGATATTAACAATCATTCATACGAATGCTGTTGATACAGCTCTGTCAATAATACATTAATCTACTTAAGCAATAAGACCTTTGTGACTGATATGCTATGTTTTTATCAGCTCACCCTTGCCCTCGCCCTTTCATGCCCTGGCTTCTCGGCCTTTCGCGCCCTTCGCCCTTTTCTCGCCCTTTTTCTTCGGCCATTTCGCCATCTCGCCCTCTCGCCCTTCGCCCTACGACATGCAACAAAAATTGAATTATCACATGGAACAGTTTCTATTGGCTAGTATGTATGGATATTTGACTACTTATTTGTCTAATCGGCACTGATTCTGTATGAAATCGTCCCGGCCGCTCATTTCGGGCTCCTAATAAATGCTTCTTATATGTCTAACATTGACACTGCATCATGGATCCCAAGGGCTTTTCGCCCTGGAACCTGTCAAAATCTCTGCTTCTCCATCCCCTCTTACCACGAAAACATCTTCATGCCTTACACCAAACTTCCCTTCGAGATACACTCCGGGCTCTAGTGTGAACACCATACCTGCATTTAGTATCTCTTCTACATTTCCCTTATTCAGATATGGACTCTCATGCGCTTTGATACCGATTCCATGTCCAACACGATGTGTGAATGCTTTCTCGTAGCCGGCATCAGCAATAACATCCCGAGCAGCGATGTCTACAGATGCGCATGATGAATTTGGTTTCAGCGCATCAAGAGCTTTGGTTTGTGCATCATATACAATGTCCCAAGCTGCGATTTTGTGCTGGGCGGTTGGTGAAAGTAGCGAATGATCTTTTGGTTCTGGAAAGAAGGGTGGAAAAAATGTTCTACAAATATCTGAAGAATATCCATACAAGTGAGCCCTTTGAAATATTAGCTTAATTATACACGATGACTGCGGCCTTGAGAGCTCACCCAACATCTATTAATACGAGAGTCTCTTTTTCGAGCACTTTACTTCCGTTTGGTCCACCATGCGGCATTGCGGCATTCTCATCTGCCAATGCGTCAGTATATTCCACATTTGTGGTAACTTGTATTTTCCATTTGATTATAAAATTGCTTTATGACTCCCTAGTGATCTAGGTACTTCTGGACATTACTCTAGGAACTATCGCTCCTCGGTCTTCTTTCCTAGATCAATCTGTGCTCAGTTCTTCCTCCACCATTTGTCCATATGAATACCGTGCAATGGGATAGGAACGCTTTCTAGAACCTGGGAATTTTTCAAGCAACGGTGGCGGTGTTGTATAAAACAAAAGCAAGATCAAATAAGAATGGCAGACGAAAAATGAAATCGGTTCAGAGACCACTTTTCGGAAAATAATTAAGAGAATTGACTGCTCGGCTTACCGAAAAGGACGATATCGAAGAATGGCTCCATGCCACCAGCTCGCATTGTACTGTCCAGACTAGCCATGACCTCATTTTCAGACAAGCCTGGCACCATACACTTTCGCATGGCCTGTAATGCCTCGACAGTTCCTGTATTGACTGCTCTCAAGATATTCACCTCACCAACTGTTTTCGTTTGCTTTACTCGTTTCACACTACCAGCAAGCCCCACGACCTCAAAATCATTCTCACCAAGGCCTCTTTGGATGAAGTCTCTCATTTCTTCATCGACCATTACTTTTGGTATTCCAATAGAACCTGGATCTTTTGTACCTATGACCGTATGCCAGTTTTCCCAAAGCGTAGAGTAAGGATTCCAGTGTTCTTCCCAAGTAATAATACTCAGGTCTTCCTCAAATGGCATACCGAGCATTCTTACCCTGCCCTCTTCAAAATTTGGTGCCAGAAATGTAGTTTTTGCAACAACTTCACTTAAAGTCGTATCAAAATGAGGAGAAATAAGCATGAGAAATGGTCGCTCTTCGGGCTCCCAAACCTCCCAATCCTTTTGGCTGATATTAGCATAATATTGAAATGTATATCCCGGCTCCACAATAAAAGCATCGATCCCATCATTTTCAAGAGCAGCAGCTAAATTATTTCTTCGCTTGACGAATTCCTGTAGTGCAATGGGTGAAGCGCTTTCTAACCATGGCAATCCCGTCTCAAGAAATTTATTGATGGAGCATTTTCGGAATGTCGAATATCTTAGTGAATTAATTTTCACGACATTTAGGAGCGACAATTGTGAAGACTTTTATAGTTAATATTGGATCTTTATGTTTGATGCTTGAGGTTGGTGCTCACCATGAAGTTTGCTAGATATTGCACGATGAGCATGAGGATAGTAAATGCAGTGAAGACAATAATAAGACGCTTGAAAAACTGGCGCCAGCTCTCTCGAGGCCCGAGAGGTCTAAGAGCTTGAAGTTTCTTCATTTTGTAACAAGATTATTTTAGATCAATAGTTGATATCGATTTAATCCATGAATATATATGATTGTGTAGTGCAGTGATGTGCTGATAAGGAATGTGTGATAGACGGCGGGGTAATGCAACGTTAGGTGTGTATGAAGTTGAATGCTAACCTCACCCCAACCACTCTCAGCTTACTTCGCCAGTTACCACAGTCTCCGAATTCTCAAGTCTTTTGTGTCTATATATATATATACTTATGCTCATATCTGAAGCCATTACATTGATCTTAAACCAGCAATTTTATGATCATGACCAAGTTGACTGTTAAATAGTTCGTTGTATATACAGTACTAGACCACAGCTATTTGCTGAGTAGAGTAGTTATATCAAATGTCACACTCAAGAATACTGGGTAAAGTATCTTGTATTAGAAAATACTAAGCTAAGGAGAAAAGAAGAAGGAAAACAAGAGTAGAGATTGATTGATTGATTGATTGTGTTTATCGTCATAGGCCGTAGGCCGCGCATGCCTTGGCATGTGACAACCTTAGCCATCTATTCCAGTTTTGGACAAATGACGCTCAGAGGAGAAGCCTCTGAGTGGTTTACTAGCTAGCTAGGGGGAGTATTTATATACAATTTAAAGGGGCTAGGGCAGGGTTTACATGATTGCCTTCGCAGGGGGGGTTTGGGCCGGTAGGCCTTTTGGGGTTGTAATTGTGGTCATCCTTGTTTACTAGATCACTACCTCTTGATCTCTCTCCCTGTCTCCTCGTACTTGTTTTGGTTGTTCGTATGTATACTTGTTTTTTTTTTTTTTTGAATGAAAGAAAAGGGAAAAATGAAAGAGAGGAAAGAAGAGGAAGGAAAAGCTCCCTTAGAGACCTATTAACTCCGTTTGAATCCAATGAAAGAAAGAAAGTTTTTTTTTTTTTTTTTATCTTGCACCTGTATGCCACAGGCAGATTTTTGTGTAGAATTTGGTGTATTCTAGCTATTCGACTAATTTGGCTATACTAGTGAGATTGCTTAGAAGCCAGGGGATAGCTTCGAAGGGGGGGCTCTTTGTAAACACTTTAAAGACTTTTCCTTTTTTGTAAAAGAAAAAGTGTAATGGAGTTTTCCTTTTATTATACAAGCAATAGATATAGGCTATAATATGATTGAAGCATTTATAGTATACTGCGAAGTCGCTATATTGTGATCTGATAGCGAGAATATAGTGGAGTATAGTTCTCTTCAAAGAGAGAGTGTTTGTATTAGAAGTGTAATTGAATTGGAGATCTTTGTAATATTATAGCCTGACTATATTCTATAATTGTTTGTTTGTTTTGTTGGCCTTTATTTTGATCATTCTTTTTAGGGATACTAGCGTACAGATCGGATTGAGGGGAAAAGGGAGTTTTGTTCCTTCCTTAGCAGCTTTGTCAGTTATTTCGTTGTTAAGGATATCTAGGTGCCCTGGGACCCATCGGACGCGGATTTTCCCGGGGGAGGTGTGTGGGAGCCTTGATCTAACAGCCCAAGCTTGTATAAGCTTCAGAAAATCTTCAAAGACTCTCTGTAAGGAACCATTGAAGTAGGATCCTAATCGGAGAACAACCTCATAATTGTCTAAGAAGATCCAGAGATCTGTAACTAGTTTGATTGATACTAAAGTAAGGGCTTTTGCTGCCCCTGCTATTGTGATTGTAATTTTTGCATCGAATACTTCTACATTTGTATCTAATGAGAAAGAATAATATATTATTTGAATATCGAATTGTAAAATTACAAATCTGCCCCCAGTTACACCATCTTTGCTTTCACTTTTTGAATCATTCGAGAAGATTTGTATATCGCTTCTTGGGATCTTGATATGGAAGGCTTTGAAGTCTTCGGTTGCTTATGTCTTCGTTCTGTCCATCGGACTATTGATGCAGGTCTCAGCCTCTACCCTCGACTCTCTGATTTCCTAGAGTAGAAAGACTAAAGGGTTTATATGTTCAGTCTCCAGTAATATTGTAATAAGCCTTACAAATCTTATATCTGGAATATAATTATATTCTCTAGTTTTGATTATATTCTCTACTTTAATCCTGAGAGAATAGTAAAGATCTAATCTGATAATTCGTACTATATATAATTGTGAAATCAGGTTTAACTCAATCTCGGATGGTCTGAGTTTGACTTCCTCGTAGAATACTGCTATATTTGTGGTTTTGTATATTGGGGGGATTGTCCTTATATAGGTGATTATCATTTTGTTAAATAAGCTTAAATGGCTATCTATTATATTTGAGATCGAGATCGGATTGTTTAGGGTATTCTTCTTTGTTCTAGTTCAGTTTGGCCACTATATTTCCAAGGCGAAATAGCACTTTTTGAGTATACAGACTTTAGCTATTTTCCTAATAAGATATAGAGGTATCCCTCGGTGTGTATTGTTAAAGGATCTCAATATATTAGCTTCTTTAAGGGCTTTAATTGCAAGGATCTGGATATATGATTTGAAGTATAGTTTTCTATCGAAGTGGACTCCGAACTATTTGAGTAAGCTAGATTTGATCTTTATATTCATAGATCTGGTATGTATTGCAAGGGTATTCGTTAATGTTCAGTGTTCTTTATAGAAGTATATAAGCTCAGATTTCTTGAGGTCAAAAATAATACCTTCGGTTTTTCCTCATTCGAGAGTTTCTTGTATATCCATTTTTAGAGAATCGCAGTTTGTCTGTAGTGAGTTTGATATCGCTAGTATCACGATATTATTTATATATCCGAATCTGCTCTGTGGTTTACTTATCCAAAAGAGAGGTACAATATAGAGCATAAACAGAATTAGGGAGATCGATGAATCTTGAGGAAGACTGCATTCTAGCTTTGTTTCCAGGCCAGTCTCATTATCTAGTCGGATCTTGATGGATCGATTAGTGGCGAAGGACTGAATCCATCTAACTAGATTGTTTGGCTATCCTTATTCTTGAAGGCGATTCATTAGTTTTCTTGGTAGTATTATATCAAAAGTACCTTTTATATTCATTGTGAGTAGGATGATCTTTAACCCTTATTTTAAGGATACCTCAATATCATATATAATGTAAGTGATAAAGTTCATTGAGGATTGCAAGGGTAAAGCTCCGAGTTGCTGATTCGCTAGGACTTGGTAGTTTAGAGTAAGCCATGATACCTTCTTTGTAATGAGTCTTTCGAGACCTTTGCTTAGGACCGAGAGCAAGACAATTGGTCGGTATGATCTTGGGTTGATATAATCTGATTTATTGGGTTTAGGGATGATTACAATGGTAACTAATCAGAAGTATTTTGGGTAGTATTCTAAATGTAGATAGCTTTTGAAAAGGGATAGGGTTATTTCTTTTATTTGTAGTTATACAATTTGTAGGATTTTTGTTGGGATTTCGTTTATATTAGATGCTGTGTTCCTTGCTTTTAAAATGGTCAGCTTTATATCTTGTATAGCTATATTAAAGAAGATGATAGATCTGCTTAAAGTTATAAAGATATCGAACAGGATATCGTCAATCTTAATTAGATTTGTCAATAGGTTATTGATGAAGGTTTCCCTTTTCTCTTCGATAATATTTGTAATAGTTTGTTTTGATAGATCTATTAAAAGAAAGATATAATATATTCCTATAGATTGATATTATTTGGTTATTCGATATATATTGTTTATATCTTCTACTTTATTCACTTTTGTAATATAAAAGATATATTTTGCTTTTCGGATTATTTTCCAAAGAGAATGTTTGAATATAGGTATATTGATGATTTTATATTTATATATAGTCTTTATATAGTCCTTATTTTACTAAGATTGTTAAAGAGATTTGTTTATAGATCTTCTTGCAGATCCTGTATAGATTTTTGTAAGGGCTTGTATAAGGGATAATGTGGCTTGATCTAGGTCTCTTAGAGAAGGTGTTCTGAGGATAGCTGCAATGTTGATGAGATTAGTTTCTAGTAGATCTTTAAAGAGCGTTTTATTCAATATATTTAGCTTGAGTTTCTTTGCAGGCTTTTGGCTTCGGTAATTCCAGTGAAGGTAGGTTTTTAGGGTGTTGTGATCTGAAGTGTATTCTAGTTGTTTAGCGAGGGTGGTATACATTGTATAGGGCCCTAAAAGGAAGGTGAGGTTCAAGATGTTTCCCTTTGAGTGAGTAGGAGTTCCGATTAGGGAGATGAGGTGTAGATTCCGGGAGTTTGATTATTCTACAAAGAGTTTGGTTAGCGTTGAAGAAGATGAATGAAGAGGATTCCAGTTGGGGTGGTGGAGGTTGAAGTTGTCTAGTAGGATAGTGTTGTTTGGGAAGTTTTGGAGTTCAAAGAATGCCTTAATAATTTGATTGCTATTTATATATTATATTAAAGTATTGTAAATATTTATAATAGTAAATATTGTATTATTTATAGATATTAATTGTATAAATATTAGATCTTTGAAGATTATCGATTTGATTTGATTGATTTGAATTCCTATTTCTTTTCTAATATAGATGAGGATATAAAGGTTTTCCTTTTAATTGTTTAATGAAATAAAGATTTTGTAGGAAGGGTGAGTTTTGGTGATTTTTCTTGAGGTATCTTTATATATATATAGCTTTTAGATTATGATAATATCAATTTGATCTATATTTGCTAGATTAAGAACGAGATCGTATGAGATCCTTTCTTTACCTATATTGATTTGGGTTATTGTAAACGGTTTATAATTTATTAAACGGGATAAAGATTGGATTGATGATTATTGCAAATCGATTAGTGGAGTAGGTATTGAAGAGGGTTGTAGAGTGAGTGAAGCCGAATAGGCGGGTGGGGGTTCTTGGCCTAAGTTGGTCCGAGGGGGAGGAAGGGGTAGGGGAGTCGACCATTTGTGTATCGGATGATGGCTTTGAGTATCCAGCCTTTATACAAACAAAGTTTCTGTTTTCGAGGTATATCTTCTGGATTGTCTGATGTTCTGATTTTGATTTCCTTTCTCTTCTTTGTAGGCAAAGAAGGTATTTGGGATTATCTACAGAGTAGGGGCTATTGTAATGAAGGCATTTGGGTGGGTATATATATTCAATACTATAATTAGTAGTATAATTGCTCTCTATATGCTTTCCCAAATTATATAGACAACAGATTTGTGATTTGAGGTATGTTCTTGTATTATGTTATTGAAAGTAACAATTGTATTGAGTGATCTTTGGTTTTTGTATTAAAAAAAATGTACTGATATTGGCCTCTAGAATCTTCAAATTCTTTTTGAGTGGTTCTGTTTCTGTCTTGAAGCTTACTATCTATATTGAGTAATACTTATTAGATAAGGGGTTTATTTGGGATTGGATAATGTAAGTAAACATTTGATCAGAGTATTTCTTTATAGCATTGAAGATTATATCTTTTGTAATTAAAATGGAATCTATTTTGAATTGATTATTGAAGATAGTGACTTTCTTGGGGATGTAGTTTAGATAGTAAATGGTCTATTTTTCTTGGGCCTCAATTTTGCAGTCTCTGATTGTGGATGATATAATGGCTTTCTGTTTTTCAAGGGCTAATAGATTGGCTGTTGAGCTGATGCAGAGAGCGAAGCCTGTTTTGACCTCTTGGACCTCCCTTAAAAGGGAGGCGTTTGGTCCGAGGACTTTCTTTAGGGTTGTGAGGATTACAAAAGATCCAGTGCTTCAGGCTGGGTGCATTTGGTTGATTCGTACGAATAAGTGGTTATCGGAGGGAGTCTTGTTTGTGAGGGCAATAATTGGAGTAGAGGCTTTCTGAATATAGGAGGGCTTGGGGTCTATAGGTATTGTGGGTGTATTTGTATGAGTGGTGGTCGGGGGGGAAGGAGGGGAAAGGGGGGTGACAAGCGGAGTAGTAGCTCCCCTAGTTTTCCTATGATTAAATACAAACGGGGCATGCCACGTGACCCGGAGGTGTGAGGCGTCACATATTTTTCCTATTTTTCCAAATTATATTATCACAATAGAAAATTAGAAAAATAAATTTGATCTGAATTTTGTAAAAAAAAAAAAAAAAAAAAAAAAAAAAAAGAGCAAAGTTATTAATTTAAGATAATTATCATTCAACAAATAAATTTAATCAGTTTTCAAAATTTTATATAAATAATCTCTAAATAGGATTGATTAATAATACAAAAGGAATTTAATTATTAAATTTTTACTAAAACAAAATCTTCAAACGAAAATTATACATTATAACTGTTTTTGGTGTAAATTTGAGCATCGCTTAATATAAATGAAGGGGTGCTATAACGGTGTTACGACGGATCTCACATACCTAACATCACGTGATTAGCATCATGTGATATGAGGATCCCAGTAGGCTCAGCTGTCCCAGTACAACTGGGACAACTGGGAGCACTGGGACGCATGCCACGATGGTCTATATAATTAAGATGGATTTCCTTTGTATAGAGCTTCGTGCTCAAGATCAATCATTTAGTATACTCTACTATTGGTTACGAATTGCATTATTGTCATTACTTTAAGTCCCTGCTTGACGCCTAGTTATAAACCACCTCGAGAGCCTAGAGCACTTCCACGTGATCTAAGACGGCAAACCTCGTAACAAACGGCAGGAATTTCCGGGTACATAGCTGTATTCCAAAGCCAACCGATTAATTTTTCCCTGACCAGCATATTCAAATATCTCATCGGATGAGCAGACCATTGCTAAGGTATTGTTTCAATATCGGGTGCTGAATGAGGAGCTACTTCAACTCACGGATCGCTCTTCAATATTCTTTTCCTTCATGTTTGGGTGACTTGACGATGCCCGGAGTTTCTAGATCGGATTATTTCTTACTCTCGGGTTTCGACCAGGGTACTTTGATACCGATACTGTATCTTTCCAGCTGTTGGTTCAGTAGGGGAGCGCTTGGTGAAGCCTGAAGCAGCTGTTAGCAGGTATACTGCGAGTGTGTAGTCATCTCTCAAATCTAACTCCATCGGAAGAAAAAGTCTCGAGGAGGATTGGGTGTAGGTTTTTCTAAACCCGATCATCACCACAGTCAATCAAATCAACCATCACGTTTTACATCCTCTATAATTCGTTACTGTCGATAGTTTCTTGATATTAAGCTTGGAATCTTACCATTGATCATGGATCTATGTTGCTGATTCCATGCCATGGTCGTAGTTCTCTCAAATTTTCTTTATCATTGTCATTTTACCAACCTCTCTTAATAAAGTGTTCTTATACTTAAACTTTCTCATATTCCGCAGTGTTCATGCTGTTATTCGTCTATCCAGCACCTAATAGCTGGAGGATTGACACCCGGCTCTCGCACTTCTCAAAGTTGCTATCGAGTCCCTCCAAGTGGTCTTTTATACCGCGACAACTAAAATCCTACACCAGGGATTCTGAATCTTGTCTAATCTATTCATTGTGAATCCGGGTGTTCAAGGTATTAGCACCGACGACAGCACGAGGATGTAACAAGGTCAGGCTCTTGATAAAGCTGGGAAGTGAATAAGATGGTGGTGGCTGAGGAATCCACATGTTAGAAGGAAAGAAACTTTAGAGAGTATTGAAAAGTATGTAGATCACTAGATCTAGTAGTACGGGTGTGCTTATGTATATCCAACTTATCATTGTTGCCCTGCTCAAATTCCCCAATCATATTATTCCAGGTCATTTCTTGTCGTCATCGCACCAACCATCCAATCATTCCTACTGTTATTATTGTTCCTTTACCCCTTATCGGGGGGGGGGGGGGGGGGGGGGGAAAAAATTGGGGGAAATACCCAACAAATAAACCCCTGGAAAACCATGAGGGTTTTGAGAACAAAAAAAAAAAAAGTATATTTGCCTCCTCGATTTCACTTCCTAGGTTTTACAGCATTTTTCACATAGTTAAATTACCTTTTGTCGTTACTCCTCGTCTATGATTTGCTCATATCCAATAGAGATCTTGCCATATAATTTACCCCCCTCCCCGGGCACTGGCAATGGAACGGACGACGCTCCATTGGCTGGGGAGTTCTAGACACTAAACTTTTGGATATTAAATCATCTAATCCAAACTTTTTATATCCAAACTCCTCGAGTGATCTATCCAATTCAATAAAATCACAGACTAGCAATCCAGACGACCGTCCAGATGGAACACAAGAAGACTATTGACAGTAGGAGAAATGACGATAATTAGATAAAGCTCATATAACATAATGACGATGAATCAGGTAGTGTGCAAAATCCGTTGCTCCTCACATTGAACCGCAACTAGCTGGAATTCATAGTGATTGGCAACAGAGGGCTTGTGGTTCACATAGGATGTGCCGGGGACAATCATTCATGCAAGATTTGGATCGCTTTGGTCGACAATCGCTTCATTGAATATGTAGATAGTACAATACGATTTATGAGGTCAAGAACCAAAGTCAGGCCTGTAAATTAAGCCCTGGTGAATCCTCCAGCAGGAGTAATAATTCTAGCATCAGGTGGTGCAGTTAAGAAATCTGCTGCCTTACTATCAGCCTTGTATGCTTGAACATGCGCACTCTCCTCATGGGCTTTTAATGCTGCCTCGTCTTTGAATCTATTAAAATTTGGTCAGCTCACAGCACTGGGTTATGGAAAAGAGGAAGGATAAAGTCTTAAGGCTGAGCTAGCAAGGGCGTAGAATTTTTGTGGTGGGAAGGACGTGTAATTAGAAGAAAGGGGTGAGTAGGACTACTTACACCATAGCCATAACAATTTGTTCTGGACCATCACCCGTCAATGGTTTAGTTTTCGAAACTTTGTACATTAAACACCCGGGCTCGGAATCCTCGACAACTTTAGCGAACTTAGCCCCTTCAGCGAGAGCCTGTTGAGATTTGTGTTAGAAAGTATGTCATCGTATTGCAATAGTTTGAGACAATAAAAAGATTTGGGATCGCCCAGGAACAAATAAACTCACTTCTTCGAGCTTTTCGGGCTTGGGGGTGAAGGTCACAACTCGGGCGACGCTGTTGGGACCCATGGTTGCCATTTTGACAGATTTGTATGATGTTGATGAGGTGGAAATGGTCTGATGAGGTTTATTTGTAGTAATTTGGTTGAAGATTGTATTGAGGTATTAAGATACTTTCCTACCCTTTATATAATCGAGGCAGCGAACCTCCGCACATGGGTATTGCTTCGTACTATGATATTCACCTACTAATGCACTGACATTCTGTAAGTGAAAATAGTTTACGAAAGCCGTATTCTCGTATAATATCACCAGATGTTCGAATTTGATTGCTTGAGAGCTCGAGACGCATTGGAACGGACGGTGCACGGTTCATTGCAGAAACAAGTTCTCCACAAGCTTGAGATGTCATAGCGGCAAATTTATGGGTTGTCCTTGTTTTAATTCGACGCTCTTCACAACCGCAGCTTCCTACCTGTTGACAGCACAGCAGTAGCATACGTATTTGATGCTTGAACTATTCTCAAGTGCTTGTTCCATGAAAGCGTGGATTTGAACATGCGAGAAGATCGAATGTGAAGCAATGGTAATTACGTCTAGACTGCAAGCGGAACATACTGCGTATATGGAGCTAGAATCAAACTCCACGACCTACAGACACTGGAATATTGAAAAGCTTAAATGAGAAATAGTAATCTTTTCCTTCCTCGGTCGATAGCTTCGCAACGGAGTGATTTCAACTTCATGCATTGCGAACCCGACAAGCTTGGTTTGGATGAAATCACTTAGACCTTTCGATATATGATATGATCAACAGAGTTTTACAATAGTGTAGACAAAATAGTGATGAGATAGTCTTGTCCAGTAATCACCAACTCGACATACCCTGTTTCTATGGTACAGGAATATTGATAACCTTTATCGATAAAGATATGCAACAGAGTGAATGAAGTATCCACTTTTCTGATTCTTCCAATCATGTAGGCTGGATTGCATAAGATCGTCGTCGTTCCCTTGAGCTATCCACGGCATGTAAAAGGAGGGAGAGAAATGAACTTCGGCTACTCGTATGATATCTGACACAAACATACTGAAAGCCAATGACCCATCATTTACAAATAGCCGTAACTCAAAAGTGGGCTAGATCTATTATATAATATGATGGTCCACAAAAATATTCGCCACCGTAGAAGGAAAAATGCGTAGGCCAAAAAATCGAAAACTCCCCCTGACTAGCGAGCGAGCAACGAAACAAAAGCTACCAAGATGAAAAAAGGAACAAATTGAGGAATAAAAACTACGGATGAGCCCCGCAGGGATCGAACCTGCAATCTTTTGATGCCGAAGTCAGCTATATTTTCATATAGAAGTCGAAGTCAAACGCGTTGCCATTGCGCCAGAAGCCCGGTCTAGACAGCTATGCACTTATAATTGTTGAGATCTTATCTGCTAGGTAAATATATATACATTTTGCACAAAAACCAGAGAATATCTTACCACTTTTCACATATAAAGATATCCTTTGTCTATTGATGGGACAAGTAGATTGATTAGGTAGACAATGGCTGATCTTACAAGAAATCAATTATCTCGAAATTCGACAACACTATTTCAAATAATTTTAGAATTAGCATTAAGCAAAGCATAAAAGAGAAGCATGTGTATGCAATGTCAAAATCTTACTTTCATAATAATGATTGTCTGTTTTGATATATATTTTTCTTTGAGGGACAAATTCTGACTGTAGCGTAGCAAAACAATTTTTTGGTTGTCAGAACAAAAGGCGACTGAACACCTCTACTCCGTATAACATGTGATGGCATTACCAACAATACCGAGGTAGGACAAATTTTACTCCGTACACACTGAATCTACCTATATTTAGTCAAAGAATGACACCACCCACCTCTGTCCTGATTAGCTCAGCTCCAGGCTTAGCACAATGAATTGACCAATCGTAAGCCTGCTCAAATCTTGCTCCAGATATATAGCTGTGGGCATCCCCGACTCCCCGGATTGCCTCCCTTTACTTCCTTAAATCTCACTCATGCAATCACGAGAACATGTTTCTGGCTCCAGCTTCCCCACACTCCGGGCCGCTGCCACCGACGTATACATGGCGGCAAAATAGCAAATTGTGGATTTCAATATACCCAGCCTATCATGTCGACTTCCCCTTATATTCGGCAATCTGCCTAAGCTAGTTTCAAATATATCTTCACTTCATTCCCGAGAGCCCCGTACAAAGAAACACCTTGTGATGTCTTCTCTCCAGCTATGAAGGGCCGGAAAATTTATTACCGAATATGCGGGGATTCGTTGAAGGTTTTTTAAAGATGGATTTTTAATTTACGGACGGATTCCCGCCCAACCTGGTGATTTAGGTGATTTAGGTGATTTGCCATGGACCGAGGGGGAGCTTATGAGACGATTTTGAGTAGTAATTGCAATTTGTGAGAAAGTATTTAAGATGATATGGTCCCAGTGAATGAAATCTATTCGAGTGAACTGTAATACTTACCTGGCCTTAACCCTTCATCAGAGGTCTCATTGACATCATGAAAACGGCGGCTGTTTTGAGCGTGTTGTCCTTGGCAGTAGAGTCAGTGTACTCCCAGGCTGCCGGATATAGTCAATGTACTTTTCACCAATCCATATTGTCGTCATTTGATAGTTACTGATTTGAGATAGGTGGTGGAAGCAACTGGACGGGAGCGACTACTTGCGTTAGTGGATATGTCTGTCAATCTCAAAATGCGTGTAAGAGATGAACCAACCGCTAGCTTTATATGCCCGAGAATACTTATTTTTTATAGATTACTCCCAATGTCTTCCCGGGACAGGTACTTCAGTAGCCACAACTTTGACCACGGCAACCAAGAGCAGCACCACATCCGCGACCTCTAAATCAACTACATCCACAGCTTCATCCTCCAAAGCGAGCTCGACGGCAGCCTCAACGGTGCAATCAGCATGCACTGCAGCATTTACTCCAGTTACTGCTTCAGCAGCATTTGCAGCATTAAATCCAGGATGGAATCTTGGAAACACTCTGGATGCTACTCCAGATGAAGGATCTTGGAACAACCCTCCTGTCGTCCCTGCTACATTCACGGCAGTTAAGGCCGAGGGATTCAACAGTGTTAGAATACCAGGTAATAACTCACTCCAATTCATCTGTTATTTATCATTTGATGGAAACTGACAAAATTCATAGTTACCTGGGCATATCACTTTGTAACATCTTCCCCAAGCTGGACCGTTAACACCACTTGGATGGATCGCGTTGAAACAGTCGTCGATCAAGCCCTTGCTACGGGCATGTACGTTATCCTCAATGTCCACCACGACTCCTGGATCTGGGCCGATGTCTCTGCATCTGGAGCAAACCTTACCATGATCGAAGAGAAATTCTCTGCTCTTTGGTCTCAAATCGGAACCAGAATGAGATGCAAATCTAGTAAATTGATCTTTGAGCCAATCAATGAGCCACCGGGAACAACACAAGAAAATGCCAACGAACTTAATAAACTCAACAACATCTTCCTCGCGGCCATCAATCAAGCAGGAGGTTACAACCCTCAACGAGTAGTAGCCCTTTCAGGTCTTCAAATGAACTCAGTGTATACTGAGCAATGGTTTGCAAAGCCCACAACCTACACTTCTCAACCATGGGGTCTCGAATTCCATTATTATTCACCATACAGTTTCATCTACAACGCTTGGGGAGATACCATCTGGGGTTCCGATGCCGATAAAGCTGCCCTAACAGAAGATTTGCAACTTTTCGCAGGTAATTTCTCAGGCATCCCGACGATGATTGGAGAATGGCAAGCCACACCTGTCATTGTCGCTGAACCCGGCGCTAGATGGAGGTACACAGATTACTTTGTGAAAACCGCCAGGAGTTTTGGTTTCGCGCATGTACTCTGGGACAATGGACTCGACTTCTTGGACCGCAACACAAATACTTGGTATGATCCTATCTCAATGTCTGTCCTCTTCAACGCCGCCAAAGGAGTCTCAAACTCTCTCCCAGATGGCACGGTTGATACTTCCGCCACATCTCAAAATACCTCGGCATATATTTTCCACAAAGTCGGTGATCCAGTCATTGCACAATCTCTTCCATTCCTTCTGAATGGGAACACCTTGACATCCATCACAACATCTTCGGGAACCACACTAGCAACATCTTCATACAGCATAACCTCTGCTGGAGTTCTAACTTTCACGCAAGCTTACCTCTCAACCCTCTACTCATCCACATCTACCCCCGGCATCAAAGCCACTCTCTCATTAACTTTCTCCGCGGGCTCACCATCCCAAATACAAGTTGTGCAATGGGCCACTCCAACCCTCTCACAAACCTCCTTTAGCAAACAAACTAGCTCCGATCTCACAATCCCCATTAACTATGCCGGACTGTCAGAAGTCGCCGCCGTCAAAGCTTTGAATGCAGATGGTTCGTACATGGTGTCTGGTGATTCTTGGACTCAGTATCTGGGGCCATTACAACAAGCTCGATGGACTTATTCATCCTGGACAACTAGCAGTGCTGGATTGACAATACCTGTTGCAGGATTGCAGGTTATTGCTAGCACTGGACAGACTGATATTTTGACACTTGAGGTGGGTTTTTCACTTTCTCGTAATTTCTCTTTTGCCTCCCCGATTACCCCCTTCATTTGTCCTCGCTTACTGTTTCCGTACAACAAATCTGATACTGATGCCAATATAGTTTTTCCCGAGAATCCTAGGACAAAATAGCGTAAATATTACATTCACATAAACGTAGGTTGAGTGAATAAAGTAAGGTAACTTGCAAAGTACAATATCAAGCGTTGTGGATATATCGATCGTCGAACTTGGATTATGTAGTTTTCGGGTAAATAAATTGAGCTGTACATATTCTTGAATTCAGTACTTATATTAATTTTTTGACACAAATGTTACAAGACAACTCAAAAACATGCCAATATGTGCTTTCCAATTTCTTCGCCTTCTCATTTCAATGTTCTTACCTACATCACCAATAAACATCCACACCAACCAAATCCGCCGCATAATCCACCAATCCTCCGGCAGCATTTCCAAAAGTCAAAACATTACTCCCAGTCTTCCACCCACTAGTCAAAATTCCAAAAATCCCCGTATCTTGCCATCCCTTCGTCCCAAACAGCTCGGAACTCTTTCCACTGAGTGGAAATTCGGCGCGTGTCACAACTCCATTAACGCTAATCGTCATATTGCGCGTGTTGGTGCCGGTGGTCCAGGATGTACTGAATGCAACGTCATTGTTGCAGAAATAGATGGAAAGGTATTTTGTGGAGGACGTAGTGGCCGATGTTGAGGGGGCATTGACAGTGATGGAGGCGGAGCCGCTGGGAGTTAGGTAGCCGATTTTTGTGCCGCTTGGAGCGCAGTAGTTTGTGCTGCATGTTACGTGGGTGGCGGTGCCGGAGATACTCATGTTAGATGAGGAGTAAAATGTTGCTGGTGGTGGTGCAACTGCGATGGAAGAAGGCAGGAGTGCGGAAGATGAAGTTATAGCGAGGGTGTTTGTGCTGGATGCCGTGAATGGGAGGGAGCCTATGACGAGCGATTTTGAACCTGCTGGGAGAGTATATTTTTTTGAGGCGATAGTGAAGGTTGTTGAGGAGGTGGATGAGGAGCTGAATTGAAGTGAGACGGTGTAGTTAGAGCTCGACGTTTTAGCGTAAATTTTGGAGAATGTGATAGTTGAGCTATGGTCAAATTAGTATTCCAATTGTAAAGGAAGACTTGAAAACAGAAGCAAATAACGAACCCAGAAACAGCAGCATCACTAGCAGCATATGTACCCGAAACAGTCGTCCCCCCAAGTTCTAAAAGCATGGTCCCATGCGCACCCACAGTTGCGGAATATGAAGTCAGAACATTCGTCGCGCTTGTACCGGCCCAAATATTCTTGAGAGTACTCGCTTTCTGCAATCCCACGTCTGGGAGATCCAAGGTAAGTGTCTTCGCAGTATTTTGAAGATTAATGAGCGCTACTACAGTACGACCTCCACTTAATGGTCCCGCCCATACTTCATATCCATCCGTTGTCCATCTTCGTCGAAAGCTTGCTGCAACGCCTAATGTATCTTGATTATAACTTATAACATCTTTGTTGCTCAGGATATTCAAAGAGGCAGAGTTAATACTCGTGAATGTATCCTTCAAAGCTGCTCCAATTACCAATGGACTCTTCAAAATCGCCCATAAACTAAAATGCGTTTGTTCTTCAGTAGTAGTCAAAACATTATTCCCAACCTCCAACATATCAAGATCTAACCAATGCCCAGGACCAGCGAAAGAAGTTTGTGGTACAGCCTGGTTTAGAATTCTTGGAATGGTGGAATACGAGGGAATGATATCGTTGGTGATGCGCCAGGTGTTTCCCATGGGTGGAGCCCATGCGGAAGGAAAATCGACACCCCAATCGCAGATCTGGAAAAGCATAGGCTTGCTTAAAGTGGCGAGTGCATTGGTCATGTTCTGATAGCGCAGAGATGGAGATGTTGAGGGCGCATAATTGGTATTTGGATATCCAGTTGCTCCATCTGAATAGCAGTTATCATCTAAAATTGTCAGCTTGGCACTTCCTTTGGAAGTGTTCCTTACATTTCAACAGATCTGCTCCCCATGATGCGAAGGTTTGTGCATCTGTCAGTTCATGAACTGTGGTTGTCAGCATTTTTCTTCACACAAGCCCCTCGACTTGAAAACACTCCCTTAACCACTTGATCTGTTTCAATTATAGCAATCAATAACAAACTCACATAGACTACCCACTTGTGCCGGAGTGCCAGTCATACACATTTGCACCCCAGCATCCGAATAAACTCCAAAGCCCAGCCCCAGTCCATGAATAAAAGTCCCCAAAGCTGGGTAACCATTCGGAAACCGATCGGGATTCCATGTCAATGTTCCAGCAGAAGTTCTATCAGGCAAAGTCCATCCACAATCAACAGTCACATAGTGGTAGCCGAGAGCAGAGAGACCAAGGGAGACGAGAGCCTGTGCATTACTATGAATGATAGTCTCATTGGGGCTACAAGAATAATGGTTATATGAGTTCCATCTAATGATCTGTTAGAGAGCAAGACACAGGTGAGAGTGTGAGAGAAATGAAATACTAACCCCATAGGTGGAGTAATAGCTAGACCATTGTCAACTCGTGGTTTGAGGTTCTGAGGAAGTGCGGTAATGAATTGAGGAATTAAAGAAACAAGCAACAATAGCTGCCTAGAGCGACTGAGAGCTCGCATTTTCAAAGGCAAATCACGATGACTTCAATTGTCCAAGCAAAGAGGACAGCATGCCTACTATATTTCTAGCATTCACTTCCCTCGGATCCTCATGAAACTCTAAGCATGCATCATGAAGTATGTCACTAGACATGTCACTAGAGCTATAATTTCTCCATCTGCAGACTCCAAAATCCCGCATTAATCACCTACCAATACCGTAAATACTATGGGGTCTAAATGGAGAAAACGGAGAATCTACAGATTTACCCCGCATTTAAACCGGTAGTTCGATGACCAGATGCGCTCCAATCATCTTGTAGGAGGCCAGAACTACCGCAAATGACTTGTGTAGGCACTTGAGAGCAGTCAGCTTGAGCTTACCAGCTCAGTTTTCTGGCAAGAATCGAGCGAATACCACAAAATTGAAATGAAAAGGAATTAAAAGAAGTGAACTCAAAAACCTCTAGGTCTTTCATTCATCTTAGAACTTAGAATGCCTCTGCTCGATCGGTTTAGATTATCGTGATATCGTATTATGATTGTTCAGATGAAAATACAGATATAGAAGCACTTCTCGTACCACGCCACAGTGCTTGCACCCGCCCTCCCGACACAGCCCTAAATCCCTTAGCCACTGAAAGACCAGGAATCATGGGTGTGTACGTTCCCAAGGCCTTCAGCTGTTTGATATATACCATGCTCATCGGCGTACTTCAACCTACTCATGTCGTACCAAATAAAGTCCAGGCCTGTTGAAAATGCGTCTGGATTTTGTCAGCCCAGAATTGTCACCGCCATTATCCCATTTTCTTGTGTATATAGCGGCAAGTGACACGGCGCTGCATCCAAGAAATGCCCCTGCGTTTGTCTGACATACATTAGATGAGATGAGATGTTTTCTCCAACGTTTGACAGAGATGGATCAATCACTGCGTTACAATTTACGAGACGAGCCGAAAATAGTTGCTCAGCCTTATCAGCCACTAAAGTATTCCGCTTTGGGTTTCAAAGGTATTTGCTTTCATGCATATGAATTTCATGAAACCTCGCTTCTATCAAAAGAAAAGTTTAGCATCCAAATATTTGGCAAGTACCTATATTGAATTGAAAACCTAGTTGAAGTCCCCGACTAGCGGAGATGTTAGTTTGGAACTGAAGGCATTTGCACGTGTATTCAAGTGTAAGATCAAGTTACAAAATTGGTAATATCCGTATCTGATTCATCTACACATATACCATCTTTATCTTTCTTCCATCACACTAAATATCCCGTCTTTAAATATATACATTGAAAGGATATAACGACATGCTCATCTTCCATGTCCATGGCTGTCTGGTTGGGTTTTGCCAATAATTTGTCCCTCCGAGTATCCTACCATGACCACCATCGGCGCCGCTTCTGATAGCCGTCACCGCCAAATGAATCACTCCTACCCATGCCCCGTTATCAAGTAATACTTCCACGGCCATAAGCTACCTGTGATTATATAATTATTCATTTCCTTAATAAGTGAACCCCAAACGCCAGAACGCAATCCAATGCTGTGCATAATTATCATTGAGAGACGAAAAATAAAGCCGATAGTAAGCAAGCGGTAAAGAAGGAAAGCACCGATGATGGTGATGTGTGTGATGAGAGAGAGTTGACGGCAGTATGGGTTTTGTTGACATCTTTCATGGGCTTTGGACAGAGGGTTGTGTTCACTAAAAGGGAACCTGGTATCCAAACCTATTTCAAATGTTAGTTCTCATCCTATCATGCATATTCATTGAAAAGATGTTAAAATACCTGTGGCTCCCCATTTGTCAAAGAAAGAGTGAAAGTTCCCCCGACTCCTGTAATAGTGCTATTGCAGCTCAATATTTCAATGAGAAGAATTCCGTCACTAAAATTGGTGTCTCCAATATAGTAAGGTCCAACAGTTCCACCGTTGGTCCCAACATTAGTAATAGCTGTCACAATTGAATTGACGTTTCCTTTTCTAAATATCAATGCATCGTCTTTTTGATAGATGACTGCTGATTTGTATCCCCAGTAAGGACTCCAGTTAGAGTAATTGGTGGAAATCATATAGTTGTTGACGGCGTTACGGGCGGTATTCATGGTCTTGATATGTTGATACAAGACTGATGTGTTATCATACCCAGTTGGATTTAGCCAAAGTGCTCCACGATTTTCAGGATCACCACCACCGTCAAAGCCTTGTTCCGCGCCATAATATACCACAGGAATACCATCAGTGAAGAAAGCGAACGTAAGAGCATTTTTTCTTTGAGATAGATCAGTTGTGTAGGATCCGAAACGAGCGACATCATGATTCTCGCTAAATGTGCCGAGAAGCGTAGTATCATAGCAGTTTCGCTGGATTTGATCGAATTGGTAGCTTAAGCTTCCCATGCCATTTGTAGAGTTCGAAAGGATAGATGTAATATAGTACCAGGCAGGATAATTGAGGACAGACGAAAGAGCATCGACGGCCCACTCGCATGCATTGATAGGCAACTCGTCAAAGACTTCACCGATGGTGAATGTATTGGCAGCCTGTTGAAAGCCAGGCCAAAAGGGCTTGTCGACGTGTTTAGCGGCATCGATACGAAGGCCGTCAACTACAATTTAGATGTCTGTCAGCCCACTCTTACAACAATTCATATTCTGGATATTCCCCGGATTTTCTCCACAGCCAAGGGCTCCAGAAAGCGCGAGGAATAAATCAGATTCATCATCAGAAGTACATACGAGAATAATTGGCCACCATCTCCGATACCCATGTTTCCCATGTTTGCTTCACAAAGTCAGACTCGGTATCAAGATCTGGTAGTGAAACTGTATCGTCTCCAAGCCAACAATTTTGAAAGTTGGTTGCGTTCGAATAATCGGTGATGTAACAAAAAGGATGAAAGTATTCTTTCTTGTTGAACGGAACGAGTGTAGAGTAATCGGTTTCACTCCCAGGCCCTGCGTAGGCCATATCGTTGATGACCGCATCGATCATCAAATACTACAGCGTACAGGTGGATTAGAATTTGTATTTCGTCTGGTTGAGTTGTGGGCGTGAATCAACTTACCATCCCACGATCGTGTAAGGTCGACGACAGAAGTTTGAGATCATCCGGAGTTCCAAAATGTTCGTTGATCTTGGTGATATCTTGACTCCAAAATCCATGGTAGCCTTGGCCGTATTTTGTTGTTTGATTGATATTTTGTACCACGGGCGATATCCAGATCTATGTTTGGTCTCAAGTCAGTTCGCGTTGTTCGGCTTGATAAAATCCATCTTTGATCACGACGATCGCACAAGGCACAACAGAGAATTTTTCGTAGTAAGAGCTTAAACGGAAGCTGAGAAGGGCAAACTCACAGCTGTAAATCCCATATCCTGAATGTAATCTAGATGATTAATGATACCTTGAAAGGTCCCTCCGCAATACAATTCCGCTGTATTATTACAAGCATAGGTAGTCGAGCCATCAGTTCTTGCGAACCGATCCGTGATGATTTGATATATCGATTGGCTTCTCCAATCATCGGAAGTAGCAGCGTGGACGTCTTGAACGAATGATGATAGGAATGCCACCGATAACCAACTAACGAATGCCGTCGAAGTTTTTCCCTCCGACGTGGTCAACAACATGATTTCAACTCGTAACTCGATACCACCACTATCGCAAAATTCGCATATAAAGAATGACGGCTGAACCCTCAATTGAAAGGCTGATTATATTGGCGTCGACAATGTAATCAGTTTGCTCTCTTTGACGCAGAACACAATAGTGATTGACAAATGACACAAAAATTATCAGTTGTCTAACGGAATACTACCATCAGAGATAGGTTTACTTGGCAGTGCGGGTTTCCCGACGCTTCCACTTGATATAGTCTAGCATCTGGAAGATCTCCATACTCGTGTTTGCCAAAAAGTATAAAACACATCCCCATACAGGCTTAGACTTTGCGGATAGGGCTATTTAAGGTATCAAAGGGGTTTAGTTTAGGCAGTGTAGCTCTAACAGAAAATTGTACGGAGTAAAGTTCTAGAAGTATAATATGGGCGAGGATTTTGTTCTCTTTTCTCAATGCGAATCCCGGGTCAGTGAAGTAGAATTAGGCATATTCGACCGTCAAATTTAAGCCTATGTAGACAGGTATTGTTTACTTTTTTGGGCCCTGTCCTACGTAAGTAACCTAACAGGCTTGACTTCTTCCGGGACCGATAAACTCCGTGGAAGAATATTGAAATTAGGCCAATTGGATATGTGAACGGGTAGTTTGTGAAAATAAATCTGGGGCATTGTTACCAACATTACTCGAGTACCCATAAAAATAGCAAAGACAACTCCGAAAGGATACTAATAATTGCTCAGGTAAACATGACAGGAAATGAGCATCCACAAATCACCCAGTAAACGGTCTTCGAAGCTGCGAACTTCGATTGATCGATCATATTAAATTCCAGAACTTCCCGAAAGTTCTTAATTCCCAATTGAGCAGATTGAACCCAAATCGAGGTATAGAAGGCCTTTCAACACCGCAGGGGACTTGGCAATTTTTGATGAATTTAACACTTTTAGCTATTTTAACGAGGATTAGTTAATCTTACATCCTGCACATAATGCCTTGGCAGAGCACAAAATAGGGGAGGGACGTAGAGTAGGAATTCTAGTCAGGGGTAGTGGCTACCACCGCCCCACTCTGATTATCGGAAAATCTGCACATTGTACGGGAAGGAAGGATCTCGATATGAACCGTACGATGCTTTTTGGAATAAATTAAGTATGATTTAGCATTGTTTGCTAAGGGGTTTGAAAATTTTGTGATTTTACTGTGATTTTACTGAGATTCTTTGAACCAAGCCTCTGGGATAGGCAAACGATATATACAATGGGGACAGTGGTGGAACAATTTTTCGAGCTAGAATACTTAAGGGGCATTAAGCATTTCAAAACTCCAAAAAAAAAACTACTACCGAAATACCACCTTCAAAGTTCAAGGACGTACATAGCGGGGAGAATCCGATCATTTTTTCAACTTCTCCATTATTTCCAGCTCTCGTGTTCATCATTTTTGATGCCCCTCTGTGGACCAACTACACTTACTCTACAGCCTCAAAGGCATTTCATCCACTTCGGTTTCCCATGTTCAAGGTAGGTAGGGCATAAGGTTTGTCCTTTTCCGATTTTATTGTTGAACGATGAGTTTGATTCCGACTATGACGGTGAAGCCACTTGAACATACGAGATGGAGTGGATTTCGAGAGTAGGCCGTCGGTGAGACCGTATTTACCCTCTTCCAATTGATAATACTGCGACGAATTTATGTAAGCTTTATTGGCAAATGAGGACATTGAAAAAAATCGAGGCAAGGGAGAAAAGCATTAGGAGGAGAAGGAAAAAGCAATGTGAGCTAAGAGGAAAAAGGAGGTACCCCTGCAGGCTTCCCCTTTCTTCCTGCAATGCAGCGTAATCTTTTGCATAATCTTTTATACTCTGGAATATTTCCTTGTGTTGTCAAATTTAACCAAATCTTGTTGGAATCTTCTTCAGGATCGACTTTCTACTGCATTCGCCTTGATTTATTAATAATCTCGAATTCTGTTTGGCTAGAGAAATTCCTACTGGAGAAATCTTTACTTTTTTTTCTATTTACAAAACGGCATCGCGGCAAGTAGAAAATCAGGAGTTGCTTCGGCTATCCTAAAAACTAGTACACTCACTGTATGTAGCTACCTCCCTCATCTAGGTAGTTTATCTCGCTGATCCCCTTAAATTTTTTTTCTTGAACCTTTTCGACTTCTGCTTATTAAATACTCGTAAGAGGCCTCACAAACAAGGTAATGGGCCAGGAACTTCATTGAATCGTGGTTGGTGCACTTTACCTTCTCTATCGACTTTACCTTCCCTATCGATGTTTTCCCGCCACACCTTAATTGAACGTGTGATTTTGCTGCAACTTTGCACACCCCCATGCTTATCTCCGTCCATTCATGTTGTAACGTTCGTGACTTGCCAAATGTTCCTGGCCGGCAAGGTTATCCGTTGCTATTGATAGAGATTCGTCCCATCTACCTCCCATCCCATCAATGGGCACCAAAAAATTACAAAGATGGCACCCAGGGTATCTGGATTTACAACGCAAAATTACATTGGAGGTGTTTTTACACTCCGCTCCGTACACCACATGTGAATCTCTGTAAGATGGTTTATGGGCCTTTACGGGACACAAGTTTGATCTTTTGAGTTCACTTGCAACGCGAAAACTTTTCACTCAGGGACGAATCGTATTCAGCCAACGTTGTGTTCACTCACTGTGGATACGATGCCATCTATGTACTGATTCTACTCGCTTACTTGGCCTAACTTTCCTCCGTAGATATTTTACACCCTGACGATAAAGAGTCATTGTTCATTAGTAATCGTTCTTTAGCGAGCATATACTTTCAAATATTATATTGTACGTATCAGAATTTCGCAAAAGTAGCGTGGGAAACCTCGTATCTTCCTTTTACCAATCCCTGATCACTGTCTCCTTATACGGAAAGATACCCATGCTCGGCGTCGGAGTTCTCAGGGAAAGTTATTCCTTCCAAAGCCCCGGTATGTGGCTGTTCTAAACCCAGCCAACTTTTAGCTTTTTGTTCAAGTTAAGGCTGTTTTTTTATATTTTGTGGTTACACGAGAGAAAGCCGTGTTCAACTGTGCCTTTAATCTACCGGCGAACAATCCTTTGAACCGGACGACTGTCTAACTCAAGTAACACAGCGTGCGGATAGCTAGCTAAGGCTTATCATGAGAAGGATTAACCAGGCCATTGTGGTGGTTGTTAGAAAGATCCCTAATTTATTTGGTAAAGTTCAGGGCGGCATGAGAGACTAAATTTATTTGAGTTAGACGGAAAGTCAAACTATCATGGTGGATGTATTTAAAATACCACATCAGGCGTTATCTCTCCATTTCCTCATATTTCATTGGTCGTAAAGCACCCACGGAGAATAATAATGGAGCCCGTGTTTGGGGGATACACCTGTTATTAAATGGATCAAAGTTGGTCCCCACTACTTCACTCTCTTTGAGGTACTGGCTCGTCCAATGACGCCCATATGGATTACCCCTGGAACCAAGACTTTCGTGCTCTGAACCAGCATATGGCAGCTCGTGTCAAATATTAAGTTTACTGCCTTATTAGTCGCATTCTGTTCCATTTCTAGAATGGCTTGGGATCAAAATATTGCGTCTTAACCTTGGATAGTAAGCTTTCAGGCATCCGATATGCTCAGGAAAAGTAAGATCGACTTCTAGGGGGCAACACCGAGAATAGTTGTTGGTTGTCCTTAGTTCAAAGTGATCTTTTACACATCCTCACTTCAGCCTCTTACCTCTTGCTTGTTCAACTTCAAGCAACTCATCATCTACACATCTTTAAGCTCTTTTTGTCAATCTGCGATTGCGGTCGACTCCCACGCTCGTTATTTCTTATTTTTGCCCGCGGTCACTTGTTGTACTTTGTCTTAAGAAACGGACTCAAAATAGCATTGCTTATCTGTGAATACCATACAAGCAAGCCCACACACTCCCTGGAAATTTTTGGAGGAACCCCTAATATATTGCTGGCTCGAACAGATTGAATTCTGAAAAACTTCTCATACCACTTGGGCAAAATTTGATGAACAATAATTCATGATTTTGGTCACTTGAGTATCGTATCTGGCCGGTTTCGTTTGTCACCATGTTCGCGCGAAATTTCGTTGTACTGTGCAGCGTCTTGTTGAATACACAGGTCAATGCATTGCGTTACGAGAAAGAATATGTTGGCTATAACCTGAATACGAATGAGTCGGCGACATCACCTTTTGATTATTCTGGAAAATGGGACGGAGTATGTCAACATTCATTTCCCTCGACGAGTCAGGAAATCTCCTCAACCCCATATTTTACCCACGATGAACTCATTGTAATTCGAGGATGCATAGGCTAACTTCTCTTCTCGTAGCATGAATTCTTCCCATCACCCGAGAATTGGCGTTTCCCTTTCTATTCCTTCTTCTTAGACAAATTCGTTAATGGAGATCCAACCAACGATGACATTAATGGTACTCATTTCGAAACCGATTTCATGCAAACCCAATTACGACATGGCGGTGATCTTCAGGGTCTCATTGATAGTCTGGATTATATACAAGGAATGGGTGTAAAGGGAATCTATATCGCCGGAAGTCCTATGATCAATATGCCCTGGGGTGCGGATCAGTATTCTCCTTTGGATTTTAGTCTTCTCGATCAACATTTTGGAGATATCGATATGTGGAGGAAAACCACCACTGCCATCCACGACAGGGGAATGTATGTTATTCTCGACAATACTATGGGAACCATGGGGGATTTGATCGCTTTTAAAGGTTACGAGAACTCTTCGACCCCATTTACTCTAGTCGAGCACGAAGTTCTTTGGCGTGACCCAAACCGTCAATATTTGGATTTTGCCTTCGGCGAGAAGTACAATAAAACTTGCAACTACCCTAGGTTTTGGCTTGATGATGGATATACCGTCAAGGATGATGTCACGGATCTCATGAATGGTTGCTATGATTCCGAATTTGATCAATATGGTGATACCGAAGCTTTTGGTGTCTTTCCCGATTGGCAGCGTCAATTATCAAAGTTTGCCTCTGTCCAGGATCGTTTGAGAGAATGGCTCCCTTCTGTAAGAACCAAAATCGAGATCTTCACTTGCATGATCATCCTACAACTAGACATCGATGGACTGCGTGTGGACAAAGCAACTCAGATTACGGTCGATGCATTGGGAAGTTTTAGTCACGCGGTTAGGGAATGCGCACTATCTGTGAATAAGGAGAATTTCATGGTTACCGGTGAAATTACTGGTGGTAACACTTTTGGTAGTATTTACCTTGGGCGTGGACGTCAACCTGATATGCTACCGCCTAGCATTCCAGATGCGGTCAAAATGACCTCCAATTCCAGTTTATCATACTTCATCCGTGATCCTGGCCAAAACGCTCTCGACTCTGCTGCTTTCCACTACACTGTTTATCGCACGCTGACTAGATTCTTGGGAATGGATGGAAACTTGGAGAGTGGATACGATGCACCCCCTAACTGGGTAGAAATGTGGAACATAATGCTCCAAACGAACGATTTTATCAACCCCAATACTGGAGTCTTTGATCCAAGACACATGTACGGAACTAGCAATCAAGATGTTTTCAGATGGCCAGCTATCCAGAATGGAACTCAAAAGCAACTTTTAGCCCTGTTCATTACCACTATACACATGCCTGGTATACCTTTACTTCTGTGGGGTGAAGAGCAAGCCTTTTATGTCTTGGACAACACGGCCGACAATTATCTATTCGGTCGACAAGCTATGTCACCTTCTCAAGCATGGCAAACTCACGGATGCTACACCCTCGGTAGTGGTACCTATTATAAATATCCCATGGATTCTTGCACGCGCGGTTGTCATGATGATTGGAATAGTCGTGATCATAGAGATCCATCCCACCCAGTTCGAAATATCATCAAGGCGATGTTCCAAATGCGAGCCAATTTCCCGGTCTTGAACGATGGGTGGTATTTGCAACAACTCTCCAACCAGACATACGAAATCTTATTACCCGGTAGCAACGGTACAGCCACTGAAACCGGAATGTGGAGTACTTTGCGAGGTCAATATGATGGTATTCAGGATTTTTCCAAGGCTGGTGGCCAGGCAAACCAGTCTGTTTGGCTGGTTTACCACAACGTTTATGATACAGTAACTTACAATTTCGATTGTAGTAGCAACGACTCCCTGGTTGCTCCCTTCGTTAGTGGCACCACAGTCAAGAACCTGTTCTATCCTTATGAAGAGGTCACGTTAAAAGCAGGACCTTTCCAGTTAGGAATTGCAAATCAAACAGGCTTCAATGGCTGCCTTGACAGCGTCACCCTGGTTATGTACGAATATAAGGCATATGTGCCAAAGGATACCTGGGTTGGACCTTCACCTATGATAACTGCGTTCTCTCCAGGACATGATGCAAGACTTACCTCGGCAGTTGCTCCCGGGCAACAAGAAACCATCGAGATTCAAATCGATTTCAGTGACGAAATGAAGTGTTCCGATATTCTTTCGGGCATGGTAATATCCTCTAAGACAGAGGATGGAACGGTTGCAAAATTAGCCAATGCTACCGGTGAATACTCTTGCACATTACTTCCTAACCCAGTTAATGTCACCGACTTCGTTGGATCGATTCCCACTCGTTGGAGTTTCAAAGGTAACCTTACCAATGTGTCTAACGGTGTCCATTCTATTACACTCACCAACGTCACGAGTGCCTCTGGAAATTCTTCAACTGGATCAACAGATACATTTTTAATTCGCGTTGGACAAGTTGACAACCCTCTGGTTTTCCCTGGCTCTGCAAATTATACACGACAGTTGCTCCACAAGCACGACAATGGTACTTTGTACGTCAGTCACAAAGCTGCTGGAGCAGATTTATTCAAGTACTCCTTGAATTGGGGAACTTCGTGGTCCGAATGGTTGCCATACGCTGGTGGAAACACAACGCTGGAAAAACAGCCCTGGAGTGGTACAAGCAAACAAAAATGGGAGGGAGAGCACGTCATCATGCAATATTGGAGTAAACTCACTGGCAGCAGTGATGTTGTACAACATTCTGATCTTGAGACAAATACATATTCGCGTCGTCTTCCGCATCTGTTCGCCAATGGTCCATTTAACCAATATGGATATGATACTGGTCTTGAAAATGAATTCAGCTTGAATAAGGAGAACAGTCTCTGGGAATTCAAATTTATGACTGAATGGCCAGCTGGTAAGTCGTAGATTCTGCTGACTTTCAAGATTAATTGCTAACAATTTCTAGTCATGCAAGTAAAATGTTTGTGGGTATGAATCCTGATGGTCAGCCAGATCAAACTGTTGTCATGGGAGACATCGACCTTGACAATATCCTTGACCGCATGCCTCCTTCGTCGCTTTCCACGGCACTTATTAACATAACACGTGTACCTCCATCACCATATCTCGGTTACAAAGTTGCAATCGACGATGGAAATTATAGATACTATCAAATTCCCTATGGAAACCGTTCATACCAAGTGTTGATGGTGGTCCTTTTCTGGATTGTTCCTGTCCTCACTGGTGGTCTCAGTATCTGGCTCTTCATGAAATCTTTCTACGCCGTCAAGCTCAACAGTGTTGGTGTCAAGGAGACAAAGAACTACATTCCACTGGCCATTCGCAGAAAGTTGAAGAGGGATAAAGATGACCATAACGAGAAAGAAATGACTGTTATGGGAGGACTACACTCCATGTTTCACGAAAACGCTACTCAGCTTGGACTCCAAGCTGACCCTGTATCTACTGGAAGACGAACTGTGCTTATCGCTACCATGGAATACGATATCGAAGATTGGGCAATCAAGATCAAGATTGGTGGTCTCGGTGTCATGGCACAATTGATGGGAAAGAATTTGGGTCATCAAGATCTCATCTGGGTTGTTCCTTGTGTTGGTGGAATTGACTATCCTGTTGATCAACCAGCTGAACCTATGGATGTCACGATCCTTGGAAATTCCTACACTATTCAAGTTCAGTACCATGTTCTGCGAAACATTACTTACGTTCTTCTCGATGCACCAGTCTTCAGAGCTCAATCTAAATCCGAGCCGTACCCAGCTCGTATGGATGATTTAGACTCAGCCGTCTACTACAGTGCCTGGAATCAATGTATCGCTCTTACTATCAAACGTTTCCCTGTCGATTTGTACCACATCAACGATTACCACGGAGCCGTTGCACCAGTCCATCTTCTTCCAGAAACCATTCCATGTTGTTTGTCCCTTCACAACGCTGAGTTCCAAGGTTTATGGCCAATGCGTAACCAAAAGGAAAGATCCGAAGTTTGTCAAGTTTACAATATTCCCGAAGAGGTCGCTATCAAGTATGTTCAATTCGGAGATGTGTTCAATTTACTCCACGCCGGTAGTTCTTATCTTAGAATTCATCAAAAGGGTTTCGGTGCCGTTGGTGTCAGTAAGAAATACGGAAAGCGTTCTTGGGCAAGATATCCTATTTTCTGGGGATTGAGTAAAATTGGTAACCTTCCTAACCCTGATCCTTCTGATACTGGAGACTGGAGCGGTGCCCAAGACTCATTGGCCAAGACAACTGTCAACCAGGATTTCGAAGCTCAGAGAGGTGAGCTCAAAAGACAAGCTCAGGAATGGGCTGGTCTTGAGCAAAACCCTAAAGCTGAGCTCTTGGTTTTCGTCGGTAGATGGTCCATGCAGAAGGGTATCGATTTGATTGCTGATGTTATGCCCGCTGTTTTGGAGGAAAATCCAAATGTCCAACTTATTTGCGTTGGTCCTGTTATTGATCTTTACGGAAAATTCGCCGCCCTGAAATTAGATGTCATGATGACGAAATACAAGGGTCGTGTCTTCAGTAAACCCGAGTTCACTGCTCTTCCACCATTCATCTTCTCCGGAGCAGAATTCGCCTTGATTCCATCCAGAGATGAGCCTTTCGGACTTGTCGCTGTCGAGTTTGGTAGAAAGGGAGCTTTGGGTATCGGTGCCCGTGTCGGTGGTCTTGGTCAAATGCCTGGTTGGTGGTTCACTGTCGAGTCTACTACGACAACACATATGCTTCATCAATTCAAACAAGCCATCAAAGAAGCCTTGGCCTCAAAGTTGGAGACTCGTCAAATCATGAGAGCACGATCCGCCAAACAACGTTTCCCAGTCGCACAATGGGTTACTGATCTCGAGACATTGCAAAGTAAAGCTATTAAAATCCACGACAGGGAAGAAGCAAAACACAGCGGTAGACCAAGATCTAGGGGACGAGAAGGATCAAACCTCTTGTACTCTTCCGCTAAGAGAGTGTCTAGTTTTAATACCAGTTTGGCTAGTACATCACAACTTGACGTTGCTAGTACTATTGGAGGTTCCACAAGACCATCCTCTCCAACTCGCGTTGAAAAGCCAGCAGCTGGAGGACTTAGCCGAAAGCTTTCTCTAGGATACCGGGCTGGTCCAGGACATCGCCCGAACAAGAAGGGGTACAATGAGGGCGAGGGATCGTTCCAAGCAGGAGGTCCGGGTACAGTCGACGAAGGACTGACTGATGTGGATGAAGACTCTGATGATGACGATGACCAAGTCCGTGACGACATATACGACGAATACGTCCTCACACCTGAAGAATTAGAAGCTCAGAGACAACAAGAGCAATGGAAAGGACGGTCTGATAGTCCTGCCGGCGGCGCCTTCCTCGCACCACAACCAGGATATTTGGACTCCCCACGCCGAAGTCCAAATGCTAATACTGCCAGTTTACATATTAATGATTCTGAATTATCGTTGCCACGACTCAAGGATGGTTCAAATATTTATTCCACTCACTCGATACCTGGTTCGCCGGGTTTGGAGTCACCAGGAGCGCATGAGTCTTTGCTCCCACCTCCTTCTGTCTTTGGTGAAAACAATGCAAACAGAGCTTCCATGCTTAGTTTGAGTTCAGTTATTGGAGACAAAACTGATTTCAAACTCCAAAAGGTCGATCCATTCTTCACTGATACCCAAGGAGAATACTACCAACAATTTGCCAAGAATCTTGATACTTTGGATGGAAAGAACAGTGAAACAGCATTGTGTATCGAAGAATACCTTATGAAATCCGAAAAGAAATGGTTCGATAGATTCCGTGATGCAAGATTAGGAAGAAACTCTGTTGCACCTGCATTTTCTGCCCTAGGCAGTGGACGAAAATCCCACGACAGCCGCGGACGATCCAACAGCCAAGATAGCTTCACAAATGATACCATTGTCCACTCGAGGCAAAACTCCAGTCAAGACGACATGGCACTCACAGGTGGTTCTGCCAATGACCAGTTCTTGCTTGGCAAAGACTATAAACCACCTACAGGTCTGCGTCTAGTCATGCAATATCGCTTCTTTGATTGGCCCGTCTATTCATTCTTACTCGCCTTTGGTCAAATCATCGCTGCTAATTCTTATCAAATAACACTTCTTACTGGTACTGTGGGTCAAACTGCAGAGAAACTTTACATCACGGCAACCATCTATCTCGTTACTTCTATCATGTGGTGGGAAGTTTTCTCCTTCTTCAAGTCAATCTACGTCCTCAGTGTCCCATTCATCTTCTACGGATTAGCCTTTTTCCTCCTCGGTATGGCTCCTTTCGTTTCCAGTACTGATGGCAGAGGTTGGGTCCAAAATGTTGCTACTGGTATCTATGCTGTGGCCGCATCCTCAGGAAGTATATTCTTCGCGTTGAACTTTGGAGACGAAGGAGGAGCCCCCGTCAAAGCCTGGGTATTCCGCTCCTGTATCATTCAAGGAACACAACAAGCTTACGTCGTCATTCTCTGGTTCTGGGGAAGTTACCTCAACAGACGACAAGCCGATGGTCTCGGAGCCTCTTTCACATCTGCCAGTCCCAAGATGTCCGCTGTCGTGATTCCGATTGCCATTCTCATGTGGGTGGTTGGCCTGGTCACTTTCCTTGGATTGCCGGAATATTATCGACAAGCTCCTGGAAAAGTTCCTTCTTTCTATGCCTCGCTCTTCAGACGTAAGATTGTCATGTGGTTCTTCGTTACGGTCCTCATTCAGAATTTCTTCCTCTCGACGCTCTATGGTCGTAACTGGCTTTACCTCTTCTCATCCAACCATGCTCCTACATGGGCTATTATTCTTCTCATCATCTTCTTCTTTGGATTCCTATGGGCAATGTTCCTCTGGTTCTTTGCAATCTTGAGTAAAGATCACAGTTGGGTTCTACCAATTTTCGCCATCGGTCTCGGAGCCCCTAGATGGTGTCAAATGCTTTGGTCTTGCAGTCCTATGGGACAATATGTACCATGGGTTGGTGGTGGTCTCGCTAGCGCCATCTTCTCAAGATCTTTGTGGCTTTGGCTCGGTATGCTCGATGCACTTCAAGGTGTTGGATTCGGTATGCTTTTGCTTCAAACACTTACTCGTGTCCACATCGCTTTCACTCTCATTGCTGCTCAAGTTTTGGGATCAATAGCTACTATGGTAGCGAGAGCCTGTGCACCGAATAATATAGGACCGGGTCCCATTTTCCCTGATTTCAGTGATGGAGCTGGTGGTTTGGGTAATGCATGGTTTTGGGTTGGATTATTATTACAACTGGTAATTTGTGGAGGATTTTTCACATTCTTTAGAAAGGAGCAACTTAGCAAACCTTAGAGCTTTGTTGCATTTCTTTTGGTTGGTTGTTGGTGTGCCGAGCAATTGTTGGATGAGTTGTGTAAATGCATGTTGGGTGGATGTGGTGCACGATTGAGGCGTTTTCATCTTGTATAAAATGGTGCAGATTTGGACGGAAATATTGTATTTGGACATACCCCTTTGGTGGAATGGCAAGTAAAGATTTTGAATGATGGAAATGATACAGAGCACAAATAGACTTTTGATTTTGAACATTTTCGCAATTTACAGCAGGCAGGATTTGGTGGAGGGTTTTGGGAGGAGAGCATAATTTTTTCTTGTCTATTTGAGATGTGGATTGGCATAATATACTTAGCTGAGATATAACTTAAAGTCTAATGAACTTCTTACATATATATGGTGTTCTTGTTGCATGTTTTCATGGTGACAAGCACCTGGTTGAATCTTATTTACGTTTCTTTATATGTTCGCTGGGGCAGTTGGGGAACTGTGGAAGGGTTCTACTGTTTAGGAACATCTTCAATATACACTTCCTGAAAGCACGACATGGGCAAATTAAAAGGTATAGAACCATGGCAGTGCATTATGTGTCTTGGAAGGTAAACTTTATTTCAACAGCTACTAACCCAAAGGGTATCTCAATGAACAATTTGGATTCTATGCACAACATCTTATTACATCCATCCATTCATCATAAACTCATTTAACGCATCACATCATATGTCCAACACCATCCATCCCATTCACCATCAATTACATCATACCTACAGCCCCCAACCCAACCGCAAGAGCAACACCCATAGCACCTACAGCTGGCACTCCTGTAGCCGCAGCTCCAGCTCCCTTACTCGTCTGAGTAGCCACCTTACTAAAAACACTACTCTCAACCTTATGAACTTCACTCAGGTAGCTACTGATAGCCTTCTGGGCATCCTTAGGCGCCTTCTTGGTAAACCAATCCGCGGTAGCTACTTGCTCGTAGTAGTATCCGCTCTTCAAGATAGAACCTTGGAGGGAGCTAGGTGCTGCGGAGATAACGGCATTTTCGAATGAGGTGAAGGCGGCGGCGGTGGTCCAGGCGTGGTCTATGGAGGCGAGGGCAGTGGCTAGGGTGGAAGAGGCACCGGCTGGGAGGGTGGGTGTATGGAGAAAGAAACTGGAGATTACGGATTCACTGGATGGATGGGGGATGAGTTAGTATCTTTGTGGTTGGCTGTTTTGTGGAAAGGAGGGTGTTCTGGGAAAGACGTACACGTTGACACTGGTTTTGTCAGCGTTGACCACAGCGGGTGCGGCAATGGCGAAGAGAATGGAAGCGAATGAGAACTTCATTTTGATATGTTGTATGTAACTGTTCTAGGAACTTGGATGATGTTTGATAACAGACTTTCTATCTCAAGGATAAGTAATTCACAAAAAATGTAGAGATAAACTCAAAATTCTAAATTTTCCAAACTATCAAAAGTAACGGAAACGATATTCTTGCTTTATATATGAATCTCAGTTCCCCAGCACAATAGCCATCGCATCATCACAATTCACCGCGGCGCAGTCTAGGCAGAGATTATCTTGTGGTATACCTAGTAGAATTGCTTACTGAAGTTTTTCAGTCAGGACCCATCAATATTGATATTCAATCAATAATCCTTCCAATCATCATCAACTGTACCTCTCTGCGCCGCACACCTGCATACGCGCCCTGTCACCAACCGCTGGTGATGGAAATTTTTATCTTTACCCGTTGAATTACAGTAGCTTCATTTGCTCCAATCAATCAATCTTGTAAGATCTTACTTCTTCGGTGAAGCTACCGAGTCAAATCAACCCCCTCTATAGGAATGCCAACGCCGCACCCTGAAAATCACTCAAGATTGCATCTCTCCATACATATTCCTCCCATTCATCAGCCGCATAATTCGGTAAGAACCTAAAATAATAAACTCAAGCCTAATAATTCTTTAATTCCGCATCCTAATTTTCCCCTTTATTTCATCAAGAATTACTCCGTAAAGCAGCGTTAATCAAGCTTCCAAGAACAGCATTAATCAAACATCAAACTGTCAAGTCCGGCTCGGAAATCTTTTCCGAGCTAGGCGCTACCTGGTAGTTTCTTCTGGTACAACAAGGGGTCAGGAACCCGCCCGCTTTGTTTTCTGGGCTGACTTGGAGACTACCTAGTCAAACTAGTGATTGTTTGGATAGTGAGGAAGTGGAGGATACAGGAATAGGAAATAGCTAGGTAAAGTCTAGTTTAGTGTTTAGATGTTCAACTCGTACTGTAGATATTTTACGTATCGCATAAGGAAGTTATAATTAAGGTGTAAAAAGATTCCGCCGAATCCCGAGTACTTAGGAATTCAAAGAGGGATTTCGTGGAGAGCTAGGGGATCGGGTAATGTTCGTGTAATTGTAATACGAGATCAGTTGGTTTGTTATGACTTATAACCATGGTTGATAAGAAATGGTTGGTTTGTCTAGGTAAGTAGTAGTTACAGATTTACAGTACGTGCTGTACTTGCAGACGGATATTGATCTACTTTTGAATAAGGGAGTGGAGATGGGATTCTTTGGAAGTTGGAACCTTTCTTTTGTTTTTTTACAGACTGAGGTGAGGTATCGAGTTTTTATTCTAGGGTCATGGTAGGTCCTTGGAAGGATTCATAGGAGAGATATGCAGGGTTATGAGAATTGTTTGTAAGATTTATTATAGGAAAAGTATTTTGACCCCTTAGCATTAATACTACTCTATCTTGAACTCGGGTTCGTAGTCCGATTACTATTGGTACCATAACTAGGTAGGTACCTATCTAATGAATGAATGAATGAAAACACGCAACCAACAATCCAAGATATTCTCCACCATGCCATAATCCAACAATGAGAAGTTCAAGTTCCCCTATCATAAATACACACATACATACATATCTCACTCGAGTACAAACCTAAAAGATTCTCAATCTTGGCATTTACATCGGGGTAATAATAAACCGGCTCTATACAGACAGAATCGGTTCAACAATTCATCCATGTAGAAATCGACCCAATAGGTTATCAAAACCACGCATCTCTTATATCTTTCAAATTCATACAGTCCTATCTACATATATACACCCTAGCATCTCATACCTACCCTTCCATGGATTCTCAAATAATAAATAGGTAAAATCCCAGATAATAAATACATAGCTTCTCTACCCGCAAAGAACTGGTAAACCCGCTTCTACCGCAATAAACCCACATCTCCTATCCCCTCGTAGTCCATCTATCACAACCCATCAACATCAACACATACCTTACCTATGTCACCTACATGAACCTCAAACATAGCACCACCACACACACCCATCCACCTCCCTCTAGCAAAAAGAAACATCAAAAAACCTTAAAAGTCTAATTAATTAAAGTATTTATTTAGGTAGTCAGTTAGTAATGATTAAAAGAGTAATAAACGGTAAAGATATGCAACAAATTTTCTTTTTCTATTTTCATGCCTATTTCAATTTCCAGTACTGTTTCAATTTCTTTTTTCAATATCTTCTTATTTCATGAAGTCATGAATGATATGATTTAAACAAGTGTTGTATATAGTCTATCTATTCAAGAATCAAGATGTGATGAGATGAGACTTCAGGTGATAATGTCCATACCCATAGGTAGTCAAAGTGCTTCAATATGTTTATTCAAATACAATATATTTTCTCGCGTGTATACTTACTACCTATTTCATTCCAATTCAATTTATGTTCATCTTCTAAGTCTACCTACCATTCTGCAAGAAAGTGAGAGTTTGGAAGAGTTCGAGCTAGCGACGACGAGAATTAATTTTTACTACCTACCTATGCAAAGGATCTTCACTATATGTAAGAATACTTTCCTACACCATCCCCCAACTAAATCTATTCTACTCTATTCCAGCGATTGGATATGTATATTATGTAGAGATATGAATAAGATGGAATTATAACACAGGAATATTTACGCAAGAATACGATATCACATTTGCATTGATTACAGTTTTGAAACTTATTTTGTGTTGTCGAGTTAGTTATTTTTTAAGATTATCCCCAATTGAATCATAATGAATTAGATTTCTTTTCCGCCTGCTGGAATTTATGTAGAGAAATAGATCGATCTTCCTCTATGCTCTCTTTTTCTTAGTCGTTTGCTTCGTGTGAACTATATATATCGTATACCACCATACCATTCTCATTCCTCTCCCTCACAACCTGTCATCTATTATCTCCCATTTACCATTTCCTATTTCCCATCTCCGTCTCCTATTTCCCATCTCCCCTCCCTAACTCCCATCACCAACCCAACCAAACCAAACCACTAACCACCAACATGCACCCACTCATCCACCCATCCACCTAAGAATCACAAACAAAATCAAACTCCGCATTCGAACTCGTCAAAACCTGAAAATTGGTCTGCGTAGCCGTACTTGTCGCCGCTAAACAGGAAGCTGAGTTTGTTGAAAGAAAAATATTAGCTCTTCCTTCTTCATGTTCCGCGCTCTGTACAATAAAATCAATCAATGTTGTGAATGCTTTCCCATCTGCGATCTTTCTCTTCTTCCCTTCATATTTGCTATTCAGCATTCGCTTTGCTGCATGTAAGCTGTGTTGGAAACCGGGACCTGCCCTGGTTTGTCGATCCATCTATCTCTAGTTCTCATAGCCAAGTCATAACTAGATAATCTTCCACAAACAAGTCCAGTACCTCATCTCACCTCACCTTATATCAACTCAAATCATACCACCTCAACAAACCCCCACCAGAACGCCCACAAAAAACAAAAACACAAACCCAAAATATCCAAAGCAAAACAACACAAAACTCCTCAACACAGAAAACAAACCAAAAACCCATTCTCTCGAATCCCCAAACCAAGAAGAAAATTCCTCAAAAACATCCCTCCGAGTTTGAGAAATCAAAACAGGAGAAGAAAAATTGAAAGATGGGGTGAACATACACTGTTGAGATTGACAAGCAGCTACAGTTAAATCCGGAGCTGCTTTTGCGGGATTATTGGCTGCGTCTTCGCATTTGTTGACTTGGTTTGCGCAGGAACGTGACATGGCGTCTGTGAAGGCTGGCTGTTGAGGAGGGAGGGATGTTAGATTTGGGTTTGGGGGTGGAAGGGATGGTTGTTTGAAGAGAAGGTGAGGTGATCATGAATGGATGGATGAGAAGAAAGAGGAGAGAAATTTTGAAAAGGGAAGTGGTAATAAACTGGATGGATTATGGAGGGAAAGATGTGAATATATGAGATGAGATAAAAGCAAATAGGAATAGAAGGGAAAGTAAAAGGAAAAGATGAGAAAAAAACTAACAAAAGTATCACCAGCAACCATAAAAGGTCTTGAATGATCTCCCGAATTAGTTATCTGTATCATATTCAAATTAGCATCTATCCTTTCACAACCATCTTAATCAGATATTTAATCCTCGAGGTTCTGCTTTCCCACCACCAAAGAATTTGAGTTGTAGGTATGAATGGTGAGATAACCATAAACAACGTAAAGAAAGGATGAAGGAGGTAAGCGAGCATGAACGAGAAGAAATAAATCTACATACCGGATCAGCTGTAACACCACCTAATGAACCTGTGAAGATCTAAATAGAAGTTAGTTAATGATAAAGACCACCAATTATTTTGAATCATGTCCGCCGAGTTTCTTGTCTCAGGTATCCTGTTCTTGCGCTTGCAGATGAAGTCTTCGATCCTGCTAATCTTGTGCCTTTGCTGATATCATATATCATACACCACAACTCCAATTCTATCCTCATATATCCGCGTGCACCATCGCATTTTTCTCTATCTTCTCTGTGCCCGACCTCTTCTCACACAATATTCTCATTCGTAATCCTCGTCTCCACCTCCTCTCATCTCGATACTTCCCCCTCCTCCATTCTCCACTCCCCCCCCCCCCACCCCCTCTTTCCCACACCCTCCCCCCAACATCATCTCCACCATCCAAATCCCGCCCATCACAAAACCAAAAAAAAACCCCCAAACCCGCAAAAAGAAACAAAAAAGAACTGAAAAGAAAAAAACAAACCTGCAAATTACTCAACGCCCTCCCTAACAATCTATTTCTCAACTGTCCTCCCAAATCCCCTACGAAATCCCCCTCAAATTCCCTCTCCAATCCCCACTAAGTTGTGCATCCGCATTCTGTACATTCGAATCCGGAGCATATGTTTGGATATTTCCCCATGTTAATCCTATTATTACCCATACGAGGGAGAGGATGAGTTTATTGAATTGCATTGTTTGTTTCTGTTTAGCGGATTTGAGGTATTTGCTTGCGATTGATGCGATTTGATTTCGAGAGTGTAGTAGGAGTAGTGTAGTATCTATCGTTTGCTATCGCAATTTGTCGATGCGATGAATAGATATGTATAAAGTATTATCGTAAATCCGTATCTATAAATCAGAAACTCAACGTCCGTCTTATTCGTGTATTCGTATATGGGTAGGTATGTAAAGTAGAATGAATAAAAATCCCATGAATCACTCCTCCAATCTCATCAATGCCAATCCCAATCCAATATTATCGAATCCAATCCTGGACAATATCACCAGCTCACTTCTTCACTTCAACTCCCAATCCTCAATTTCACCTGTAGTGTAGAACTTTACTTTACTTTGTAATAAATTAAAAAATTCCACAATCTCTTCGTTTCTCGTCATATAGACAGAGTAAGATCTTACATGTGAAGAAAGGAATAAAAATGTCAAAATAAATGATCAAAATTCAGATCTTTCAAGTTTTCACCCAAAGAAAAACAATCAGTAAACAAATAAACAAATCAACAAACAAATTCAATGGTCACCCCCTCCAAAAAAAGACCAGAAAGAGAGAAATA